TTTTTTCATATAACAACCGCATTCAAATTCTAACATTACAAGTAATTAATTGATTAAATATTACAATCAAAGTTCATATAAATTAGTGTAATAAGTTAACAACTACAAGAAAGCCTTTGAATAAGCTAGAGGTTATGGAAGAAGATTCATAGAAAAGTAAATTATGGAAATAACGTGAAAATTTCTCAACTTGGTGTAATTCTGTGAAGAAAGTGACTATGAAATCCTATTAAAATCAGACATCCAATCTAAATAAAAGAAATATCAACTATCAAGCCTAAAGGATCCGACCAACCATTACCGGCACCATGATTTTGCTTTAAAATCATATTAACGTGGGAGTCGGGTAAAGAGATGTGGTTGACAAGTCGGCTATATGGCCTAGCCAAGTGAGTAATTCAACACCAAACATACGATAAGCCATGACTTGATCAATCCAAAATCCAAGTCAAGTCAATTTTAATTTCGATGAGACAATAAGATAGTAAACGATAATATATTATAATTAATTTTGCGTTATGTTTAAAGTAATATATTTGGAATTGTTCAAAGTCAGGCTCTCCTTATAAGACCTGCCATTGGTGGCAATCCTCCTGCAAAAACATCTAGACTTGATTTTTTACAAATTCTACGTAACCAAATCGATCGGTTCCTAGAATTGTTGTTTCTTTCCATTTCTTGAGCCTGTGGCTTCAATGGCCAAGCAACTACACTTTGTGTTAATCCCGCTCATGGCACAAGGTCATATGATTCCGATGGTGGACATGGCCAGGCTTCTTGCAGAGCGAGGGGTGATTGTAAGCTTGATCACTACTCCCCACAATGCGTCAAGATTCGACACAGTCATCCAACGAGATACGAAATTTGGGCTCCAGATTCGGCTAGTGAAAATTCCATTTCCATGCCAGGAAGTGGGACTTCCTATCGGTTGCGAAAATCTTGACACTTTATCCTCCAGGGACCTACTGAAAAAGTTCTACAATGCACTTGCCATGTGGCAAGAACCATTGGAACAATTTCTTGAACAACAAAGGCCGCTTCCGAGTTGCATAATATCAGACAAGTGTCTCTCCTGGACCTCAAAAACTGCTCAAAGGTTTAACATTCCCAGGATTGTTTTTCATGGGATGGGCTGCTTTTCATTGCTGAGCTCTCACAATGTGAAGCTACATAAGGCTCATCTTTCTGTTGCTTCGGATTCGGAACCCTTTGTGGTGCCAGGACTCCCTCAAAAGGTAGAGATAACAAGGGCTCAACTTCCTGGTGCATTTGTTAGTTTGCCTGACTTAGACGATGATCGCAACAAGATGCAAGAGGCTGAAATGACTGCTTACGGAGTTGTGATAAACAGCTTCAATGAACTAGAGCATGGATGTGTCGAGGAGTACAAGGAGGCTATAAAGAAAAAGGTTTGGGCCATTGGACCAGTTTCTTTATGCAACAAAATAAACTTGGACAAGTTTCAAAGAGGAAACAAAGCAGCGATCAATGAGCAAAAATGCTTGAAATGGCTCGACTCAATGAAACCAAGGTCAGTTATTTACGCTTGCCTTGGCAGCCTATGCCGTTTAGTTCCAGCACAATTGATAGAACTAGGGTTGGGTCTAGAAGCATCACAACAACCATTCATTTGGGTAGTCAAAACAGGTGATGAAAAAGCTACTAACGAGTTAGAAAAGTGGCTTTCAGAGCATAAGTTTGAGGAAAGGATCGAAGGGAGGGGACTTTTGATCAAGGGTTGGGCTCCACAAGTACTTATTTTATCCCACCCTGCAATCAGAGGGTTCTTAACTCACTGTGGTTGGAATTCAACTATAGAAGCCGTCTGCTCCGGGGTGCCAATGATAACATGGCCTCAATTCTCCGAACAATTCTTTAATGAAAAACTCATTGTTCAAATTCTAAAGATAGGAGTTCGCGTTGGGGTCGATGTCCCTGTTAGATGGGGTGAGGAAGAGAAACTGGGTGTGTTGGTCAAGAAAGAACAAGTTGAGAAAGCAATAGATATGTTGATGAATGGTGGAGAAGAAGGCGAAAAGAGAAGAATCAGAGCACGAGAACTTGCACAAATGGCCATAAAGGCAGTAGAAAACGGAGGATCATCCTACTCCAACGTGTCACTATTGGTGGAAGACATTTTGGAGCAAATCACTCAATACTAGCTAAACTGGCAGTTAGATGCCCTCTTCTTCTTCTTCTTCCTTCTTTTTTTTTTTTTTTAAATAAATTTCCGAAGGCATTTTGAATGTATTATGAGTAACTTCTACGAATTTTCTATTATAACACCTTGATTGTTCAAGTATCTTCAAAACATGCTAACTTTTATCCATATATATATATATATATGTATGTATGGGGATAGATCAAGTTACATAAAAAAATTATATATATTTTTATGTTTTTTTTAATTTTAATTATAATAAATTTAAAAGATGAGAGAAACAAATCAAAATAAAAAATGATTTAATTTTATTTATTGGATTTATTGAAATCAATTATTTAAAAAATATAAAACTAAAAAGTTTTTATGTTTGTCAAACTTGATTCCTCTGCTGTATATACTATGAGTAGATCACTTCTTATAGAGGTTTTTTTTTAAAAAAAAACTTTGACAAACTATATATATATATAATATATATTCATTGCAAGATATTTGAATATTCATTTTAATTTAAGCACTAAGAGAATAGAATTCTTAAAAAATTTCCTTTTTTTTTTTTTATATTATTCAGGGTTTCAACTTTTGAGACAAAGTCTCCAATAGTAAATTTATTTCCTTAGATTAGACAACATGGAGGCACCCTTGTAAATTCCAATTAAAAATCAGTAGGCTAGGCTGACGATGTAAGGGCATATGTTGCGTCCTCGGAAATGAAAAAAAAAAAACGAACAGTCAGTCAAAATCAAGTAGGAGTATTCAATGTATAATATAATTGTGGATGTATCATATTGAATATTTTATTACGTAAAGTCAAAGTCAATTACTTTATTAATGAATTATTTTATTTTATATTGTACTCTTATAACATTTCTTTATATAAATTGAGTTAATACCTAGTTAGATCATGAGTTACACTGACAAGAGTTTATCATAGTTTGAAATTGAATTGGTCTTAGAATTTTACTTCTATGTAGGTGATAGGGATATCTTTGGGCCTAGACGTAAATTGGTTTTTTAATTTTATTAGAGATTGTTAATAGATAATTAGATATATTTTTTACTTTTAAGTTGATCTGATATGTTAAATTGATTTGATATGTATAGTGTTATGTTAGTTTGATTATATTATTATTTTATTTTACAAATTTTTTATTTTTTATCTTTTAATTTAAAGGTCGGAGTGCAAATATAGAAAATATCTCTTATCTTATTCTTAATCACTCTTTTTCTTTTGTGATTATAAGATACACTAAGGGTTGGCAATTCACTCGAATTTATGAGTTTTAATTTGATCTTATAGGATTGATTTTTTTTTAAATCAAATTTTTAGTTAAATCAAATTGAGTATTTTTTTTAAGTGAGGTCGAGTTTTAGGTAAACCTATTATAATCTGACCCAATATATAAAAAAAATATTTTTATTAGTTATTGAATTTAATAATTATATTTTAAAAATAATTTTTTATAATAAAAAATAATATTTTATTAATTTTAAGTCGAATTGATTGCAATTATATATATATATATAAAAATCAAGTCAAATTATATATCTTTTAATATCGAGTTGAATTAAGTTCAGATATTTATTATATAAAGTCAGGTTGAATTTAGAATGAATAAAAATTTTTCCCGACCTAACTTATTTTCATCTTTAATTCTATCCTATGTGTATTTTTATAATTCTTGTATTATAAATTTATTAACATAATTAAAAATTATAATATTAGCTATAGACCTTTATCTTTTAAAAATTTTTCAACTTGAATATTTCAAACCATCTACTCTTTAAAAATAAATAAAAAACACAAATATTCTATCTCTTCCTTTTTCCTTTTTTCAAAAATTTAAGCATACGAGAATTAAAAAATTTTAGAATTGCATGTATTTTAAATATTAGAAATTATTTCATGCCATGAAAACTCTAGAAATTAAAAAAAAAAAATTTGTTTTAAGTTTTAATCGTGATGGAAGAACTACTTGATGGGCTTATCGGTTCAAAACTATGGCAGGAGACCTAAGGCCATGTCTTTGAAGAACAAAAGAAACCATGTCTATTACGAAAGCAAGCCCGATCAAGAAGAACGAGGAAAAGCCCATGTCTGGAAAAAAAATGAAAACCTCGCTTCAAACATGGCGTTTTTTAGTGTTTATGTTGTTTTGTTGTTTTGTTTAGTTTCAGGTTAAATTAAGGAAACTGTAGTTGGAAACTTCAAAGCCAAGTAAAGGAAACAAGTGGCAAAGTCATCGTCGTGCCCTCTGACGAGAAATATGGCCAGGAAATATTTAATCATCAAAGCTTTTACTTTTCATGCAGGATGTCCTTTCGTTTCCATCCAGGGCTAATTATGTGATTCGCCCTGTGTCCTGTTGTTTTGCAATGCGTTTGGTCCATTGACTAGCTATGCTGGCTTTAAAGTCCTGTTAACTGTTAGGTCTAAGCCCACAAAAACTTTAAAGAGCCTTGATGAAGCTAAATGCATTCATTCATTTGACATTTTGAGTGTGCTTGGCAGTGGGTCTTGACTACTTGGACAGATGATGAATGTAAATTGATGATGGAGAATTGTTACAAGGCACTCCCTGTAGGAGGCAAATTGATCGCATGCGAGTCAGTGCTGCCAGAGGATATCAGATGATAGTCATCGGACTCGGGCTATCCTCGAAGGTGATAGACAATTTACAGTGCCAAGGGTTAGCATAGGCAAATTGATCACATTAACTTTATCCGCACCTTTCGTTATGACTCATGGGAATTGATCAACATCATACAAAGAATTACACTTATGACAAGAATAATTACTCCATTTTATTACGTCTACACTTAAAATTTCTCTCTGGAATGAATTAATAACCGTAAATTCTACATAAACTAGTTGTGGAAATGAGTATATAGATTCTATCTATATAGTTATACCCTCATAACAATGCCCGCCTATTCTCGAAGCCATTCATCTCCAGCAATGTACGAAATGTTCATGTAGGCAGCTGCTTCATATTCCATTAGCTTCTTCGCATAAGAAGCTCTGAATGTGTAGTTTGCTCCAGGCCCCAAGCACTCGTATTCTCCAAAAAATACGGTCCTGGAAATAAAAGTTTTGCATATTATGATAAAATCGCAGAGGAATGCTACAAAATAATTGCCATATAAACATCAAACAATGCATATATAGACTAGAAGATGCAACAGAGGTGAAGGTAAAAAATTGACAAAGAAAAGATCAAATAATAATTTTAAAGGAAAAGAAAGATGAAAGTAGTAATTAAATGAGATTGATCATTGTATAAAAGGGGAGGTAAAAATTTTTGAGAGACCGTGACCCCTGTCTGTCCCTTTTAACGTTTGTCTTTATGATGTAATATGATGAAAATTCGTAAAAAAAGATGGGAAAAAATTGTAAATTTTGAAAACAAGAGAGGAAAATGTACTTTCAGGAAATGTACTTTCAATGTAAGTTTAAAGAAAGATTTTGTAATTTGAAATTCCATAGATAAATTAAGAGGTATGGATCAAACGACAGACTGGTCTCTAGAGGGATCTCGCCAGTCATTCCAGCCGCCTGGAGCCACAACATGAGACATGTAAGTTCTAGAAAATACGACAGTGGCATAAGCTCCCCAAGCTCGTCCAAGCCACACGGTCCCGGTTCCCCGAATGATGCAATCCACGAACGAAAACCCTGTTTGTTCATCCATAGATTGCCTTGCTTGAGCTGTGATGGATCCACTAACTCCACTCGTCCCCTCTTTAGCAATTGAATGGATAACGCACCCCTGTCATTAATTACTGTAAGTTTGTAACATTTGGGGACAAAAAGTGTCGGTATGAGGCAATGTGTCACTCACGGCTCAACATTGAAAGTGATATATAGTGGTAAATGATATCAAATGAAAGTGAAGTGCAGTGACAAAATTAAACTTAATCACAAAGTTATTGTACCTCATAGAGTGATTTAGCATTTCCAAATATGAAATCAATGGAACCTTGTATGAAACATCGTTTGAAATAATGCCTCCCACGATCATCAAGAAGAGTGTCTTGGGCTCCATAAAATCCACAATTGTAAAATGCAGCTCGATCTCCTGCTATTCTAAGTGCCACCGCCTGCTTTCCAGTTTCACCGGGGAATGGCTCTGGAGCTGTATTCTTTTCGAGAAATTGGAACCCAACCGAACCCAACCACGACAAATGAATAAGAAATCAATGTCATCCAATAACTAAATTTCAGTAATTATATAAACAAGTTCAGGGTTTTACAAGGATTTGAGCTACTTAGTTTTTGGTGTAATAATTTATTGAACTTAAAATTGAGAGTTTAAAATAATTCAATTACGAACTTACTGTTTAATTCCAACGGTTTACTCACCTAAAAAGAGGTGGATTTTCATAAGGGTGGAGTCTGATCCCTAATACGAATTGCAATTCCTCTTTCTTTATTTCTTACACTTCAACTTCCTTTGTACTAAAAAAAATATAACTCTATTATGCCTCAACTGTTTGCTCGTAGTCACACATATAATATACTTCACATCATAAATTTACGTTAGATTTTGGGCAAGATAGATAAATGGAGCAAATTAAGTCACTTTTCAACTCCTCTAAATTTGTAGGATGCAAAGTTACAAGACTACGTCTCAACCTAAGAGAGTAAGAGTGAAGACTAATTACCTTAAAGCTAATGTTGTATGCTGTAAAGTTAGCAGCAAAGATGGCAACTGAAGAGCTGTATACAGTCCCTCCAGTGGAATTCGAAGTGTCATTCCATTCTATTGCGGTGTTGAGAAAACCCTCACCTTGAATTATCAAGTTGGATTTCTTGGCATGGACTACTACCTTCTCCCTGCCATCATTATAATCAATGAGGTTCCATGCATGCAGAAGATGATCAAGTTATGTTGGATTAACAGGATTAGGTATTTATGGTGCAAAATACAGAACAAAGAAATTAACGTTGTAATAATGACCTGTATGTACCAGAATAAATAAAGATCAGGGTCTTGGAGGGGCTCGAGTCAGGAACAACATCTATCGCCTTCTGCACGCTGCTGAAATTGGCGCAACCTTTGGAGTCAACTGTTAATACAAGTGACACTTTGTACTGAGAAATGAGGCTAGACCTCCATCTGGTATAATCAGTACATTTGTGCTTACGCTGGTAATGATGGTTTCTAGACAGCATCCTTGTTAGTAAAGATAAGAGTTCACCACCTTGCCTCACAACTTTTCTGACGAAGGAAACGTCAAAACTATCATGATCGTTTAGGGTGATGCTTGTTTTGAAAGGAGGGAGTGTATACAGAGCAATTAGACTGGAAAACAATGCAATGAGAAAGGCGAAGAGCCAAAAGGAGTTTGTTCTGATTGTCATGGCTGATGCTATGGGTTAGTTAGAGAATGATGTTATATTGAGCTAAAAGAGGAGGGGAAAGGTATGGCCTTTAACATTCCCTTGGGAAGGCCGAAGGAGTGAGTTAAAGTGATGATTGGCGTGGGAGGTAAGATACGTATGGGCCTTACTACTGTGATGTTTGTACGTCTATTGATAATTATAGTCTCTTCTTCAAGAGTAATGTGGTGTGTAAACGAAAGAGAGAAAAAGAAAAGGAAGGTTGGAAACTGCATACGCTAAGCCACGAGAAAGAGAGAAAAAAAGGAAATTAAGATTACGGCAATGATGAAAGTAAAGGAACTGCGATATTAGCATGTTCATACTCACCAGATACTTGTTGACCCATTTTAGTTATAAATATGCTTAATATAATCATGAGTTCATGACTAGAACGACTATCCTAATTCAGATTTGCATGTAATAGATACTTCATGACATATATTCAATGGATGAAATTACTGAAGATAATCAATACTAGAAAGAGTTATATTACAATTTGAAGATGTTTAGGACAATCAGCAAACGCCCATAATAAGCAACTCTAACACGACCTTCAGCTAGTGGTCTCCTCAGACCTTATGATTGAGAGTAGTAAGCTTTTCTATTTCTACACATGGTAATAAATTTGTGTTTGAGATCAACCTTTTTGGGATAAAAACTGGATTGTTTGATTTTGCTTCAAATTCATGCGACCGCATTTGAGGACTAATCAAGTTCTGGGGTTTTGTAGAATGGAAATCATTGTTTCTTAAATCACAAAGGCGGAAGCAGGAAGGCTAGTCAATATCTCGGTTTCTGGTTTATATCCTCTTTCAGACATTTATTCAACAACGTCTTCCGTACTGTGTCCATTACAAGGAAAGGCTGTGATGTTTGTAGGTGTTGGTAATAAACAAACTTCGAAATGCAATCCCACTGTTAGTCCTAACGAACTTGCAGATAAATCCAAGAAATCAAATATAAACCCTAGTAACTTCGATTACCTATCCTCTATTCTGCCAAATGCAAGTCTTGTGCCGGGCTGTTTCATTAATAGTAGGATAAGAGAATTTTAACAGCACTTCACATTGGAGCTCCTCCCATTTCACAAATTGAGCTCACTTCTTTACCTTGACCTTAAAAGTGACAGAGAATAACAAATTTATGTACCTCAATATCTACGTCCATACACAAATTAAATACAACAAAAAAAAAAAAGCTATTTTCCTCCCTTCCGCTCCAAAAATAAACTATCCCTTACTCCACTTGGTTATATAACTCTGTAGGCTCTGTACTATTAATAACTGGACAGGGGGAAACTTGTTTCTGTAGCATCGAAGTTCCTTTGAAAATCACCATCTGGCAGCAGGATTTCTTATATTCACTAAGCTGAAGCACGAGGCAGACGTAAAGTTTCAGAAACATGGCAGTCAAAGTTGGACAACAGAATATAAGCACATTATGATGTATTGACAAACCTGGTCTGGCCTTAACTTCTTGAAGCCGAATTTGTCCGTCCAGATTGATTCGGCTTCTTCAGCAGCTGGAAGCACAATGTTTTTGACATTCAAGAATGCCAGCAGCTTCTCAATACAAGAAAACAATAACTGGAAGTATCCCTGTAAGGTAATTTAACTTCACTAAATCAAGATTTAGGACAATGATATTGAAACAGGCAATAAAAGATAACAGCAACTGTCAAAGTATATATATTATGCTTTCAAAACTAATAATTTCCTAGAGTCACAAGGAATTAAAGACAAGTGAAGGAGAAGCAACTCCAAAGGGAGTCAGCAAGAAGGATATTATTCAGATTGTTTGGTGGGCCAGGCAACAATTCCAAATTAGAAAAACCGGAATTGCCATTGTGGTAGTCAAAATTACAAAGCCAGACAATTGCAGACAAATGGAAATCCAGTTGATTAAAGCCATGTAAAAGAAGTGGGAAACGTAGGCAAAGGTCATAAACACAAAACTTGGGACAATTAGCCTCACCTTCCCACGGTTAGCAAAGCTTGTAGCAACTAAAGGGAGTTCAGCAATTTCTTGCCCAAAAACTCGAATTATTCCAGCTGATACAACGTATGAGCTGCAGCATTAGCAAAAGAAAACATTGTCAACATTCTAATAGCAAAAGCATTTAAAGCTTTAAATGTTATGCAAACGTCTTACTTGATTGTCAATACTGCACAGTACATTCCCCCATATTCTTGGCCCTTTAAATTCCTTCTGTGAGAGAGATGAATAGAACAAAGGACATAAATTTGTCCAAAAAAAAAAAAAAGGACAACACATCTAAATATGCAGCCAGCTACATCACGCACAAACAAGGGTCTCATGCTTACCCATAAACCATGCATGGGATAAGGTCCCGCCCAGTTGATGCATCAATTACAGGGTTGAAACATTCCTTGACAAAAAGATGGAAAAAGAAAAAAAAGAAAAAAAAAGCAAAATTTCAGTGAAATAAGACAAGCCATGGGTCCAGACATCTTTTATGTTTTGAAAAATAGAACATAGCCTACGACTTAAGTAGCAGATCACATCAAGTCCAACAAGGCAAAATTATCTTACACTAGAAAATCGCAGTTTGAAATAAAACATGCAAATCACAGCTGCACTTTGCCAAGCAATGTTTCAAATTTGCAGGATAAATCTTGCTGGAAATGTACATTTACCATCCCACATCTCCCAAAAGCCTTTAAAGCAGCCCCTATGCAAAGGTAGCAAAGTAGCGTCATTTTGTTTTCTAGCCAGAGAAACAAAATGCATCCATTTATCAATCCTTTTGGCTTAAATACTCTTATGAAATTAAATTTGTACAATCATTTTCTCTTTCTATATATAACATTAATTGTGACAAGCTCCACCGTGATAATAATGTCAAACCAAGGTAATATTAAGATGCTTCCAAATTTTGGTGATGATTGAACAGCAAAAATACATAGCTAATGTTAAGGAGATGTCTATTCTAGGAAAGTAAGAGATAAACATACATTAACTATATAAACACAGTATTTTGCCTTTCCCTTCCACTATAGCAGAAGGAAAAAATAAAACTAAAAGATAAAGAAAAAGAGAAAAGAATGAGGACAACAAGCATAATAGTTAGTTACAGAGCTACTGATGTTTACATGCAACACATTCAACCCAGAAAGCATACTTTCCGAATAAATACTTGAAAATAAACATATAATAACAGCAATAATTAAAGGAAAACATTGCATGGCCACTGTTTATCAACAGTTGCAACAACCATTGGTCATAAAGTGAAACAATTAAAGACATGATGAACAAGACTTACATGGAAGATACCAACAGCTTGAGAAAGCAACAATCTAGTTTCAGGAGAAGCAAATTTGCCACTAAGAAGCCTCCATCTCACGTCAATATTGATATTAGCATCTAAACCCTTTTCTACATGCTTCTTCTTCACAATATCCAAAAAGAACTCTGGAAGCTTTTCAGCTCCACGAATGAGCAACGTCCACAGTGTAGAATGGATCCTACTGCAATCTGAGCAGCAAAACCATTTCCCTCTGGGTATTTCCTGTTGTACAAGTAGCAACAGTGTTTTCATCCATTAACAGAATAGTGTGTCCAATAGACAGGAGCGAAGAGTTTCATATCAAATAATCAAAGGTACAATGACATTAATAATGGCAATGCATACCCTTAGATCAGCCATTTTATGACTCCTCAAACAGCCAATATGATATTCTTTCTCGCACTGGTCCAAAATGATTTAAAAATAAAAACAAAAGATGCGCAAATCAGTGGAAATACAATTAAAAGAAAAACATGTTCAACAGACTTTAAGACCAACGTACAAAAAAAGGTTAAATGAAAATTTAACATTATACCTGATCACACAGTATTATTGTCCGAGGACCAAATCCTGATTTGCTAAAATCACATGCCCTATATAAAATAAAATCAAAGCAACAACAATTTCAAGCCAAATCAAAGGATATAATGGACAGAACCAAAGAAATTTATGAAATATCACAATGCAAACCGTATAAGGATAGTCTTCATGGACTATAAGCTTCAATCAGATTCATACTAGTGTGTACTCATCACCTGCATAATGTGCATCCACTAAGTTCTGCCTCGATGCTTTTCACAATATGTAGGCATCTGCTGGTTATTTGTTCTATAGCATCAACTCCTAAAATCCTTCCAGCAGCAACAGCATTAGCATTATGCTCCATACACTTTTCTCTCATAAACATGTTCTGGCAATATTGGCAGTACCAGTGACCACGAGGAATTGTTGGTAGAGATGCACATTCTAAATAGATCAATAAAGGTGTTACTCATTATCAATCAGGTAAATCAGAGCTGTAAAACTAATCTTCAGAGGCAACTACAATAGTCTTTGACAGGTAACAGAAAAGTAATCTACAAAAACAAAACAATAACTCTAAGCGTAACCATCTTTGTTCAAGATTAAGAAACAAGAGACCAAATCACAATAAGTGGAAAAATGAAAGGACACAGCAGAAACCAAGTTTTGAATTTCTTACTGCTTAAAATAAAAGTTCTAGGAAAAGTAAATGCGCCAAGCAAAATGCCAATAAAAACATCTAATAACATGCCTCAGAGAGACTAAGAGAGAACACATTTATGTTAATATGCAATGCCATTAACTGAGTTGGTCTCCCAACAACTCAGTCTCTGTTTATTTAAAATAGTTGGTTTTTCATCCAACTCAAACTCCACCTCTTTTGTTTATTTTCCTTTTTCTCTACCTTTTTTGACTAAAACATTCCATTCAAAAATCATGATGCAATTTAAAAAACCGTATTCTCTTTTTTTTTTTTTTTTGTTCTTTTCTCCTTATTATCTTCTCTTGGTAAAATATACAAATTCTTTATCTACATAGTCAATGCCACATGTCTACTACAGTAAATCTCATGCATATTTAGAGATGCATATCAGGCATGAAGATTAGATACCTCAGACCTCAGGTTGCCCAATTATCATTCTTAACAATACAAAAATGCATAACTAGTCAGATGAATCCCTAAAACCCCAAAGACAAATAAATAAAACATTATGGTGTCCAAAAAATACCACAAAATAAAGCTATGAACCCAAGAAAACAAGATAAAACCATGCATCCCAGCTTTTCCTATTTAAAATGAAAAGAAATTCTTAATATACAATCAAACCTTTATGGAAGGCCCTCGGGCATCCATCACAAAGCAAAAGATTTCCACCATCAGCACAAATGATGCATGCATCATCATTATCCTTGGCAGAATAACGACGACCTTTTGAGAGAGATATTGCCAGTTCATGCAGAGACACCCCATTAGATGTGTAAATGTAAGCATAGCTGCCAAAAAACAAAAATATAATCAAGATATACTTAACAAACATATAGTAACCTAGGAAGGAAGCTGTAAAGCATCTTATATGAAAATATACGGTTTTCGGCGAGAAGCCCGACCAGCATGAGCTTCAAATTGTGACGGGCTAACCTGCACGATAAAAAGGAAACAGCATAAACAGACAAACAATGCAATTCCTAAATTCTGAAGATCAAGCAATAAAAGCACAATACCTCACAATTGCAACAACGACAAATTATCCCATAGCCCTTTTTGTAACCCTCAAGCAATCTCTGCCCATCAAAACTAATCACAATTTACACAACACTAAGATACAAAGGCATAACATAAATTACTTTTATCTCAATTACCTGTCCATGGACACAATATGCAACTTCAGTTCCATCAGGCAGTCCATCTTCCTCAAATACCAACTTATGCAATCGCTGATCTCTACAGAAAAAAATTCCAAGAAGAAAAGGAGACTAAATCAGAAAAAAGGGGGAAAAAAAAAAGAGCTTAGTCTAGAATTATATTAAAAAGGAACCAACTTTGTTGTCATCTTCCATTGACTTCCATTGGGTGAATACATTGGCGATGAGGCACCTTTGAAGGTCTTTGACATCAAAACCGGTTTCACTGGCCTGAGAAATTCCAATAAAAGCACAAAAAGGAAATAAGTATGAAGAAAATACCAAAGACTGCAAAGGAGCTTCACTGAAAAGAGGTCCTTGCATCTCAAAACTTTGCAGGCATAGGACGTAAAACAGAAGTCAGAAACATACCATTGTAAAATGGCAAAAGGAAAAGGATAAAACAAATGATACTAACTTCTTTTTTATTCTCCATTGGCCCTTATTTTTTGAGGAAATATAAACTGAAGCACTCTTCAAGGACTTTGTCAATAACCCTGGTTTTGTTAACCTAGAAATAACAAATATGGAAGCATGATACACCAGCCATAACCTATAAAGTACAATATTCAAAATTTAAATTACCATCTAGCACCACTATAGAGCTTCCAATTAGAACTATTTACTTCCCACGAATGGAAAGAAAATGGTTATAGACAGAATTATGCAAAACTAAAATGACAACAGTAAGACATAAAAAGAAACCAACTTTCTTGTTGTCTTCCATGGATTTCTATTTTGTGAAGAAATAGATAATGAAGAACATTGTGATGAATTTGATGTCAAATCAAACTCTGATGACCTGAAACAATGCAGGAGGCACGTGAAAAAGGCATAAAACATCAATAATTCATCTCATTTCAAAACAAATAATTGAGGGCCTATTTATGAGCTAAAAAAGGATGACACAAGATGGCACCCAAAAAAAAAAAAGACATTAAAGAGATACTGACTTTCCTGCTTTCTTGCATTGACTTTTATTTTGTGAAGAGATGCTCAATGACACACTTCCAGAAGACTGCGACATCAAAACTGATTCTTGTGATCTGAAATAACACAAAAAACAAAACATATAAAATAAGAAATGTAGATGTTACCATCAAGTACTAATTGATATAAATTAAGATAAAATTATATCAAGAATGCATTAAAATTTACTTACTTTCTTGTTATCTTCCATTGTCTAGTAGATTGTGGAAAGATACCCATTGTAGCAGTTCCAGAGGACTGTGAAATCAATAGTGGTTCTTGTGATCTGAAATAACATAATGCGACAATATAAAATAATATATCTAGACATTAATACTCGGAAGTAACTGAAAACCATAAACAAACATCACTCTAGCATTTCTTTACAACTTCATTTATGTTTAATTTTATACTGCAATTCAGTTTCATATACTCCCAAGGAAAAATGAATAAATTGCATTTCTATGAAGGAGTATGCATACTGTAGAATTGTCAGTCAAATAAACTTAAAATGTATCAATCAATTATAGCTGAATGGACAATCAAAAACCCCATCAATACCATACAAAGATTTGAATCTAACACCTTCAAGGGGAATTACATGGTAATGAATTGTAATGAATGCTTGGTTATCAGGAAGAGATTGTGCAAATAACATAGTTTAGCAAATCAAATGATCAAACTACAAAATTTAGACACATAACAGTGCAATTGTCAAGCAAATAGAAAATTCAACTAATGACAAACATTAAGATCCCTAGCCAACCATACTCTATAGCAGAAGAGACATTGATTACTAATTTTTTTACAAAGCAATGCTTAAAGAATGCATACCTAGCTCCTGCTCTGGGTGCACTCATTGTGCTGCACTGAGATTTCTTTGACTCCATGCATGAATTGCAAAGTGGCCCCATTTGGCCATCATGTATTACAGGAAATGAACCTAGAAACAAGTGAATGACAAAAAGAATAAGATCACAATACAATCAAAACCATTCTAATTACTTGTCTCTGTCAATAATAATGAATTTACCAAGACAAAAGGTCACCTTTGCATCTTCGACAAGTGAAACATTTTTGCTCAGGCAAAGCACTAACGATATTTTGAATTGTTGCTTCTAATGTATGTAGAGGTCTCCTCCTGCATGCCCTCAACACATCGAGCAGGCTCTTCCCATTTTCAAAGCAGATATATTGTGCTGCACGTTTGTATTGTTTACAAGCATGAATCTCAAATTGGGAAGGAGCAACAACCTAAAATAGGAAACAAAATAGCAGCAAGAACTTCAATAACAGCAATTATTAATTCATGGAGTTAGAGTCCAAGACAGAAACTTAAGAAAGAGATTCCTTACCCTACGCCCCTCGCACAAAGAACATGAACACAAAATTCCTCCATCTGTAATGATACCCCGAAGACCAGCTGTCTGAATTAATATAAAACTAATAATAAGCCTTAAGCTTTGTACTACATTTAAATTTCAAAGTAAAAGAAACAAAGAGCAAGAACCATAAATTCAAAAATAATAATAATAATAAAATGGGCGGCAAAGAACCACCTTACTACTTATTGTACCCATGTAAACTACTGGAACCCCGTCAAGTAAACCAGTGTCAAAGAGCTCTTTAACTGTCATTGGGCACTTATTAAGGGCAACCTTTTTTGAAATTTTCAACTCCAAATTCTTCCTTGGAGTCGTCAATCCACTGCCTTCAGCTGCTTCCTGTCCACCAAAATTTGAAACTAACACATTTTCAACAGTCTGCTGTTCACCCTCCAAACTGCCTACTGCTTCAACCTTTGGTCTCAATGATGATTGTTTAGACCGTCCCAGGGCCTTCAAGTGCAAATCATCATTATTTCCGTCACTACCGTCAACAATCTGCATCGAAGATCCTTCAAAACCTCCTTTCTCAACCAGACTCGTCTCCAGCTCATTCATCGACTTCTCTTTAGGCATGACCTTTACCAAATTATAACTAGACACTGCACGAAACCTAGATTGAACAACAGGCCTACCATCCATTCCAATTTCCTCAACAACCAGGTTCCCTACAATGGCATTTTCTCCAATAATATGGCTCTCTTCAATCGAAGCCTCTATAAATGGACCCCCTTCAACAATATCTCGAACAGCTAAGCTCTCATCAACCACATTTTCAACTGCCATTACAGTTTCATTTCCTGGTCTACCTCCAATTACACCTTCAACTACATCATTATTCACATCACTTGCTTCAATCAAAGTTTTATTCTTCTGATCCCTATCAACTAAAGACTCTTTAACACCATTTATCGGTTTACTAATGTTCAGCTTTTTGTTTCCTAAATTCTCAGAAAATTCATCATGGCAATTAATTCTAGATTTTTTAACTCGAGTGTAAACAATGTAACCATTCACTTGAGTACTTTTAATTCTTTTACAACTAGCACTAGAACTAGCCTGAGTTTGAGAGTGAGTCACCGTCTCCCGAGTTGGACCGAGTGAACCCTCCAATCCGAAATCCAACTCTCGCTTCATACCTCACTCCACTCTCAAATTCCACTAAATTCTGCCAAAAATAAAAAAGAATAATAAAAAATTTTCACAAATCATTAATCAAGTAAAAACTAGAAAATTCGAGAAATTTAGCAGCGATATAGTTAAGGATTTTACCGATTAAGATCAGATAAGGGCCATGACAGATATGATTTTAGAGAAGAAAGTCGAAATTTTGGGGGGATATTAACATGGAGGATTCGGGGATTAGATTCGAGGAACTTTAGGTTTTGAATTTAACCTTTGAGGATTTAAAAAAGGAATTTGAAATTTTGTGCTTTTTTTTTGGGGGGGGGGGGGGGGGGTTGTTGTTAGGAGATGATGAAACCGACATGCCGACGAGAGAAAAATGGGACGGGGGATATTTTATGAGACGGGACAAACGGCGTGATCCGTAAATAACAGAAAGTGGTCAAGGTGTATGAATTGACGATATTAACCTTACTTGCCTTCCAAGTTACCTAATTAGCCGTTATTTTATTTCAGGGGAGTGAGGTCCAGGCCTGTTACTTTGTGTTTGTTGAGGCCCTGTAGGGCCAGCGTACTGGTTTTTTATTTGGGCTACAAATATCAATCATTTTTAAAGCAAAAATTATCGATTGTCACCATATGTACCAAAAAAAGTAATGTCAATCCATTCAAGCATTTGATTCGTGCAGGATTACAATTCTATATCTCTTGATGTAAAAGAAAATCCCATTATCATAGTGTTCTTGTAGTTTAGTTGTTTAATTCTTAGGCTTTTTTTTTTTTTTGTGAATGTTGGAATTTATTGATAAAAATTCCTAAAAATAAATTAAAAAAAAAAGAAGAAAACTCTGTTTTAAAGGTATCAAAATGAACCTAGATAACCTACAAATGTATTATTTAGCTAGAGAGTACAGTTGTACCTTAAGAGTTTGTTACCTTCTTGATTTGAATATCTAATCCCATCCCAACCCATTATATGATTAGGGTAAATTTTCTAAATTAAATAAATCAAATTAGCTTCGGACTCTTTTGAAAGTAAAATATTATTTTGTTAAATTTAATATTTAATTTAATTGATTCATGTAATCATGTTTAAAATATGACTTAAAATAAATTTAAAATTTAAATTTCAATACTTGTAATTCCTTTCTATAACTTACAGTATGATATACTTTATTAAAAAAAAAAAAAAGGTTATTTTGTCTAACAATAATAGGGTATCTTAACCATTCATTATTAACATTCATGTAATTACGGGGGAAAATTAGGATTTACAAGTAGGTGAAAATAAGGCTGTCATTCAACATAAGGAGTAAATGGCATGCTGTCATATTGCACATCTGGGTTAAGCATAAATAGGTGAAGATAGGGAAGAAGTTATAAATTAGGATCATGGTTGCGAACTACAATGTTTGTGCATGCTAATAATCTTTTTCAAATTTGTATGCTCTAATTTAATCAAAATTTGATGGATTACACCATATAAATCATGCTACCAGTTATTCTGGACACTGCTCACCAACTTAACTTATCTACTTTGTCTGCAACTTAAAGCTCTCTTAAAAAGAGTTTGGACCAGAATAAGTACAATTCTTGTGGATCCTATATATGTGTGAAAAGCAGCAAGAAGAAGATATTAAGCAACCAGCCGCTTGCATGACTATCTATATGCTAAATAGGAGCTTTGATGAAGCTGATCAATATCTGATTTATATATCAGGCACTTCAATGAAATATGAAATCTGCTACAATTAAAGCCAATCATAATGAAAAATCTTGTGTATTAATTGAGGTGATTCAGCTTTTGTTTTATCTTATAAGTAGCTTAAGATATATCACTGGGACAAACTAATTATGTGAATTTGAAACATTTTTTACAGAATTATAGGACCAATATACAGGTCGAATCGATCTCATAGCATGGAAATGCAATTCGTAAGGTATTGCTAGATCTTGGTGGGAAAAAACTACATTAATCATGAATGTTTTCTGCTTGTTAATTTCTAATCCTCATTTGCTTAGGCTCCGTAAATGAGGATGTTTGAGAATTCTCGTCAATTTGCCCTATTTTTTGACTAATAATATATTGAGCACGTGGTTAGCCTCTCTTTCTCTTTGAAAATTACTATGTAGAAAAACAAAAAGATAAGAACACAAAATGAAGTGATCCTATTTGTCTAAAGTTGGGGATATGGGGCCATTAAGAAAAAAAAAAAAGGGATATATATCATATATATTACTGTTGTGGCAAGCGTTTCTGTAAGGTTTATTCATTGAACAAATTTCATTAACTTACAAGCTCATCAGTCATGATTCAAAGCAAATTTATTCTGCAAAGACAACCCTTCCAACCAAGCTGCAGCATACTGAAAGTTTGGCCACTGGCCTACAAATATATAGTTAAGATATCAAAGTACAGAAGAAAACAGCAAGATATAACAAAACTGGAAGTAGCATAATCTGACTCGCCCTGAGTGAGTTTCCTCTCGAGCCCTGCAAACAATACAATGAAGTGAAGAGAGATGCCGGTCGAGGAAGCCAAAATGCCAAAGGATCGAAGTTGCCCTATAAGAGAAACCGCCCGTAAGGAAGGCGATTCAGTTTCAAAACAATAACCTCCATTAACACCCACTGTCCTCAGACAAGGTTCGTGGGAAATTATAAAAAGAAAAACATGAACGAAACAGCACCATCAGCAAGATATAAGAAGCCTTGGCCACCCCCGCCTGGCTGGTTAGAGCATTTGAAGCCATTGGCAGGTGTGGCCTGCAGGTAATGGTGCAGAATTAAGAGGGTTTGATATTGATGCTTTGTATGGGTTGATATAGGTTTTAATTTTAATTTTAATTTTTCTTGGTCATAAGGGCAATAAAAATTGTCACTTGATTAAAAGGAAAGCACGCAAAAAAGACAAGTGGGATGAGCGAAATGGAGGTTGTTTGTTTCGGCATCTTCCAAGGGATATGCCATTGCCACCAGCTCTTATTTGCGCCACATATGATGACATATCTCTTTTCTTTCTTTCCTCCAATATTTCTTTTCTCAAGCCCCCAGGACTTTATAGTATAATGGCGACCCCTTCCCTTTCATCACATGGGGATAGAGCCTTTCATCCTGTGGAGAGTCATGTTCCTAGAATGATACTTGTTAACCACATAATTCCTTTTTGGGTTGAGGGAAGGACAAAACTCATATAAAGATATTGAGGTGAAATTTATAAAATTTAATCTTAAAAATAATTTAATAAAAAATTTAAATTGATAAATTAAAAAAGTTTAATTTGGAAATTAATAAAATATAAAAAATATTAAAAATGTAATTCAAATTTGATAGATACTCATTCAACAATAAAAATTTTATTAATATTTTTACCAAAATTATCTATTTAAAAATATATGTCAAAATTTATTAAAATTTTTTCAAAATTTACATACTTAATCTATATAACAAAAAATTTCAATTTATTGATTTTAATTTTTATTTAATCATTTTTAATAAAAAATTTCACTTAAAAAATTTTATCTATTAAGATCAATCACTACTTAATTGTGTCATGAAGTAAGAAAGATCTAATTTTAACTCTATAAATTTACCCACTACTCGAAATTTGCTAGCACAAAAAGATGATTTTTCCAGGAAAGAAAAGCATAGACAGTTAGCTTAATATCAAAATATATCCTCATATTTTAGTATAAATAAAATAGAATTATAATATTTTTTTATTTTTTGTAATTATAATCATAAACTTTTAAAATCAATTAAAATTTTTAATTTAAATAACTTTATAACTTAAATTATTTTATAAAAATCTAATTTAAATAATAAAAAATTAAGAATAACTTGTTACGTGCTTTATCAACACTATTAAATAACAAATATTGGTATTTCATTATTTAAATTAAAATTTTCATTGATTTAAAAAAATTATAATTATAATCACAAATAAATAATTATAACTTTATTTATATGCAATAAAAAATAAATTTTTTATTTTATTTTTTATTAAATTACAAAGATATATTTATGTAGCAAGGGGAGATAATAAAACAGATGAATCTCTTCTGATCCTTGAAATGAGTTCTGACAAAGAAAAATTAAGGATTTGATTGAAACTTTTGGATTCAAGAGCTCCTTATACCATCATTAGTGACCCAATTTCAAGCACGTGGCATCGCATTATACCATATTCACAAAGCATTCTCTTGTTTGATTTGCAGAAAATAATAACCTCACAAAAAGTAAGGTCATATTTAATAGAGGTAGGTCTTTTTCTTTAGTGTTCTTTTGCATTTCCCGTCTGAATGAGATTTCATGGTCTGCGTGACACCAGCAGCATCATTCTTTTGTTCTCTGAAATAGAGAACTTTGGTACTCTTTGTTTTTTATGGCGTAATGCCTCTTTAAGGACAATTTTCACTTTGCTGAGTCATGCAGTACATTGTGCAGTACCAAACATATAAGCAGAGCTCTACTTTTATCGATGAAAGCAGGGTTCACTATGGATTTTTAAACTGGCAGCGATGCCTTATTTACACACTAAATCCATTTCTTTTTAAATGAAAAGGAAACCAGTGTTTGACCTCAAGAAAGTATGAAACATTGCATTAAGAGACAGGATTTAGTTCTAAATCAGACATGAGAATGTGCTTCTGGATTTTTGCTTGGCAAGAATGGACCAAAAATATTGCGTTCATCAGGCTGCTAAGTGCCAACCCTGGGGTATTTTATTGGTTACAAACCCAGATGAGAAACTTAATTTCTTGTTTCAGTTTGTCTCTGGAAAACACACTTTCTTTCTTGAATATCAATGAAATTGAATCTAGCTAGCACAGTATTTTATAAGCATTTTATTGGGGAAAACTGAAAGAAATGTTTCAAATTAGTAGGAGAAAAAGAGTTACTTAATTGGAAGGGTTTGAGAACCACCTCCTCATACTCTTGACTCCTCTAAGCTTCATGACAAGTTCTTCACGCTGAGCTTCCACTTCTGCATATTTAAGGCTCATGTGGCGGTATCGCTCGCGGATGTCCCTTAGCTCCGCCTCTAGAGATGATTTTGTGCTTTCATATTTTTCTTTTGCCACAACTTCACCTTCAATAGATGATTTTCTAGGCGAATTTGATCGACTTTTCCGACCGTCTGATAATCTGGAAGATGATAGCAGTTGAGTAGGATAATCTAAGCCATTAAAATAGGAAAGAAAAGTAGTCTTATTTTATTGCTAAGCAAAGAAAAAGCCAAAAGGAGGCTATAAGCATAATTCATGGAGTTATGGAAAGAAAATCATGGGTTTTAAACCTGTAACATGTTCCTATTACACTCACCTACTTAGACGAACTTTATACGTGTTATTGGCTTCCATAGCCTTGGCAAGTTCATTTTCAAGCAACTGAATCTTAGAGACAGGATCAACTCCAACAGCTTGAAGGCTTCCATCATGTTCATGGGCATCGTAACTATTATCCTGGATTGAAAGATGAAAAAAGGAATAGAATGCTCAAAGGGTGAGATGGAAGCATTTCCAAAAAGAAATTTAGCAAATATACGATTTCATTTAGGAATCACCAAGATGTAAATGCAGTAACAAAGAAGTCAATCTTAAATCTAGCAATTTTACGATTTCATAATGGAAGTAAATCCCTTACTTCTCTTTTATGTTGGTTTCTGTGAGAATTGGACTGCCGCTGCTTCTGTTTCTCTTCCACTTTCAGTTTCAATTTTTCTTCAAGGGTTTGAGCTTTTATCAGAAGCTCATCTTTCTCATGTTGAAGCTGTTTTATTTGCTGCTGGAATAGTCTGTTTGTTCTCTTGATCTGGTGAAGCTCATTTTTAAGCTCTCCAAACTGCGTTAATAATAATGCCTCTTTTGCCAGGCGGTCACCCTCCATCCTCACAAGTTTTTCTTCTAAGGCTACTTTTTCAGGTTTATAGTCTTCTAATTCTGATACAACCTTTTGCAAGGTAGAAATCTGCCCCAGAAAGGAATTTTTCTCTGCCTTCAAATCATCACATTCTCCAGACAGTAGATGTAATGAAGCTTCCAGTTTCTCCTTGTCAGCTTTGATTGCATTGCACTCATTTCTGAGAGCCAAAATGTCATCCTGAAGATTTTCTATTTTCAGCAGCTGAACCTTCATATTGGTAGATTGTTCTGAAACTTGCTGCCGTTCATATTCAGAAACAGTTAGCTTTAGTTCAAGGCCATTCATAATGGTTTTAAGTTTCCCTTCACTGGACTTGTAACTCTCCAACAACCTCAGTGCTTTTTCATGCTCTGCCATCAGTGTTTCTTGGTTTTCTCTAGAGGCTGCAAGTTCACCCAACAGGTCTTCCATTTTTGTTTTAGCTTCAGTTTGTATTTTCTTGAATTCACTCTCGGTAAGTTTCATTTTAGATACACCTTCTTGAAGAGCTGACTCTAGTTCAACTTTACCTGCATGCAAACCAGAAATTTCCCGTAGAGCATCATAAGCTGTTTTCTCTTTCTCATTTTGCGCTTCAGAGAGTTGCTTTGCTAGGTTTTCTACCTCTTGTTGAAGATTTTCAACTTCTTTTGTCTTCTGCAAATACATTTGATTCCAGGAGCTTTCTTCAAGCTTCAGTTTAGCCTCAAGTTTCTTGCTTTTATCATGAATTGCATCCAATTCCAAAGTGAGGCTTTCCTCTTTTGATGCAAAATCTTCAATCACCAATGTAAGATTTTCCTCCAAAACTTCAATCTTTTTGCGGCAATCAGTCAAGCTTTTATCTGACTCCCTTAGTTTGGCCTCCAAGTGAGCACAATGCTTATCCAATTTTGACTTTTCCTTCCTCGAGTCTCCAACTGACCTCTGAAGTGAATTGCATTCTTCAATGAGTGTCTCAGTAGTTTCTTGTAACTTTGTATTTGCTCTTCTGAGATATTCACACTTTTCTTCAGAAGCCAACCACTGATCATGCATGTCCTGAGGCTGTTTTCCCATATCTGTTTTTCGAGCCTCCATCTCATTTCTAGATCTTGTAATCTCATCCTTGAGACTTGTAACAAGTGACTTCGAATCCTCAAGTTGCATTTGAGTTGAATCTCTCTCATCTTTCAAATCTTCTAGTTGAGCTTCCAGAAGGGACAGACGTAATGACAACAGCTTGTTTTCGTCTTCCAGCTCTAATAAATGTATCTCAAGTTCATGTTTTACTATTTCTAGCTCAGCAGAAACACCGGAATCCATACTGCTGCTATCATTTTGCAGATCATCCAGGCACTTGGTAGCGATAACACTTTCTCTTTGGATGACTTGTAACTTATCCTCTAGTTGAGCCTTCTCTCTTTGGAGATTAGACACCTTCGCTTCTAGTTTACTTTGATTCCGTCTAAGTTCCACATTCTCCTCTTCCTTTGACTGCATAGTTGCCTCAAGTGTTTGTATTTCAGTCCTTTTTTGAGTTAACTTCTTTCCTACTTCTGTTACTTCTGCTTCCAATTCCATATTCTGACTTTCAAGTTCCTGAATGTAACTATTATAGTCACTTTGAATCTCCCTGAGAATTTTCTTTTTAAGCTTCTCTTCCAGAAAAAGCATTTGTGACATGTTTTCACTCAGCTCAAATCCGGTACTAGCTGAAAGCTCATCAGACGAAAAATTAGTGGCTGGAACTCCTTCTTTGAAGTTGTTCTTTGTTTCCTTTAGCTTGAGTAGTAATTGAAGGTTTTCATCAGTCAGCTCATTACAATCACTTTTTAACTCCCCTAGTTTTGCTTTCAGGGCTTCAATTTCTCTGATCAGATGTGCATCACCTCCCTTTCTGGACTCCAGATTCACAAAATGTCTTTCCTTGAGAGACTCAGATAGCTTTACTTCCAAACCAACAATTTCTCTTTCTTTAGCTGCTAACTTGCTTCTGTATTCTTCCTCAATATCCAAAAGGGCATCACTGTTCAGTGCCATTCCAGCGTCCATGTCATCTTCTTTGTCCTTCAAAGCCTTTTCAAGATGTTGCACCTTGGCCTGCAAATTCTTCTCTGATTCTTTTGATTGTTGCAACTGGATCTGTAAGTTCCTATTTTCCTCTGTATTTAGCTGGAGATAGCTTTCCAGTTCACTGAATTGTGACTTCAGGGCTGAAATATTCTCCATTTCAACTCTTTGCTTTTCTGTGGTCCCTAGCAGCTCATGAAGAACTGAAACAAGCTCAACATTTGCATCTTGACTCCTCTTCAACTGCAAAGCAAGGTTAACATTGGACTCCTTTTGGAACTTAATTTCATTTTCCAATTCTTTCTGAATATGGGTTACTCCTCCATCCTGAAATGTTGAATCTTTCAATGTTATTTGTTTCACCATTGACTTCTCCAACAACAGTTTCAGCTGTTCAACTTCTTTTCTCAGTGCATCACGTTCTAAATTTGCTGTCGATAGCTCCATGTCCAAATTTGCCAGGCTTTTGGACTGATCAGAGTATTCTTTCCTTAACATGTCCAAGTCAAGTATTAACTTGTAGGCATTCCTCTCCCACATCTTTGCTTCTGCAAGTAGCTCTTCAATCGTTTTTTCCGCTGCTTCAAGAAGATACTTAGAAGAATCTGTCACTCTCAAAGTTGATGCAGAAAACTCCTGCTGATTATCCGAAAAAGTGCTTTGCGAACCAATAATTTGTGAATCAAATGATGAATGATTTGATTGAGAAAGATCATCAAGGTGACAGTTCGCATCAGGCAAATTGTTTTGGGAGCCGAGTGAATCTTGAATTTGTATCAGGTTGTGTGTCTCATGACACAAATTGCTTGTAGGAGAGAAACTTTCCCTCCCTATAGAACTCTCGGCCGAATCATAGCTGTGATGTGAATCTGAAGTTGAGAAACTTGCTTCCTGCAGTGAAGGAATAAATTTTTTTAAAAATGATTGTTTAAAATTTTTAATTCAAAAAAATTAAAATTTTTTGTTTTCTGCTATCACTTATTAACCCTTTGTTTAATCTATACAAAAAATTAAGTGACATTTTGTTTCACAGAAAATGACTTTAAAAAATAATTTTTCCATTTTTATATGTTTGTTTGATAAAAAATTAATTGATTAACAGAAAATAATTTATTGATAAAAAAAAATATGATATTTTTTAAAAAATTATTTTAGGGATTTAAAAAATAGAAGATATTATAAAAAAACTGTCCATAAATAAAATTATTTATCAATATTTTTGAGTATAATCTTATTTATAAATAATATTATATAATAAATAAATAATATTATAATATATTAATAAATAACATAAAAATTAAATAATTTTATTTTAAGTATTTTTTGTATTAATATAATATTTTAATATTAAATATTGCTATTAAAACATAATTTTTTTAATATTAATATTTTTAATAATAAATTATTTTTAATATTTTAATAATTATATCAATATTATTTGAAAAAAAGATTTTTCAAAAAACAATCAAATAATAAAGAACATTTTTCATTAATCCATCCAAATAATAAAAAAAAATTTTAATTTAAAAAATATAAATATTTTTTAAAAATTACTTTTTAAAAATAATTTTTCTCGAAACAAATTGAAACTAAAAAAAATAATATAATTTGAGTGTGAAATTATCTTGTAGCAATTTGAAATATGATACGATGATATAATACGAAAATGATACGAATAAAATATATAAAAATAACAAAGCTTAAAATTTTATAAAAATAATAAATAAATTTAATAAAATCAAAAATTATATTTTATATTTTTATATTTATACAAATTATAAGATGTAATTTTTATATAAAATATTATATAAATATAATATTTTATATGAGTAACATGAATTTTCGTATCTAAATTATCATTAACCTTTTATTTAGTCTATACTATTATATTAGTTGTCAATTTTCATGATTTGACCTTTAAGTGTGATTATCATTTTAATTAAAATAAAATCAAACACTAATTCTTATTTTATCATTAATAATTTAAGAGGGACAAAAAAAAGGACTTAACGTACCCTACTCTGAAGTTCTCCCTGGCGTGGGTCAGTGAACAAATCTTGACAAGGGGAAGAAACACTCGTTGCTAAAACACTCTCTGGTCCACAAGAATTAAAGCTCAGATCACACTTTGCATCGCAATCTGTCTGCTTTGGTTCATCATCCCTAAATCAAGGCATAGCAAATCTTTATTATCCGATAGGAAAATTCACAAAAAAAAAAAAAAAAACAGGTGAACGAAGGGCACCCGATGATACAAACATGGTTTTTGGTCTTGGTGTCAAACAATTAATGTTGACCTGCGTATCAAAATCATATGCACAATGTTGTCAGAAACAAAAACTTTGCTTCAATTTATGTCACGTTCAGATTAGCAAAATGCTCTGATTTCTCTCCAATTGGGACATAAAAATCAACTATTAACCAAAAAAAGTTGTTTTGCTTTGAACTTTGAAGTAGGTGGAATTTTTTTTTTCCTGCTCCCAGCAAAAATACCAAGGATTTGGTCAGCAGGGGCTGCTCTGATTTTGGAAGAAAACTAGACTATGGCTTAATCACTAATGTAGAGAAGGTGAATTTGGTATGTGACCATCTTTCTAAGATTTTAGTTCAAGTTTAAAATCAGATTGTTGATACTCACTTGCAAAATGGTCCCATGGTTACATTTTTCCAATGGTAATGAAACTGGAACAATGACGTTTGAATTTACATAACCTGTCATATTCACTGTAGCCTCTCCAAGAATGCCAGATTTAGCTGATCCCTACAATTCCACATTCATTTGCAGTATTTATCATCTATTATCATTCACCTCAACTCAATTGGACATGTTATTGCAATGGCCAGATCAAGTTTACAAGAACAATCTTCAATCATGGAACTGAAAAACTGATCCCTGTAAAGCAAGATCAACATTTTAAAAACATTATTACCATAGCTACAACAAGCTTGAAGAGATAATCCTCCATCTCTTTGGAAGCCTTTTTTCGTGAAACCCAAATAGATTCTGACAGAGTCTCTGTCCATTGACAAATCCCATCTCGAACTACTGCTTTTTTTGTTTTTGCAATGGTTTTTTCGTTCTCCAAAGAGATTATGGACATGAACAACCTGTCCCATCCTTTTGGCACCTATCAAAACACCAGAAAAACAAACAATGTTTGTAAAATGAAATGAAGGAAAGTAAGAAAGAGAAGAATATGATAGTACTATGAATGAATGAATTACCTGAACTGCTTTGAAATTGGAGAATTTAAAATCTATCTTTTCCCCTGATTTAATTGGCCTTGTTTTGTGCAACCTGAACATCGTTTTTCCTTTTCTTTCTGAATTAACCTGGAAATTTCAGAGATAACATAGCAAAAACATTGCCATTATTGTAATACATCTAAAGGGAGATTGTTAGCTTGCTGGTCATTGTTGTGAACCATACTCGTTAACTTTTAGTGTCTTAATTTCTATGCAGAAACACTCTGGTGTACCAAAATTCATGCCATTACCCTTGCAAACTCTGACACGTGTACAAAAAGGGTCAAATTTGAGGTAAAATTGAGATAGCTCAAAATAACTTGCAGGTGATCTGGTTCGGCAGAAAGTTCCGATGAGCGTAAAAACAAATTGGACATGACTGCCATGAGACAAAAGTACAACAATGCTGGTTGATTAAACAACAAGATTCAACTGTCTAATCATAGGAAATGAGAAAAAAAAAAACATAATATCAATGTTTAGGAGATTATACCAATATACGATTTTTGGGTTTGTTACCTCTCAACTTAGCATTGTTTGATAAATTATATTCTATGGAAAATTTGTCTTTTATTTATATATATATATATCAAACTCTCTCTTGTTCATGCCGATGCATTAGAAAAATGATAAGGTCAATTTTTCATTTTAAAATGCAATGTTTATTAATTTTTTTATAAAGATTCGCACATTATGAAAAAAAAATTAAATAGATTCTTAAATAAAATATTTTAAAATTAATTATATAAATCAACTAAATTAATAATCATGTATTAATTATGTTGTACGATTATATTTAATTAAAAATTATTGACTCAAAAATAATGGACATTGTTCCAAACGTTGACTCGTTTCATACTAGCAAAGTTGTCAGCGTGTTACCTAAACCAAGGTGTTTCCTTGTTTCTATGTTTACAGTATTCACTAAAGAATTGTATTAATCGATTCTATTGACGGGAAAAGTGATAAAAAAAATTTAGAGTGTCAAGAAAAAATTTTCTTTCACTCCAAATTTTTTTTTTTCATGCTTTGTGAGAGTCTGTGAACACTTCACCTGTAGCTTTGCATCCACCATTGTAATTTGGAAATGATAATATATTACAATCATATAAAATTTCATTACTCGACCAAGATTCTCATATGTTCTTATGCGTTTTTCTTAAGATAAATATACGACAAATACCAAATCGAAAATGAGAAAGAAAAAATCCAAGCTATTACAATACTAAAGAGTTTTTTTTTCTTTTCCTCCTCTTATTTCAATGGTTTAAATTTAATATTCTCATCTAATTTTTTTTAATGATTTAAATTTAATTTTACTAAAACATAAGTGTACAATGGAATGGAAAATATGCTCTAAAATAGTGAAAATTTTCACATCTTTATCCAATGATGAATAATGTATATTTAATTAAATATGATTGAAATTTATCAAAATATTTTTTTATTTTTATATTTAATTTAAAATTATTAAATTTTAATCATAAATTTAATTAAAAATATATTATTTACTTTTGGATAAAATAATAAAAACTTACGCTATTTGCAAGAAATGAATTTTTTTGAGTAGTCTAAAATTTAAACCTTTTTTTTTTTTTTTTTTTTATGAATTTAAAGGCAAACTTACTAACACATGTCTCTAATCAACGGCTAATTTCTCGGTGTAGGCAATGAGTTGTGAGTTGCGGGTGAGAAAAAAAAGGAAACTGCCGAAACTATAGGCATCGTATAAGAGCGGAATGGCGGCGAACGGATTGGTGAGCCGAGCATTCCAGTCGGTGCTCAAGGAATGTGCTGGCAAAAATTATCCCACAGGATATTCAAACTTATTTAGGTCAGATCTTATACTTTCTTTTTTAAAATCTTAATGTATCAATCTTATTTTTTCGTTGTTTCTTTGAAACTGTCATCTTTTATCTGGTAATTGTGCTTCTAATTGTAATTTCTTTGTTCAAATCTGTTTTGGTTTTGTTGTTAATTTTTAGTCTAATTTTGATTCTCAGCGAATTAAAGGGCATTGCGATTTTAAGACGTTTTAATTTCTTAAACTCACACCCCTCCCACATACCCAAACCGATTGACAGATGATGTTTCTATAGGGGTCAAGATATTGGATTTTTTGAACATGTATTAATATCAAGATTTCAAAGTCCTTGAAACATGAATGTAGTTGATTCTGTCAATTCCTGAATCTGGACTCTGTTTAGTGAGGAATGTTCTTTGGAATAGGATTCTATGGTTCCAGCGGAAGCCTTAGTCCCCCTTAACAAAGGGGAGCTTCTCAGTAGCATACATCAGGTTGGTATGGTGGAGAAAACTGTAAGTATTAGCTAAATGTTAAACTAATTTAATTTTCATTCGTAGAAAGAGAAATAATACTGCTGTTGTATATTTCTTTACCTCATTTTGCAGGAATTTACTAAGGACGGGACATTGGTCAAGGCGTTTGTCCCTCTTTGTTTTGCAAGGCTGCTTACTCCAATGCGGCAGCTCTGTAAATCATAATTTCGCTTTAGATTCCACAGCTCAAACAGGACATGCAAATGGGGATGACTGGCAAGAAGAGGTCTATCAGAAGGTAAAAACTGTCTTGACATATTCTCCTGTAGATAATAATACACTTACAACTTGGTTTCAAGAAGGTCTTGAGGTGTAGAGAAATGGTTTTCTGAAAGAATATTAGAGTATATTGGGATGCTCATCTTACTAGAACTATAAAACAAAAGAATTACGAACTGAAAAGACATTCAGACATTTCTTGAATGACTTATTAGTTTTAAAAGAAAGAAAATAAAGCTTATTTATTCCTTCAGTGCTCTACTAAATATCTATTATAATTGGTGAGGAGGAAAACTGTCAAATAGACCAACGATATCTTGCATGCTTGACTTCAAAGTAATCATCATTTGTTGATACATTTATTTCTTCTCTTATGCAAAAAAACATTATCTCACATTTATCAGACTTTTGCCTCTGGAATCATTGTACCCAAGTCTTACATAAGGCCTGTAGATGGAAATCTTTACTTGCTACCTTCTTCCTCTGTTGTCTTGGATGCTCACAAAGAAGGGGTAGAAGTTTTTGCAGTGGAATTTTATTATGATATTTCATTTAGCTTCAATTACTCCTACGATCCATTGGTTGAGTATCTTCAGTTTGTTGACAATGGCAACTTCTCTGTTGATGGGGTGATGTCCGACTTCTCAATAACTCCATTAGCAGCTATACGTAAGTTATATACCAGCTTGTATATGCAGTGTTAGTCCTCATCTATTTCTTCAATTTGTTTTTGCATCACATACAATGATATTTACTTTTTAATTTAAATTATGGTCAACTTCAAATTATTTTAAAGGAGCCTTACTTGTCTGAGTGACCTGTGCTGCCATCTTGGGATGTCTTACAAATTTTTGTAGTTTTCACAAATTAGGAAGTATATACCGCTTTATGACTAAAAGGGTCTACCTAAGAATCTTGCACTTTGTTGGCTTTTTTCTCCATGGTTGCCTCATGCTATAGTTGCATCATATGAATAAGAGGGTGAAGCAAGACTACGTCTGCCTTGACTATCCCCTTTATGACTAAAAGGTTGTCTTATTTTTACTAGATGGTAGATACCATTATCTTTTGCTGCTAATGGATGAGAAACATTTTTGTTGAGACACAAAATATTGTTTCATATTGCAGATTGCTTTGCTCACCTAGGCAAAATTGCTTCAAAACAAGGTATGTCATTATACAATGCTTCTGACTGTCCTGTTCAAATGACAAAGAATGGAACACCTGTTTGCTTGGGCTCTATAAATCTGATAGATAGCACAATAGTTGCTGAATCAATTTTTATCTATCTTACAACCACAATTCCAGAGATTATGCAATGTGGTGGAATATTTACCTTCGACCTGTCATTGAGTGATATTAAAAACTTGACACGGAAGTTGAATTTAGTTCTCATTTGATTGTTCTTTATTGTACTGAACTTTTGTTTTGTTTTGTTTTTTCTTTTGGGATAGGTGGGATGTCATCTATAATCTTTAATAGTTTTAGAAACATAACCCGTTGAAAATAATAGTAGTCTAACTCAGTAAAGATTGAAGTTTGTCTATTACGTTGAGTGGGTATTTATGATGCTTTGTGGATGCTCCTCCTGTTTTTTTCTGTGCTTGAAGATTGTTACCCATAACCATTGTGATGGAGCATGACTAAATAAAAACCCTGCTTTGGGAGATAATGTTTCCTTGCAGACAGTACTGTGCATGTGATTTCAGCTAATATTTTGATGAAGATGGTAAGTAGACATTGGCTTAATTGATTATGACTTATTTCTTAGAGATTCAATTTTCCCTTCGGCCTTCTATTTTGCATTTGGTTATCTTAAGCTAAATGCATTGAAATGGCTTATCTTTGTACTTTCAGATTTTTTATTGGTTGCAACTTGTATTGGTTCAGAACAGAACGATCTATTTTTTGTTGGACAGCCCTTATTGTTCTTTCCCCTCTAGATTTGTAGGACCTCTTGGGGACAGAATATGTTTTGGCATACAGATTAAATTGGTTATCTCAATGGCTTTTTATGGAAATATTTCTGACTTTGCATATTTGTATCCACTATCAAAATGGTCTCAGCTATCACAGTACACAACTGACATGCCTAACAACTCTATTGGAGTGTGTATAGAAGGGCAAATTCGTGACAATGGCAGGGTAAATGATAGTTTCAAACAATTGACTGGTTCATAGATATCTGACTTGGAGTCAACTGCAACATTTAGTGTCCAGAGGCCAAGAATTGAGGTATAATTCTTAGCTCATGGTACATTTTTCTAAAATGTCAGCTGTATTTTTTTGGAAGCCACTTCCATCATTTGGTGATATATGGCTGAATTACTATGTACTTCCTCTGTGCCAAATTGAATGTCCATCTTTACATTTTGGGATAATTTATAGTTACGTTCTATTTTCTTTTAAACACCGACCGTGGCCATGTATCAATGTTATTGATATCTGATTGAAAGTAAAATAAATTCCATTCTTTTTCCGAGTAGCATAGAATTAATTTAGTGAGTTGTTTCAGAAATGATCCCTGATCTTTATACCAGAGTTGTTTCCATCTCTGACTATGAGTTAATGACCAAGATCACGACCATGATCACTTAGATAATCACAAGACTTTTGCCCCCTTTTCAGGGCCCATTGACTAACTTCTTCTCAAAGCTTGGATTGGCCTAAGAATGAACCCAGCAGGGCTGGCTGCTGTATCTATTGGGGGATGATCTCCTTCCTTGATCCACAAAATTTTTTATTTTCCGTACTTTTTTTTTTTAATTTTAAGCTGAGGTTTTATTAAGAAAAAAAAAGGGGGGGTTGGTAAGAGACGTTAGACTGAATCTAGCTAGCAAGGTCCAAGTCAATGGCAGACGTGACTAGACCAGTATGTCGGTACAACCAAACCAAGCTAAGTCATTTCTCTCCAGCCATGTGGTCCAAAGTCGAGCAAAAAAACCCAAGCCAGAAACCACTTCACCAAATGATTGGACCAGCTGGCGGCTTCAATCGATCATTGCTCTGCCCCTTACTGCACATTCAAAGCCTTTCAAACCTCAATCTTTGGTCTGAAAAACACATGCCAAAACAAACACACAATTTTTCATGTGTATTGTGTGGCAAACAAAAGATATATTTAAAGGAATTGGGTTCGGAACTTACTTCTCATGAAAAGGTATATATAATATATATGAAATTTATTACGGCGGAACAAATCCATTGATAATTTGTATATGTATGAAAAGAAGAAAAAACGTGTGAAAGAACAATGCTGCTGGTGACTGAATATCATGCTCTGGATAATGGATGAAAAAATAAAAAAAAGGACACTTCCAAAAAAATTCCCCCAACCCCCTATGTGGATTTGATTTCAAAGCTTAGATTCTATTTATATAGACAATGAAATTGATTTCATTAAAATTAAAAATAATAATAATTATCATTATAATTGTAATTAAAAAAATTACTGCAGTTGCGATTAAAAAATTTATATTAAATAAATTTCATTAGAATTATATTTAAATTTAATTGATAGTATAATGAACTTAATTACACAACATCAGAATTATGGTGGAATTCAAACCTAACATTTCTCTTTAATGCAAAGATGTGTAAAAGTATTTATAAACATTCTTTAACATTTTTGTAAATTTGGGTCCAATTAATGAAAGAAAACAGAACAATTGAGCTAATTAAAGCTTTCATTATATATATATATATATATATATTCACAAAAAATATAGTAGTTTGATGATAAATAAAAAAAATTACAATTCACCTCGTATACTTTTAATACAATTTATCATTATTAATACTACGATCTTCACAACATACTCTAACTGTCCATTTGTCTTGGTCGTCTTTGGAACTGTAGCATTTATTACGTAGGGAAAGGGTAAGCTAAGATTTTTGGGTATTTTCTTTTCCATATAGTTGACCTAAGGAAAAAATATATAAAAAAAAAACAATTACAAGCACTTCAACTAATAATGTCTGCATATGATAACGAAAGTCAACACAAACATTTCCAATCCTGGGTTCCACCTCCAATATTTTCAGGTCAATTTCCTGGATTCCAAGAAATTCTTCTTCTTGGGCTCACAAGATGAGATGTGTTCAAGAAAAGTGGCAAAATCTGTATCCTTGTAGCGTCTTGGATTTGCTTCGTCAATCAATTTCGGCGACGGTCCAACCATGCAATCGAAAGGCAGACTATGCAATGTGGCTACCGATAGCCGAGGCTTTGATGGATTCACCAAAACTCTATGCAGCACACTTTTGTATCTTCCGTTGCTAAATATCTATTAATAGTAACAAAAACAGAATCCTTTTCAGCTTCTTTTGGCTTGGTTAATAAATGGCATTAAAATTAATCCTCCATTTTTTTTTCAATCCCAAATTACTTAAAATTCAACTCACCTCAAGGTGATCACCAACGTTAACAACAAATGAATTGGCCATTGGTTCAACAGTAATCCATTTTCCTTTGTATTGGATTTGTAAACCTTGAACTTCATCCTGGAGAAGAAGGGTTAGGAATCCGTAATCCGAGTGTGGTGGCATTCCTAAGGTAAGGTCAGGTTCAGGGCAGGGAGGAAAACAGTTAACCACCATTAGCTGGCTTCCATCATGGAATTGCTTTAGTATTTCATCGTCTTCTGGTGTCTTGTCCTGGGTGGCACGCCACAGCCCCAGGCTTTCCAGGATGGCCTCCGTGATCCTTAGGAACAGGTACTTGGTTTCTTTTACGTAGGTAGTAGCCAATTCCCTGTTAAACATACAAAATAAAACAATTAATTTAATGATTTTTTATCATATAGATTAATATGTTCCTAGTACACTAATGGAAGCAAAGGTTCTTTACCTGAAGTCCGGGGGAGAGGAAGGCCAATGAGGGAGAACATCTGCTAATGGATGGCAGACAAGCTTTAAGAAGTCTCTCCAACAGAACACAGTATCTTTGGTCTGGTTTAAGCTAGTTCCATATCGAACAGGTGAGACCATGTCAGGGGACATGTACTTTGCTCTTTCCTCATACGGGAGCCCAAAGAATCTGGTGCTCACATCCATCACGCTTCTTATAACTTCAATGGGGATGCCATGATTTACCACCTGCATTAAAGTACGGGAAAAATAACAAACTGTTCATATTTCAATTCTGATGAATTCATTTTTTTTTAGAATTTATCTTGAACCCTAGCTACCTGAAAAAACCCATATTCTTCACAAGCAGAGGAGAGGGAGTTGAGGACGTGGGACCTGTTTGGGCCTTGTAATTCAGCGATATCGATTATGGGCAGTTTAAGATTAGACTTAGACACATTTGGCTGCTCTTTATCTTCATTGGGTCGATCAGATACAGGCAATACATACTTATTAGGAAGTTTACTAACTCCATTTTCAAAAAGATGTTTCACTCCTTTCTGGAACTCAGATTCTGTTGCATCATAGTTTGCCATTGCCATTGCAGGGGGAGACATGAATTCCTGTTGAAAACATTTACAAACACAAAAACACCAATTATGATAAAGCTTTTAATGTCAATTTTGGCAACTCAATTTGCATGTGTATGAAAGAAATGAAGAGACACTCTTGAATGAAAAAAAGAGAGCTGACTACTCACCTAACTCTTTTTGGTGAAAAAAAAGCTGAAAAGCAAGGAAATGACAGTGAAATTTTTCGTAAGAGAATGAAATTAACCAAGTGGTCAGGGATATGAAGAAGAGGCTTTGGTGTCTAACCTATTTATAGGAGAGAATCAAGGGACTGAAACAGGAGCAAGTTTTGGAGAAACCGGCTTCGGATTTATGAATCCCGGGAACTGATGACTGGCTCCATTATGAAACAAAAACCGTTGACAAATAATCAGTCAAATCATAAGGAGGTAGGGTCTGGAGAATAGAACCCCCCCTTCCATTTCCTCACCATTAGTACATAGTAGTACTAATTTCCAATTCTATTTAACTTTGTCTCCATTCCTCATTGGCCCTACAATTTGATGATATATGAAAAGGCTGTCTCCCTCTCTCTTCCTGTCTGATGGCTCTGACTTTTTGCATTCAGCTCATCCATCAGTAGGGTCCCTTTCCTATCTTTGGTCACTACGATTTCTTTTTTTTTTTTTGTTAATTTCTTCACTTAGGACATTTGATCTATCAGTTTTTTTTTTTTTTTATTTCATGTATACATATATATATATATGTCACTTCTTGTTTTTTACTTTCTTCGTGTGAATGATTATTTACTGTACCTTTGTTCTTGGTAAAAAAAAAAACATATTCAACTCAACATTAATTTTTCCAACCGCACATGTTTTGACTGTAAATATTAAATATTTTCATTATTTGTAAAATACAATTTTGTACATGGTTTGAAAATTTGAGCCACCTGTATGTGAAGAAATTGAATTGGAGATCTAGATTCTTTATACCATTTCCAACATGACTTTGTGATTTTAACCGACTGATTGTGCAGTTCAGTAATTACTAGGAACCTGTTCCAAGATGTTCTAAAAAATTTGAGGCCAGAACTCGATGGTCTTTGTCAAACAATGGTTTATATGGATTCGATTCAGTCGATTGATATAGTTATTATTAAAAAGTAATATTTAATAAGTTTAAAAATTAAATTTTAATATTTATAATTTTTTTTATTTTTAAATTGTGGATTTTTTTTATTAAAAAAATAATGATTTATATTCTTCTTTTGAATTATAGATAGCTTCATTTCTGGTCTCCATCGATACAATTACGGAGAGTTTTACTGACAAAGACTATGAATTCATGATTTTTTTTTTCCCGAAAAATCCAAAACAAAACACGACGATAAACAAGCTTACAAAAAATGGTTGTCGAGCTCATACATACAGTTGACAAGTTGCAATTCTTTTTGGTAGCACCGATTCTAATTATTTTCTATCGACAAAAAATACAATACAATATAAAAAACTTGTTTGGTATTGGTTTAAACAAAACTATTTTATATATAGTTTTAGCATATATATATATATATATCATAAATTTCAAATGCAGTTCATGCCCGTGACAATACGTAGGATCGGCCGACCAACCAATAAGCATCCCATTTACACGTAGATTTTGTCAAATTAAATAACAAAGGATTATTAAAAATATATATATAATTAATCAACTCTCTAAAACCACTAGGGTTTATGGTTTTCTAGTTTGCTGGTAAGGTTATTCTCATCTCCCTGTCATCATCGTATTGTGTTGGACATCTTCGAATATTGAAAATTAAAAAATTAAAAAAACTTTATTGAATATTTTTAAAAAAGTTTTTTAAACATCACTTTTGTTGATAAAATTAATAAATTTGTTGATAAATATAAGGAAAAGATTGACATTTTAAGTTTATCCGTATTAAACAGTTTTGTACATTATTTGTATAAATATGGTTAATGCTTGTATGTGACTGTATACCTTGTGAACGTGCATGTTTGCTCATTATATTATTTATCAATGGTTTGACTAAATGAAACCGATATTAAATTGGTAGACTCAGGTAGCTAGATATTGAAGAGCTCATTTTGTTTTTTTATATAAAAAAATTATAAATATTAAAATTTAATATTTTAAACTTATTAAATGTCGAACAATATTTTGTTTGTTAATCAAATGATGTGAATAGGACTTACTTTAATGATTGAAGTTTGTTTTGATGGGTCATCGCTGTTATCCTAAACAAATTCTTTGCATCCGCCTGCCAAATGCCATCTTTCCTCTGGTCACAAAAACAGGGCGCTAATGCCCTAAGCATTGTGTCCCCATAAGGCATTTATACGGGAGACTGACTTAGGGTCGGCCTTGAAAGTCAATACCACCAGACGGAAAGCCACCCTTGTGGGGTACTTCCAATTTAAAAGTGGGGGTTTTGTTTGTGTGTGGCTGGGATGGTGCCGACTGCCAAGCTGGTTCAAAATTTTAACAGTGGTGTGATTCTCGTGCTTGTATGGTTACATTCATTTTGTCCTTTTATACTTCATTCGTTGCATGGGTTGGAGGTCCATGTCACCCTCTTCTATATTATATATGGCGTTTGTACCCAAATAAATTATCAATAATATTTTTCGTCGCTAACTGAATTATTCTAAGCTTTTGGGTAGTTCCTACCTTGATTATCTTCACTTTCAAATTCCAATTGTGTATTTGTCCAAAATATACAAATATATGTAATCGTGTGATTATATATGTATATATATATATATATATATTAATAATTAATGTATTATTTTTTATTGGTTTGAGACCTCCATATTCGGTAACAATTATTTTTCACCTAGAGTTGGTGAAATTCCTTGGTTTAGTCCAAAATAATGGGCATGAGTGCTTTCATAGCCTTATTAACATAGTATATACATTTATATATATTTTATCGTCATTATCTATTTGATAGAAAATTGATGACTTATCAGGGATACGTGCATCTTTTTATATTCATGTAGCTACATAGCTGTGTCTTGACCTTAGTTTCTACAGTGCTTCTTCAATTTCATCGAACTTTACTAAAATATTTTTAATAAAGTCAACCCTTTTTTAATAATATCTTCATGCTTAATCAATAATTTTTTTTATTATTATTAATGAGATTTGAATCTCGTGATTCATGATATGGGTTTCTCCTTTTACATTTTCAACTTCTTTTTCATCATTAATTTTGGCTTTATTTACTTGAGAAGAACTTAATATATAGAACATTAATTATAAATTGCGTAAATAACTTTCTCAACCATTTTCCTACTAAAAATAAAGTTGATATGTGATTGATGAAATTATTTATTAAAAAAAAATCAAAGTAAAGGGCACTAAATTTTTTTGAATAAAATAGAACTATTATTTTATGAACATTTCCCAAGCACTAATTTTGTTAGTGCCACATGGTCATTGATTAATTGACAATAAAACAAACTGGGGAAGGGAAGGATATTTGTTGTTATTTGCACAAAGAATATTTCATTCTGGGTCCAGTTTTATTGGATTTGGGATGAAAAAATTGTTCCAAACTTTAGCTGATAATAAATCCAAAATCAAGTTGGATCCACTTACTAACCAGAAGATAAGCCCAACCCAATCCAATAGTGCTGTTTTCCTTTGTTTTGTCTCTATTCATTTTAGCTTATCAAACTCTAAGCCAATCCAATATTGTTGTTGGGTTTTCAGTACTTGTTCCGTGTCCCAAATCCCCAAAAAACAGATGTATATTAACTTAGAAATGAAAATACTGCAAATTTTATTCAATGAAACGAAATAGCTACATTAATGACAGCTTGGTATTGTGGGGCATGTTAAAAAAAGATGTGCAGATTTCACACAGTATGCAAAGTGAAAATATACAAAGGAATAAAGAGGGTTAGGTTGCAGGTGGCAAAAGGGGATCAAAGGATAAAGGTTTGTTCTGTTTCCCACTCAAACATGACAAAATCCAATATAGTAGACCTGCAGAGAAGAAACTGAAAAACCAAGCATTGTTGTAAATGACAACAAAAGCATCTGAAACAGAAGGTAGAATCCCCACCTTTTGCAAGAAACCTGGGATCACTGGCAGTATCCCAATTATCAGAGCTGCCAATGCTGCCAAATTGAAGCCTCCAGAATAGTAATAGGCCCCATAAGGACTTACAGAATACAAGTCCTTGATGCTTAAATTCATTTGGCGAATGAGATAATAATCTGCTAAAACTATCCCACCAATTGGACCCAACAATGCAGAGTAGCCGACCAGCCATGTATATACAAAGCTCTCACTGGATTTTAGTAGTCTCCAAGGCTGAAAAGCAATGCCAAGCAATGCAGTCAGCAAAGCTCCTCTTCTGAATGTGAACTTGGAAGGGCTGAGATTGACCAGAGCATTTGCTGGGGCAACAACATTGGCTGCAATGTTGGTTGTGATGGTGGCTAGGCTAATTCCAAGAATGGCTAGCATCATTGTTGTGAATCCTCCAATTTGGCCAAGAAGCTGAATTGGGTTAGAGATCACATCGCCAAAAATTACTTTGGTAGAAGATGTTACAGCTAGGCCAACAAATGTAAATGCCCCCATGAAGATTGGAAGGCCAGCCTGACCAATAATTTGATCTGTCTGGCTCTTGGCATATCGAGTAAAATCAGGAATGTTAAGTGCAAGGGTAGCCCAGAAGCTTATATTCGCCGTGAGTGAAGGGAAAAAAAGAGACCAAAACTCTGAGGAAGATAGCCTAGAGGATAAGGATAGCATGTGACCTAAACCACCAGCCTTGACATAAGCCCAAATGAGAAGCATAGAGGTGAGTATGATCAGAATTGGTGCTGAATACTTTTCAAGATCCCTAATTCCTTTCATTCCTTTCCAAACTATGACCAACTGGGCCACCCAAAAGGCAATAAAACAAGCAAATTCAAGAGGAGAAGTGCCAAGCCAAGGTAAGAGTTGAGAAAAGGAAGATTCCTTAATGGATTTTGGCAGAAGAAGGAAAATTGCCTCCCCTCCAATCCAACTCTCTATCCCATACCAGCCACAACCAACCAAAGCTCTAAGCAAAGTAGGAACATGAGCACCACGAATACCAAAAGAGGATCTTGCCAAGACAGGGAAAGAGATTCCATATTTGGTGCCAGGGTGTCCTGTGAGGACTAACGGCACTAAGAGGATTATGTTGGCTGCAACAACAGTGGCAATTCCCTGCCACCAAGCCATCCCAAGATCAGCAAGACTACCTGCCAGGTAATATGATGGAACACCAACAACAAGACCAATCCAAAGACTGGCCATTTCCAACCAGTGTAAGTTCCTTTGACTAGGGGTTGTTGGCTTGAGATCATCATTGGTTAGGGTCGGATCAGGTTCAAATTCATCAAATCCAACACTGAGTTTACCTGATGATGCCATGGGAGTTAAAATGGCGCATCTTTTGGGAAATGAATGATAAATTTGATTGTGGGTGGTCCTTATTCTGGTAGTTGTCTCTTTTGAGAATAAAGCAGTGTGGACAAGACGTGAGAATTTTGGATTTTGGGATATTGCAGAGTACAGAGAAAGGTGGGGGTGGAGATGGATGCTGATGCATTTGGAAACCATGACTCCAAACCTCAAAACAGATTCGAATGAGTTTGAAGCTGAGAATCTGTGGGGTATCTGTTCTTTGGAGATAGCTTAGATGAGTGGCTAGAATCGTCGATCTTGTTTGTGCTTAGAGAAGTTAGATTCCTTGCCCGGTGACGTAACTTGGTATGACAGATCAAAGTCTTTGATTAGTTGTACAATTATTTTCTTCAATAATGCTTGCTTGCCCATTATTTTCCTTCTATTGGTGAGAAAATAACACGGCTAAAATTCCAATCTCCTAATTTAATAACATATTTTGAAAGATTACGCTGATTAATAATGTAAACAAAAATGGCGTAAACAATAAATATTGTAACAAAAAGATTTTGTCAACAAACCAAATTGGACTTTAGCGAAAGGACCTGACCTTAGGCTATGCGCATGTGTTGAAGTCAGGACTTAGGCATGGTCACTGACATAAAATTAGATAAATGAATATTACTCGGTAAGTTTTTAGAGGTCAATTCCTGAGAGCAAAGACAAACCAAGGAAACGAGAATATTCATGTAGATGCAGCTTTTGTATTGTTGTAGTCAAGGCCATGGCCTCATGTGCAAATTCACACCATGCAGGCCTGGGCTAGCTGAGCTGTGCTGAAAACTCTTTCAGTCCATAGTCCAGACCAAGTTAAGAGCCAGAATTGGTTTATATATTTAGAATTTCATTAGTATGCCTTATCAATTTTTTTTTTCCAATGTTTCTGAATGGGGTAAGATGCACTAGGATCTGAATTCTGATCTGATCATATCTTCAAATGCAGTCATCCACCACAATACCATGTAAAATTGACAATTGATCAATTCGATACCACAGACGTGCACCTATCTTAGAATCCGAATCCTAGAGTGCCACGTGAGCACTCCACTTGAAGCTTTCTCGAGTCTCTTAATTCAACTGAAACCCAGTTTGAACCGCCTTGAGTCTTGAGAAGACCCAAGGGTTTAACTGTGTATATACTGCAATCTATCCATTTCTTCAGCTACACTTTTTTGTTATTTAATGTCTACCGGATGGTATCCAAATTTCTAGTTTCAGAACAACTGCAAAATCCCATAAACCCATAATTTATAATTAAACAAGCCATCAAGGCCTCTCAACCTGGAAATTGAAATAAAATTCTGTAGATGATGAATCATGGATCCTGCAGATACAGCTCAATCTTCAGGGTCCTTTCTAACTCATTATTGATTTCCTTGGCCGGCGTAGTTGCCAGTTCTCTAGCAGTGGTTGCATACCATATGTTACTTGTTAAATACTGCAAATGAAGGGGAGATCAAGGGATGCTAGAAATCCCTCAATACCAACTCAGAATGGGGGATTTGCGACTGGGGTTGAACATAAAATCTTGGAAACAATTCCAATCCTTTCTTTCTCCAGGGAAAAAGTTAAAGAGTTCCGTACATATCAAATTGAATGTGTTGTTTGCCCGGGAGAACTAGAGGAAGGAAATACTGTACGTCTGTTGCCTAACTGCAGGCATGTCATCCATTTTCAGTGCATTGACAACTGGTTCCTGGCTCATTCTAGTTGTCCTGTTTGTCGAACGCCTGTTGTTGCAACCACAAATTCAACTGTAGCCTAGCCTCCATGGGATGATGGAGGGGAAACGGTTCAGGGTTTGCCTCAAAGTTCTGAACAAGACCGTGAGCAGGCCCCTCCCTCTTGCGGGGTTCAATCAAATACACTGCTAAGTCATTGTGTGTCCTTCGTGTTCCCTAGATAAACAAAACCAGAACATCTGATCACGGGTTTGAAGCGATCCTTGTCCATGGATTAGTCCTATATACTAATTAACCGAACAGATGACGGTGGAAAAGCTTCTTTTTCCTCTTCTTCAACATCAAAGAGGATTTTGACAAAGAGTAATTCCTTGAAAGCACGATCGATGAGACAGTTGGACAGAATGTCTTCATTGTTGAGGTCTTTCTCACAATTACGGATTGGAAGGAGTAGCAGCACCTCTTATGGAATTCTTCCCTATTAAGATTCTTTTAGGAAAAAAAATTATTTATGTTTCCAAACGCTTCTTGAACTTGGTGTTTTCCTAATGACTAGAGTTTCCGAATTTCTACGTATAGATATGGCTGAAAATAACTCGATGGATTTGAACGTTTTAATGCAATTAATGTTCTTTTCCAGCAAAATTCTGACTTCAATTTTGTCAATGGAAAAGCCTAAAAATATGTGAATTATAAAGTAAGGGCAGGCAGGCAATTTTGCACTATAGTTTTTAGCTAATTTGCCTGTTTTCCCTTTCCACCATTGATGATAATTCAAGTCCCTCGTTAAAAACATGCAGATATTTATGGACATACCAAACAATTCAGCCACAGAAAAGAATATTAATTAGGAAAAATGCTGAATAAATAAATAAATAAATACATATACAAGAGCTTTTTTCTTATTATTTTGTATAATTGATTGAAACCTTTTGTCATGATTTGCGTATTTTTTTTAAACCTTCACCTTGGAAAATGATTGAAGAGAAAATAAAATGAAATATAAAATGGAAAAGAAAAACTCCTAGTTTTCATGCATTAAACACTTTCCCCTATACCTTGAATATGCAGCTAAGAATAATATTAACAATTTAATTCAAATGGTTATAAGGTGTTTCATTGAGTTTGGACAGTAAAATCCTTTGATTTGTTGTACCAAAAGTTTGCATTCACTGAGAATTAAGTATGTCAAGTGAAGAAGAAGCACCGCCTTAATCTCAGTTTTCTTTTCTCTTGCTTTCCTTCCGCATTATCCCGAGCTCCAAGCACAATATTTACTAGTCTTTTCATAAAATTATGTAAAATTTTTAAAGGCAAAGAGGGAAAAAATTATTAATAAAATCAATGTACATGGTTCCAAGTCGGAGAATTCCCAATTGATTTTATCTAAACCACTCCCACGTGACTTAAAAATTTGAAGAAAATAAGTATTATATAATCTATAGCTAATACTAAATAAATAGAATATACAAAAAAAAAAAGTGAAAAATCCAAAAGAGATACATCCCAAAATGTCCATCATACATATAACTATTTTTTTTAAACAACTGATAAAATTTTAATAAGAGTAACAATGATTTGGATCGAATTAAGTTCAATTCAATATTTTTAAATAATGTATAGTATTATAAATTTTAAAAATCAAATCGGATCCGATCTTATTTAAATTAAATTCTATTGATTTAATTCAATTTGATTTATCTATTTTTAAATTTTATTTTTATATATTATTTTAGTAGAATTTTAATATATTTAAATAGATTTTTATTTAAAATAATTATTTTTATTTTATAAAAATTTAAAAAATATATAAAAACTATTAAAAATATATAATTCGATTTAATTCAAATTTTTTCGATTTTTTACATCTTGATTCGAACTTAATATATATATTTAATATTCAAATTTAATTCAAATTGAATAAAAAAATTATCCAAATCAAAATGAATGCTACAATTTCAAATTAATTTTTAATTTTTTTTTCAGTTGTAATTTTAATATTTTATCAACCGATCATGTGAATATTAAGATCTATTATTTTTTGCTATTCCTCCTTACATTGGACATTTTCTAAGGCTCCTTTAATTAAATTGCACGAGATGCTCTTAAAAGAAGTACTATACATTTATTCTGTTCAAAAGAAGTTTTGTTTTTATAACAAATTAATAACTTGAAGTGCAAAGAAGAAAAAGTAAACTAAAGAGAAAGAAGATATCCCACAAACAAATTGAATCGAATGGGAGGAATTCAAATTTGGTTAACAGTTCACAAAGAGAAAGTTGGATGAGCCCCATCCACTACATGAATTAAACAATAAAAATGCTTGTTTCTTTATGTGAACGGCCCATGTGGCTGGTGGACCTATGAAACTATACAGCGGACTCCACAAAGACTTTGCTTTTTATTTTCTTAATTACAATCTGCACCTTGCAACTATCAATAATTAACATTTTCTCAATTCTTGCATTATTGGCTTCTTCACAGGGAGAGTTTGTTGTAAATGGGACCCAATCCCAAAACCCAAAACTTACTTGCCCTTCTGTTTTTTGGACTCCCTGAACCAATTTGATACCCTACATCTCCTTTAGTTAGGACAAATGGACAAAAACGCCCAACAATGGTACTTTTTTTTTTCCCTTTTGGGTGAAGAAAATGTGTATTTTGAATGTAGGAATAGTTGATTTTGAGTGGCATTTTAGGACCCAAAAGGTGCCCTGTGAGGAATTCCTTTTCTTCTCCTTGCACTTGAAGGGGGTGGGGGAGGCGTGGGGGGGTAAATGTCTTGCTGTGAGCCTTCACGCAATTCTTCTTCCTCCCTTAACATGCCCTCTCTTCTATCCGTTAATACCTCATTCTCAGCCTCTACGGTAAAGCTTGCATTCCCATTCCTCTTTATTCCTACAAGCTAAGTTAATATTAAAAACGACATTAAAATCCACAGTTTTTATCATACAATGTGGAGATGCATACGATGATGGATGATGGAATTGATAATGATGATCAATGTGGTGGTGGTTCTGATGATGGTGATGTTTTATATATATGAAATGGGAGAAAACTGATCAAGGAAAATCATGCTAACCTTACATCCCAATGAACAAAAACGAAATGGGTCCAAGAGGCTTCTTCTACAAATTTCACAAACATGAGCTACTCCTTTACCTGATTTTGGTTGAGGCCTCTCATTCAGAAATAGAACCCTGGCACTGTTTATCACATAAGTTTGTACCCCACTTATATCCAGTACCTTTTGAATCTCTGTAACTCTCACTACATCATGATATGAAGATCTCCTTATCTTAAAACAAAAAACACAAATTAAATCCACACCCCATTAATGCCTAGAACAAGTTTTAGACAATGGAAATGAAATTCCAGGGAAAAAATATTGATTTCTATATTGAGTTTACCTGAATTACTTGATGATCTTTGTGTTTAGAAGAGCGGCAATAAAAGCAAAATGCATCTCCTTTACAATCTAAACAATACATGTTACATTCACCCCTGGCTGCATCTCCATGTGTTCTGCAAACTGTGAAAAAGGCTGCGCTTAGCAATGATTCTAGCCATGGCGGCACCAGCATTGTAGCCTGTCTCACAAAACCAAGAAAAAAGAATAATGAGACAAAGAAACGAAACCAGGGAAGAACAGAGAACAAGAAAGAAAGAAGTAATGGCAATGGCATTACCATTGTTAATTAAAGCAGAGCAATGGGGTTTAGATAAGGAAATGTGAAATATTGGATTAATTTGCCTTTGACGATAATGGAAGAGAAAACTTTGAGATCAAAAAGCAAAGAAAGAAAAGACAGAGAGAGAGAGGGCTCAAACGAATTTGCAACTTAGAATTCAACCAAAAAACCAACGCCTGGACTAAGGGACCAAAGGCTCATAAACAAGTGCGGCAAAGTCTGGGGGAGGTTTCGACGGATTAGATCGATGGTGGTGGCTGAAGTTTATCTACAGCCGTCGGATGAATAGAAAGAGATGGCTTTGGAGCTTACGCTACTTTTGGTTCTTCTCTTGCGTCTCTACGTAGGCACAAGGGCTTACGCAACTGAGGCTTCAATGAATATAGCTGTTCACACAAAATCATCACCACCTAACTTTGTGCCACATGTGCAGGCCCCCACGTGGCTTAATCAGGATGGTTGGTTTTAAATAAGGGGTCCCACTGTTTTAGATTCTATCATTTTGAAGGGCCTTTTTTTTTTTTTTTTTCCTGAAACAAAGATGAAATGATAGCTGACAAATTAAAAGATAATGGCCAATGTCCAATGATGATGGCCGTTTCACAAAGTACCCTTAGATCGGCTCGCTTCGGCTACGATTTGTAAATTAAATTAATTTTATATTTATTATTTTTTAAGCTCTTTAACCAACTATTATTTTATTTATTAGATCATAAATAATAACCGCAATGCATATATATTCGATATTTTCATTTCATTAATTGTATGACAAAAAATTTACATAAATTGATGCCTGCATTGATTTTTTTCCCATTGAATTTTTTATTAATTTGCAAGTTCCTATAAAACTTGTTTTAATTACAAATTATAGAAATGTTTAGATTTTGACAAATGAATTCATGTCACATCTTCATTGAAAATAATTTTTAAGTGTCCAAATTAAAATGTGTTCAGCAAGAGTCAATTTTTGTGCTATTATATTTGTAGTACTTAAAATTACTAAAAATTAATTTTTAATTATTAAAATTAAAAATTAAATATTTTATCAACAAATCATATTATTATTGATAAATTTTATTATTATTTTGATTGTAAAAGCTCATGTTCAATCTCTCATAATAGAAAGGAAACACGAATCACGTACGGGGCACATCAATCAAAAAACAAGGTGACCAAAAACAGAAAGGAACCAATCAACCACTGCATTAATTTTCTGTTTTCCTTTATTCACAAATCAAAATATACCTTATTATAAAAATTTAGATGAGATTTATATATTTAGAGTAAACAAAGACCCTTAAAAGCTTAATGGATAATCTCTTTCTACTGTTATCTTAAGTAAAATAAAATACCCAGCTGTTCAAATCAATATAATATACAGTTGTAGGGTCGCCGGCAGCACAGTGCTTTCGGTCGGTGGGTTACAGCACTGCATATATATATATATATTATATTATATGTGTGTGTATCTTAAGTATTAATTTAAAATTAAATAAGAATGACAAATTAGATAATGACATGGTTTAGCATAGAAAGATATTCATAATCTTCTTAATTAAAATGTAATATCGATCATTGTAAGTATCAAAATCTTATTTTGATCTAAGAACTTAAATTTAATTTATAATACTATAAAATTCTATATTTTGGTAGAAATGTTAATTTTATCTGTATTTAATAAAAATTTTGATTTTTTATCTTAATCGAGATGAGAAGTGATATTATATTATAAGTATGAAGATAAAAATATGTATGATTTTAAATTTTTTATTGAATACGGAAATGGAAACAAGTAATATAGCACCTATCACTTACTCGTATTCTACATATATTTATATATATTTAGTAAATAGGTTTTTATTAAATAATATCAAATTATTATTATTGTAAATTAATTAAAAATAATATATTTCTATTTTAAAATATACATTAATTTATATTTATAAAAAATTACATAAATATGTAAGATAAAAATTAAAAAATTTAACAATATAAAATTACTTTTTATTTTTTAAAAAAATATATGATTATCCATACCCTTTAAATACTTATAGGATCTAAATATATTTAAAATACCTACTAAGTATAAGTATAAAAATAAATATAATATAAAATTCAAATATGGGATGAGGATTGCTCATCACCCCATACTATACCCATTGAAATCCTATATTTTGACCCTTTTACTCTTTAGAAATAAAATTTTCATGTGATCGGTCATGGACCAAAAAGGCATGGGAATTCTGTTAAAGAGGGGTCTTTTTTTTAACAATTTGTGGAAAAGAAAAAACATGTTGGAGAGTTAAGAAAAGGGGTTTGAGACAAATGAGAAAGAAGAAGACTTGAAAAAAATAAAATAAAATAAAATAAAAGCATTTCTCATGTGAAAGAAAGAAAATTTGAGAGGAAGAAAGGCGTGGATTATGATGTGGTAAAATGTGATCCAAAACTTTACGCGTAAACAAACAAGTTAGAGTGAAAAAGAAGAATAAAAAAATTCCCATAACAGCACATTTTGAAGCTATACTTGTCAAGAAATGCTCTTTTTGATGTTCATGTTTTGAAGGTGGCCTATAGAAAATGATGAATGCCATAAAATTCCTCTCAAAACAACAATGCTTAATTATATGTAAATCAATCAACACGATTTAGGTTGATAAAAAAATCAATAAAATTTAAGCAAACATCTATCAATTATAGAAATCAATTCGTGAAGTTTAAAAACTTTTCGGATATGAAATAGTAATAATTTTTTTAACTAATTCATCAGTATTGTTATCTAAATAATTTAATTTGAAATTTATTTCATTGTTATAAAGAAAAAAAATCAATAAATTTTTGTCAAAGTGACAATTGTTTTCATAAGTAACATTAATTTCATAGTAAATTTTATATTGCAAAACTTTTTTTTTTACATAGATTCAAATTCGATGTGTTCAATCCTAAAACCAATTCTAGTATGACTGAGCTAACAGCTTGTAACCCAAAACTTTGCCATTTCAATTGGTCGACTTTTTCTTGAGTTGTGGAAAAAAATTAAAAGAAAAAGGTGGGTTACCTTTGTGTAGGAATCAAGGCTGGCAATATGGGAATGTGAATCATAGCAAGCTCTTTTTAGTTGTAAAATCATAAGTAATAGTTAATAAAATTTTAATTTGCATGTTATCTTTGATAATCATCCAAGCATACAATGTTCATGTTACCCTTAGAATCTAGACTTAAAATAAATAATTAATATTATGAGTTGCCGGCATATCATATGAAGCCACATGACACTTCTAATTTTGGAAGCTTTGATTGGATTTTAAACACAAATCTAAACATATATATAAAGCAGGAAGAAAAGTAAACGACTGTATCAAAAATGTTAAATCTTATGACCTTCGAACTGCCAAGAGAGTGACTTGATATTGACATAACAGGTGCAAAGCACCAAGAAAGTAATTAATCTTGGTATTTAGGAAACAATGTAAGATATTTTTCTCATATTTTTGGTTGCCTATGAAATAGAATTATTGTTGTGATAGATAATAAATAATAAATTTTTGCTAAGGAAACGATGTTTCAACGATAAAAAGAAATTCTGAAACCTTGAAATCTTTTGTTTATACCCTTATAATTTTAGGAAAAGAAAAACCGCTTTTACAATGTTTTTTTTTTACTTGACTTAAGCTTTTTCAATTTCTAATGCATGGATTCCAATGCATATCAAAGAAAGAAGGATAATTTGAATATATATATATATTTTTTTCATGTACCTACTAAAACGAAGTTGAGAGGAAAGCTAGCACTCTTCTTCCTTTACAAATTTAAACAAGTATACACACTCACACACTTAGCTATATTTAAAAAGGAAATGAATTTGTCCTATGTTCATTGCTTCCAACTTCGATAGACTGCCAACCATTTCCAAGTTCAAAATGGGTCCTTTTTCTCAATGAAAAAGAAAAACCGAATAATTGTGGTCCTCTCAAAAGGGATGTCGTCCCTTAAAACAGGCAAATTGAAGGAACCTTCCAACTTATCATGTTTGATTAACCACATAATAATAATAATAATAATAATAGTAGTATAGTAGTAGTAATTTATATTTGATATATTATTAATATATAAATTTTATATATTATTTATAAATAAAATAATATCATATCATTAATAAATAAATATACAAAAAATAATATTTAAAAATATTTATTCATTAATAAAATAATATTATTTTATTTACTTTATTAATGAGATATAAAATTTATATTTTAATAATACATCGAATAAAAATTTTAATAAAAAATTAAATTATCCACGTGGTGTACGATAACAAGATGAGATTTTGTACATGCAAAAAAACCTTTGTGAGGTAAAGGTGAACAATTTTTGGCATGTCGTACCCCCCCCCCCCCAAAAAAAAAAAAAAGGACTTCGATGTCTCCTTAAGTTTCAAACGTAATAATTGGGTTTCCGTTTCTGACAAGATTTTGTGATTGTCCTGTCTGCTGTTAGATTCCAATATTTGGTTCTTTTCTGCTTCAATGTCACCATTCAGCTAAACTAGCCTTTCACCATTTGCAGTCTCTTTTTTTTCACCATTCCCCAGCTGTTTCCTTCTGTCAGTCATGGGAACTAAAAAGTCAAATCAGCAATACATATACAGCTTCTTTTCAAGTTTAACACTTTAACTAATGTTTTTCAATTTAGAATTTTTTAGTCCCAACTTTTACCAATTTAAAATCATACATTAACTATTTTATTTTTTTTAATGCATTAAAAGATTATAAGTTTTTTTATTTGTTATTAAAATAATTTTTATTTTAAATCCAAAAATTTTAAATTAGTACTATATATAGTAATATATATATATATATAAACCATCTAAATCCAAAACAAAGTTGTATGCATTGTTTAAATTATAGAGATAGGAAAGTCCAAGGCAAAGCATGGGAAATAGACTATATAAGAAATATTATTTCACCAACTAACACGTTTGAGTGGTTCAGATGTTTAAATCAATTGGTACATAGGTGGGCATCCCTAAAATTGACATAAATTAACACATTACTTGAATATATTTGAGTTTAATTTTTAGAGGAAAATTAACAAATACTAGTAGTTATTATATGAGCTTCACATATGGCTTATGTGGGTCACCACGGCTAAGCTTGAATTGCTTAAAGGCTTCACAGTTGGGCCCATAAAAAACAGAGTTGGGCTCAAAATATGATCCAATTTTGGTCAAATCTGACAGTATAATTTGGCAGTCCATCGAATTATTTATCAAGGAAATTTTGCTCGTATTTTCTTTGGACGGTCCGGTTCAAATTTAGAAGTAATGAAAATGAAAACCGGTTGGGTTGAGCTTTGATGGAAGTCTGCTTATATTTTCCAAGGTTCCTTCTTCTCAGAAGCCTCGTCATCGGACGCGTGTCCAAAAGAACCATCCACGTGTAACCAAAATGGTTCTTTCCTTGATTTTACACCGACATAAAAAACCGCGTAAATAAATATAATCTCCGAAACCCAAAAACAAAAATTAAAAAAAAAAATTGAAATAGTGTTTCCTTATTCCTAAAGAAACAATTTACTTTTACTTCGTTTTCGTGGAAGACTCAATCAATCAAAGTTTTATTTTTTTGGTTTCGATTGATTGGGTGGATTGATTATCATCGAACGATCAAGAAGTCGCCCTCTTGCGAGCTATGTTCAAGTTCTGGTACTTTTCATTTTATTTGTTTAGATAATCGGGTTCAATTTATCCGCTTCTGTTTTTAATATTTTTAATTTCGATATTCAGAGCCTAATTTTGGTGGTTCTTTCTGTTATGCTGATATTTTTCAATTGTCTGAGAATTTTGACTAATTTCACTTAGATTGGTGATTTTGTTTAAACTTTGCCTATGGTTTCTGTGAAATTCATATAATTGCGGATTTGTTTGATTTTTAGGGGTTATTATGTCGGTTAATCCCCATTTCCTTCGAATTTTGATTTGTATTGTATGTATTAGAATCACCGTTTTGATTATCAAAAAGGCTAAATTTATGATAAAGAACAATTGGGTCATTGTATTTTATGGTATAAAACATGCTTTAGGTGGATGAGAAATTGCAACTAAACCAAAAGTGTTCAATCTTCTTATTCTTTTTGTTTGTTGTTTAAAATAGAATAAATGAGAGGTGCTCTGTACGCATGACGGAAATGAAACTTGGATTAGCAGTTTTGAATAAGCATAATGTGGGATTTCTAGTCGTTTATAACGATATTTATTTTCATGAAGTTGATTTAAGGATGAGCAGCTTTTAATTGCTTAACATGTTAAGGCAAGTCATAAATGTATATGGGTTTGGAGTTAATTATCTTTTCATTCACTTGTTATTTGCGACATGTATACTGGTTTCACTAAAGTTTTTATCATGTTGCAGGGGTTCACAGGAGCAACAAGCTCAGCCACGTCCACAAGAGGGTTCTTCACATTCTTGGTATCCTCCTTCTGTAGTTAGCTCCCCTAGTTCTTCCCGGCCTACGACACCAAGTAGAAGTGCTACTAACAGCTTCAACATACAGAGGCCTGCAGAACGGCCACATTCTCCATCACCTGTTTCACCTGCTGAAGCTGCAGGAATCATTGCTCTTTTAAAGGACAAAAGGTGAGACGTCTGGTTCTTGCACTTAATCTTGCTGTTGGCAAAGCAACTTCATTTCCTCTTGAAAAAAAACTTTAAAATTCTAATTCCTTCTTAATTTTTTGTGCTTCTATGCTGATTAATTATGCTATTTTATTCATTTTGTCATTTTTTCAGTTTTGATTATTTGCATTTGTGGTGTCACAAATATTGAGAAGTCACTGAAGGAAACGTATTTGTTTTTCTTAATAATGTATCTCGCTACTCCTAATCACTTTCTTATTTTCTTAGTGTTGATGAATTACGAAAGCTTTTGTCTGACAAGGATGCATACAATCAGTTCTTACTATCAGTTGACGAGGTTAAAATTCAAAACAATGTGAGTAGCAAAATTTGCCTATTTTATTTGATTCACCTTTTCAAATTAAGAACTTTTCTTGGTGGCTGTTATTTTGCACCATGTGTCATGTTTTTGGTTTGTGGTCCTCTCTCTGCTCTCAAATGCTCTGATGGTTTGGCTTTTAGACTATAGTATAAAAAAGGGTTTTGCTTAACCAGTGGGTTTGGTGAGATCGATAGTCTATTGCTAACAACAAAATCAAAATGTCTAGATGAAAAGGGGCTGTTCGGATTATTGGTTCATATTGCTAGTTTTGTGTACTGGTGTTGCCATAATGTGCAGATGCTGATATTAGAGGTTATCAATAGAAGTGGCTTAATGGTAGCCCAGAGGTGCATAGCAGTATGGAGTCACGGTCTCATAAAGTTTTGATTGTTTTGGAAGGTAGTGGAACTATATTCCTGTTTATTAGGGATTATTCCGTGATGGCTGTTCAAAGATTTGCATATGCTGTAACGTGCAGACTATGACTATCTAGGGACATGGAGAGGAAGGCAAAGATGACCTCATTTTCTGTTGGTCTTGGAGATAGTCTTATGTTTAAATTTAGCTAAGATTGAGCCAGTAGTGGCTAACTAGAACCTTTCTGTGTGTGTTACTTTCATATAAATAGCACATGCTGTTCTAGTTCCTTATTGGTATTATGATGCATTTGTTCAAAAATAATTTTTTTTCATTAACATGTATGTCCTTATTTCGCTGGTTTCTTACTCTTTCTCGATAACTTATACCAGATAAGAGATGAACTTCGCAAGGAGACTTTGCAGCTTGCTAGTGAGTTCTTATATCTTGATAATTATATGATAGTGCCATAAATTTCATAGATGGAAACGTGCATAATTTATATTTTTTAATAAACAGGGAACAATTTGGATAAAGACCCACAAATAATGGAGCTAAGGAACCAGGTGAGGTTTTCAGAACATCTCATATAGATATTTTTGTCATTGATTAATGTTAGTATATCAAGTCTAAAACATTTTTTTTTCCTTTTTCTATGACCACAGTGCAGAATTATCCGGACAACAGAATTGGCAGCAGCTCAGGAAAAACTAAATGAGCTTGAGAGACGGAAAGAAGAGATTTTGAAGTTCTACTCCCCTGCATCATTTATCCATAGGCTTCAAGGTACATATTACTGATAATATGCTCCTAAGGCTTGAGATAATTGATAATTGGAAATAAAAGATGGTGTTTCTTCTTTTAAGATGCAATGAATGAGACAGAAGAGGAATCAGAAATTGTTCACAGGCAGCTCCTTGACCAGGAGATAGATATGGGGACTTTTGTGCAGAAGTACAAGAAGCTCCGAACTACTTACCACCGGCGAGCTCTCATTCATATTGCGGCAAAACCATCTACAATCGGATAATATAAACACCTGTAGATGGTTATTGATTGTATACTATAATATTGAGAGGCTGTTGCTTGTTCTTGGTGTATGAAATTCATATGTTCTCACTTTGTTTTGGGCCAAAATACCGTGAGCTTTGTACAATGAATTGAATCCTTGTAGTTCTGCTGTGTTTAATAGCCGGATTGAGAAGAATAAAATAAAATGTGGAATTAGTAAAAAACAAAATGGAGAAGACGAAGAAAAAGAGATTTCTAATGTGCCCTGGAATGCTTGGATTTTGTAACGGATATTAAATCAGAATTTGAGGAAGCATTGGATGACATGAATATCAACGGGTATGTAACCACTTCTGCATACACAAATAGATTTGTGTGGGTTTCTATTAGTTTTGCAAAACAAAACGGAGGTTGACAGCGCAGAGTGTATACATACGGGAAAAGATGATAAATTTTTTAAAGGTTTCTCCAAGCTTTGTATTTGCAGTGAGGGCTTACGTGTTTATGGGATCATTCGTTGGTTGGTGGTGGCATATGCCATGCCATGGTGATGATAACAGCCAGGGGCGCAAGGTGGTGGCATATGACAATAATTCCCACATTATATCTGCTCATTCAAAAGTGCTAATCAATCAATCCAACCAATTGAAACCAAAAGGAGTAAAAAAAATTTTATCGAGGAAGTCCACTTCCAAGAAGAAGAAGAAAAAGTAAATTTAAGGAAATATTATTTCTTTTAGTTATTAGTTTTGGGGCTGTAAAATAAGCTTTTGGTTTATTTTTTATTTTTTTACTCTTTTTGTTTAGACGTGGATGGTTTTTATTGGGTTTCGGCACACGTATGAGGCGGAGGCTTATGGGAAACAGAATCTGCCTGACACGCAACTTCCCCTATATATATATATAACCCTAAATATATGTACCGAAGATCGCGTCTGTAATTTCTTTCATTCAATTTGTAAACGAGAAAAGAAGAAAAGCGATCGAGCATCCACCCAAGTTCACGTCTTACCTTAAAGAAAATCTTAAAAAGAAATTCTAGATGAAGATTGTTCAACAAAATCTCACTCTTAACCAACCAGGATCAGTCAAGATCATCCTGGAAGAACACGACGATCTATGGCTTGTTTACAATCTTATTGCCAGAGGCGACACGATCGTCACTGATACCGCCAGGAAAGTTGTTCGCAACAAAAGTTCTGTCACCAATGCCAATAGGAAAGATTGCTTCCGAGTTCAAATCAAAATCGAAATCAAAATAACAGATGTTGATTATGATGATGATTCGTCTGCGTTGCGCGTGCGGGGTAGGAATCTCGTGGCCAATGAACTCATGGCCTCTGGCGCATATCATACCTTGAAGATTGAAAAAAACAAAGAGTTTGATCTTACAAAGAAATTATGGGACTCGGATGCCATCGAGAATTTGCATAAAGCTTCTGAAAAAGCATCAAGAGCCGACCTAGCAGTGATAATCATACAAACAGGGTCGGCTCAAGTGTTTTTGATAGGAAACAAGGTTACAACCCTTTGTGCAAAGATTGAGGCTTCAAAAACCAATAATAAAACCGTCTCGAATAAGTTTTATGCAGGGATTTTTCAGGCATTTGTAAAGCATGTGGATTTCAACACCGTTCGTTGTGTTGTGTTAGGAAGCCCTGGTTCTATAAAAGAAGAGTTTCGGGGTTATTTGTTCCAGGAAGCACAAAGGTTGAAGATGAAATCTATAGGAGACAATAAGTCACGGTTTGTAATGGTAAATATAGGGAACAAGAATAGTTTGAAAGAGATTTTGCATGATGACCAAGTTATGGGTTTGATTAAAGATACGAAAGCGGTGATGGAAATCAAGGCTTACAAGGAGTTTTCGGACTTGCTTTTGACAGATTCGGATCGTGCATGTTATGGTCCAAGGAGTGTAGAGACGGCACACGAGATGATGGCAATTGAGGCCCTTCTGATTACGGATGATTTGCTTAGGAGTAAAGACATTGCATTGAGGCAAAAATATATGGAGTTGGTGAAATCCGTGAAGAAAGCAGGAGGGAAAGCCATTGTTTTCTCCTCTACGCATGTTTCAGGGGAGCAATTAGCGCAGTTGACTGGTATTGCAGCGATTCTGAGGTTTCCATTGCCCGATCTTGATGAACTAATACTTTAATTATTTTTCTCATTTTATTTCATTGAGGTTTTTTTTATCAGAAACCAATTTTGTCAATTTGACCATGAATTAATGGCAATATCTTGCTCCCAATCAATTACCTGTATGTTACTGCTAAATTTTCATCTGTCTATATATTCAAATGCGTAGATTACTGATTAGTCTCTTGATGTGCTAAATTTTCCATCCAAAGTATTACTTTCGGATTTAGTGAAACCCTATTTTTCATTTGATCATTTCTTAAACTCCAGAAGATATTTCTGTAGGGTTTGTTGCATGTATTGGTTCCTTATTCAGTTTTGAAACTTCCCTTGGTTATTGACTCATTCACCCTATCTTTTTTATCAGTGAAAACTATTTTGTTAGGCAGCTTCATTCAGTTTCAAGTTTTGTTTGTAATTTATAGAAGCATCCAGGAAATTTTCTTTTGAAGTTATGCAAAGAATGGGATATATAATTATTGCAAGCTGGTGCCTTTCTCTACTTTTAAACTTCAAGGACTATCATTGCTCTGTATGAAATTTCTTGAAGAATCTTCCTTTTTTTTTCTTTTTCTTCTTAATGTTATATGTATGGTTGTTTGGATTCTAGCAATTTCTCTACTTTTCTGCTCTGGAAATTAGTCATTTCAAGATTGTAAAATTTTTGGCCCAAACATGTTGGGAAATTTATGAAAAAAGTGACCCGGTTTTGCCAAGTTTTGATGTCAAATATACAAATTTGTATGTAAAGAACTTGGATCCAGATATCACAAATTAGCTTTTGCAAGATAAATTTTCTGAGTTTGGGAAAATTGCTAGCCTGGTTGTAGCAAAGGATGAAAATGAGGCCTTAGGGTGTTTCGATTTTGTGAACTTTGGAAGTTCAGATAATGTGATAATGTTAGATCTAATAATTATAAATATGATATGATGATAAATTTAATAATTAAACATATATTTATAATTCGTGTTGTGTTCATATTTTAATAATTCATATTATTATACGTGTCAAATATGATATAAATATGATAATAAAAATATAAATCGTCAGATTTAAATGAAACCATGCGGCCAATGGAAGCAATGAATGGATCACAACGTGGTAGGTTTTCTAACCTTTGTTGGCCTTAAATATCTGGGAATAACTTTCTGGATACACTTATCTTATTTTGATCTATGGTTGTATACTTGGTTGTATTGATTAGGCTAAAAGGTTCTATTTTCTTTTTCTTTTCTTTTGTATGTATTTTGTTACATCTAAATTTATTTCACATTCAATTTTTACCTTTCTTTGCTATTTACATCATGATTTTCTTTTATTCTTTTGGCCAATATTTTCTTTTATTTATATAATAATTTCACCATTTATTATTAGGAATATTCTAATATTTTTAATAATTAACCTTTGATAATTGAAATTGAAAAAAAAAAAAAACCTCAAAGATAAAATTCCTTATCCAAATTATTTTTATAAAATTATCATAATAATTTTTTTATCGTAATAATAAAATTTTAAAAAAAATCTTAACTACAAATTAAAAGATCAAAGATTAAAAAAAAAAAGAAGATATACACGTTTTTTAACCTTATTATCAAGTTTATAATATCTTTTAATTTGGCTTTCTATCATTTTTTTCTCTTTTGCTTTTTTAGTTTCTTTTAATTATTTATTTTAATATTTTTTTAACTATATTCAAAAGGATAAATTTAAAAGGGTGAATTTATATTTGAATTATTATATAAAATGTGAGAATAAAATTCATATATTATGCATAAATTAATTGAAAAACTTTTGTTGTTTATATTAAAAAAATTATAAATAAAAATATACTCATTAATTTATTTATAAATACTATTTATTAAAATTAAAAAACTTAATCCCCAAGGAACGAACCTATTTCTAGCAACAATAAGTGAAATTGAAATTTAGACAAATTAAGCTAAAACGGATTAGTTGATTTGTGTTTTTTTCTTTTTAATTATATTTTAATGTTTTATTTATAACATAGGTTGGATGAAGCGCTAAACCTGTTTCTCACCGCTTCGTGACTGTTCCAAGGCAGGGGTCTCGAACTGCTGTTGTCGAGGTAGTCTGACCCATTTCATATGGACAGATCAATCAAGGCTGTGAGGCCCAATTGTGTGTGTGTGTGTGTGTGTGTTTTTTGTTTTTCTGGAGAATGAATTTTCTTGCACTGCTGACTTGCACGGATAAGTGGATTCATAACAAAAGCAGAATTAAAAAACACCCAATTTAATACTTAAATTTGAACCTTCTTTTTAGGTGGATTCATTCCATGGTTTTCCATAAACAAGAAGAATGCATGGCATACCTTCTGACAAAACAAGGGAGATAGTCACCAGAATTAAATAAAAGCATAGTGTCCTTCCTCCTGGTAAAGGATTTTCAACAAGAAAAGCAAACCTATTTTCTATGAAAGAAAAGAAACGTGGATGATCTTCAGCTTTTGAACAGAAATGGCGAATGAAGCAAAAGCCCAAAATCATTACTAGTTTGCTTGTTCATGGCTGCCCTTTAACAATGGCAGAAAATATAAACATTATTTATTTTTCTTTTGAATTTTATTTTCATATGCACATTAATATTTCTTTTCAATCTTGATGGCTCTTAATTGATCATTGTATTTTACTATTTTTATTTCACCTCTAAAGGTATTCAAATACAACTTTTTTTACCCTTTTTTGTAATTATTAACTTAAATTATTACATGGTTCAAAATACCATGTTAAATTTTTGATTCAATAAATACGTTTAATATCTATAAATTTGGACTTCTATCCAAATATCTCTAAATGTTTACAACAAACCAGCTGCTTTGAGAGCAGCTTTAAAATCTTCCTCGTTCCTCCAATCGTGAACCTGCATCCATGTGAAAAGCAATCAGATTAAAATGACAAGTATAAGAGAAAAATAACTAGACATGCACCACCACAGACGGGAGGGCTTACCTCTGCTACTTTGGTGCCAAAATGATTCTCGATTTTGGACATTATCATTTGGTCCATATCCCCACAAAGCAAGTTGAACACAGCTCCTGTAAATCAGATAAAAGATAGATCCGAATAATTTGCTCTTCCACACATGTTCATTACAGTATAAAGCGAAAACCCTCCCCAAACAACCGCTGAATGGAATCGAAAATGAAATTGTTGTCTAACAAAAATAAAACATAGGGACATCATGAGAAAGCTTAACACAAAAGAACTATATATTTAGCTACCAGTCAGGTTTATCAGGCACCAGGAAGCAATAATTAACACTCCTAATGAGGGATGAAAATGGGTTCAATTCCAGTATTAATCTTTAAAGCAAAATCATATTTTGATCCAGAAACCTACCCTTGCGGCCAAAACGCCCAGCTCTGCCAATTCTATGTAAGTAAACCTCACAATCAGGCTCCGTACGATTGTCATGTTTCACAGGAAGATCATAATTGATGACCAAATTAACCTACAGAAGGATACAATAGCATAATGACACATTTAGTACACAGCCAGGTAATTCAGGGAAATAAGAGGAAGAGATACCTGTTGCTGGTCAAAACCCCGGGCAAGAAGATCAGTTGAAATGAGGACTTGAGTCAAACCATCTTTAAACTCTTTCACTATCTTGTCTCGATCTTCTTGCTTGAGAGCACCTTGAATTGTGGTAACATCATAACCAAGCTCGACAAGTGACTTATGCAATGTGCTTGCACTATTCCTTGTGCGTACAAAAATTATCGTCTGCCCTAGGCGCTCTCCAAATTCAAAAATTCTCTCTTTAATCACCATAACCTTGGAAAGTTCATCTGGCACATTCACCTTGTACTGCTTCACTGACTCCAGTGATAGTTCTTCCTTCTTAACAAATAGTTGATTGTGATCTCTCTTAACTATCTTTGATACAAAATTCTTGACAGTCTCATTAAATGTGGCAGAAAATAGGAGAACCTTGAAATTGATTCAAAACCAAGCATTCAATCAGTCATTGTTCTCCAATACTAACCAAGCAACTAAATTTTGATTATAACCCTGCTTTATTACCCATATAGACTAGCCCTTTATGGACAACAAAATACATATTCAAGCCCATTAGCATCAAGATGTTAGCAATTTCAATGCATGGGCATTCTTCAAAAAAATTGGATATCTACAAAACTAGCAGAATAATTAGTTTATAATTTATGTCATGCTTCATTCTGAAAAGTTTCCAAGTATAGGCTTCTTTTGTAACAGTACTTCAGACCACCAATGTTAATAAGCATTAGGTTCACCCATATTGATAGATAAGAAACGTTACAATGCTATATAGAAAATATTGATTAAGCATGCTATCTTTCCAACAATCTCACATACAATCCTAGTCCTAAACAAAATTTAGAACACATCTTTAATACAAACCTGGCAGTGAGAACTCATCCTTTCAATATCCCTCATTATTCTCAAAGAGTCATCTTTAAACCCATCCTGCAGAAAAGAAATGTAAATGAGGAAATCAATAATAAACAACACATTCATCTAAGCATTGAAATTTACTCAAATCGTTAGATCATATGATCGCACAACATAATTAAAACAATGTCCATCCTTCCAAAATCAATCATCCACAAACAAAGCCATTCTAATCCTCCTCAATGTTCCCTTGCAAACACACATTACCAAAACAAAGAATTTAATTAATACAATAAACAAAGATCTTATGGAATTCTTAATAGCAAAGAGGGAAAAAAATCACTTAATGTCTTTTGGAATTCTTGATACCATTCACCTAGATTAAATTTCTTTATCACCCCTCCCCATTCTTACTTGAACAATATTCTTGTCATCGTGCTTAGGAAAACCAGTATTTCAGTGCCTCAAAACCTACCCAAGCAACTCTGACAACCATGCTCAAAAGCCATAATATTCCATTAAGCTGAATAACAGACAAAGCAACGTAGCAAAAATTGCGAACAATTTGCCTAAAATCCAAAAGTTACAAGCTGGATGTTGCAAAATCAGTTGAGGAAGATGCAAACCAATTGCTAAGGCATCTATAAGTACTACATACCACTAGAAAGATAAGTCCCAAGATGCCTTCTCAGTTCTCACATACATAAAAAGCTTCACTAATAAACAAATGCAAAACAGTATTATATCTACCTATACAGCAGACCCAACCAAACTAAGGGGGTCACAAATTCATACATAAAAAAAGTTCCAAAATGTTCAACAAGATACAGCATTAGTTTTAATTTTAAACTGCAACAGTTTATTTTTTCTTTTCCTAATATAGAAAACAAGATAACTATAATTTATAAATTCCATTAAAACCACAACCAAATAAACCAGTAAAACAAAGGTTACCTCAGCCAGCATGTGGTCAGCCTCATCAAACACAAGAATCTTCACATGAATCACGCTCAATTTCTTAGCCGACATCCATTTCTTAATAGTGCCAGGAGTACCAATAACTACTTGAGCTGTAACAGGCGGCCGTTTATTAATTGGAATATGATTAGTACTATCCATTGGAATAGCACATTCTGAAGTTATCCCAGTATACTTCCCCATCTTCCCAAGCACTTCCAAATTCTGCAAGAAAGAGCACAAATTCTATGATCAAAACCAAAAGCCAAATTTCATTAAAACATCGAAAATTCAAAATTCCAAAAACTTAACCTGAATAGCCAATTCTCTTGTGGGACAAATGCAAAGTGCTTGAGGAGCTTTTATATTCGGATCAACACGAGATAGCATTCCAAGCGTAAAGCAAGTGGTTTTTCCAGAGCCATTATGAGCTTGAGCAATTAAATCCATGAAAGGGGGATTCAAAATCATTGGCAAACTAATAGCTTGAATTTTGCTAGGCTTTTCAAATTTCATCTCAACATATAAACCCTTCAATAATTCTGGTGACAATTTCAATTCCTCAAATGTAAATGCTGACGTGTACGGTGTATCCCCAGATGTGACCTAAAAATCAAACAAAAAACTTGCAAAAAGTGAAAACCCTAAATCTCAGTCAACCTGTAAAGAAAAAGCTAAAATTTTTAGGTTCAGGAGTTTATACGGCTTTGATGTTGGAGTCTTCAGGTTCGTCAAGGAATTTGTTGATCTTTTTGTTCTCGTCGATTGCTAGGTTTTCAACGTCGAGTTCCAGCGCAGCTTTTGCTTCCGATGTTGAGGAAGCGCTCGATTCCTCCGGAGCTTCGTCTTCTAAATCGGCCCATCGCGTTGGCGCCACGGTAGCCTTTTTGGTTTCTTGCGGCCTTGGCGCCTGGCCGGCGGCAGTGGTGGATGTGGTGCTGTCGCCCATGAAGTTCTAGAAATTACGGGAACAAACGGGAAAAGGTAAATCGTGTTATTTTTTGGAGTGGTGATCGGAAGTGGAGATTATACCTTGGTAAGGGACACCGCATAACCGACTTGGGTTTAGCGTAATAGCGACGCAGTAATTTTCTTAACAGATATCGGTTGCTTCTCACTAATATTATTGAAATACTTTATCTAAAATTTTGCTATCATCATCCAAAAGTAAGTTTAATACTCTTTTTATAAATTAAAATTCGAATTTTTTTGTAGAAAAATACCTTAAAATAAAATTTTAAATACATAAAATCAATACGATATTTTTAAAATCATCTAAAACAAAACTTGATATCTTTACTTTTAAAAAAAAAAAGAAAATATTTTCCAAACTGGCAGTATGAATAATTTCTTTTTATTTTTACACTCAAAATGCATTTGGGCCTTCATATCTTTAATGTGACCCATTTCATATGGACAGATCAATCAAGGCCGTGAGGCCCAAATCAACACTTGAAAACAGGAATAGCATATGAAGCAAAAGACCAAAACCAAAGAATAATTAATAGTAGTTTGCTTGTTCATGGGCTGCCCTTTAATAATGGCAGAAAATATAAACATTACTTTTTTTTTATTTTATTTTGATATACACATTAATATTTCTTTTCAATCTTGATGGCTCCTAATTGATCCTTGTATTTTACTCTTTGTTATTTCATCCGTGAAGATGTTCAAATACAACCTTTTTACCCTTTTTTGTAATTACAAACTTGAATTATCACATGGTCCAAAATATCCTTTTAATTTCTTGAGTCAATACATATCTCCAAATTCAAGTACAATCCTAGATCAATAAATATCTCTAAACGTAGATTAAAAATCAGTAGATGTAAGGATGATATATATATGTACTAATATATATATATAAATACAATTTAAGATTTATATATATGTAATATATATTATTAATATAAAAATATTTGCATATTTAAAATGTATATAAAAATCAATACTCATTTAATAAGCATTTAATATATATATTTAAATTTTAATATATACATTATTAATATAACAATTATAAATGTATACATAATTATATTAAATTTTAGTACTAAATTTGAAATGATGAATTATTAAAGATAAAAAAATAAAATAATGATGTGTCGTACTGATATTTTTATTTATATTGTATATGTTAAAATAAAATTAATTTTATAATAATTATTAAATGAATATCATAAATAAATATTTAAAATAATCTTTATATCATATATTAAATAGCTAATAGGCATCATAATTAAAAAATTAAAAATTCAAATAATCTTTATATGTTTATATTAAATTAAAATAAATATAAATATATATTTTTATCGTAATACATATTAAATATTTATCCGTATGACACATTTTATTTAAATATATTTTTTGTATCTTACATATATTTAGACATATTAATATGTTTAAGACATGAATTATGTCATGTTAAAATTTATATAGATACGAATAAATAAAAAATATATTTTTTAAAATATATATACGATTTTTTTTATATTATTTTTATATTATATTATTATGTTTATATCATATCTAAAATTATCAAACTTACAAAAAAAAACAACAAGCTTGTCTAAATTCTGTAACAAAGCCTTCAGAACATGACCCATATTATCTGTATCGCCATTTATCTAAAAATAAATGAATAAATAAAATTTTTATTTCTAAAAAAAAAAATGGAACTACCAACTGCCTCGTATTTTCTGAAAGAAAGTGCTTGGCAACAGGAAAACATAAGACAAAATAATAAATACATCTGCCAATCTCACAATCCATTAGCATAGAATTAAATGTATAGTAACAAAAGTTTTATATTAAATATTATAATGTGCTGCAAATACAAATAAAAATGTCAATTTTAATTATTAATTACTGGTCATGTCACCTTTATCCGCCGTCGTTTTTGAAAGTTTTTTAATCTGAGAAAGAAATCGATCTTCTGCTTATATGTCACTAATAATTGAGCGGCAGCCGCCAAAGAAATTCAAATTATCGGTGGATGGATTTTGATGGGTGTGGCATGTTATCTTCCAATGTCTCAAAGAATTTCATTATAATTATTCCATTTTTGGCCACCACTTGATTATAATTAATAAACATATTATTTATACAGCTACTAACTATACGTCATATTTATATCGTCTTAATTAGGTACCTAACTCACTTTATCATATTTAAATCGTCTTAATTAGGTACCCATTAATTATTGAGCAGAGAGAGAAGATTTTTCTTCAGTTTATTTCGATACAAAGACGAAAAACAAGTCTGCTTTTCGAAGGAGGGATTTGGATTAAATTATTAATACAAAAAATTAATGAATTAATCAAATAAATTAATTAATCAGTAAACAAATTAATATAAAATTAAAATAAATTCACACACAATAAATTTTGAAAATAAAACTTCAAATTTTCAAAACATTCAATAAAGGAAGGATTGTAATTAATTAGTTTAAGTATCAGTTTAAGAAGGTTATTGTAATTAATTAGTTTAAGTATCAGTTTTGAGATGGTTTTCAGGATAGGATTTTGGAGAATAACACGTAATTTAAAGAAACGCATGCATCATTGAAGTTGACGGTTTTCATAGAACCATACAGCAAGGCACGCGCATTTTTTTGGTCGGTCCACGATAAAGTAAAGCGGAAAAAGATGGAGAGAAGGAATATTTTTGGAGCTTATTGTGAGGGCATTAAATTAAGTGGATATTTGCCTTCTATTTTTTTATTATTTGTATAATTTAGACGTGTAATATTTTTTAATTAATTACATAATAGAATAAAAAAATTAAAAAATATATATTAAAATTTTAAAAAATAAATATTTGATTAATTCAAATGATAAGTACAATGATAAAAATAAGACATAATTAAGGTTGATAACGGGTCGAGGTGGGATAGGTTTTTGTTCGTTCTGAATCAGATTTGATTTTATAATCGTAAATTTGTACTTGATTCAATTAATTTTTTTTTAATTTTTTAATACCCGAATAAAATCCCAAAATTTAATATTGTATAAATCGTATCCGACTCAAAATTAATAAAATATTATTTTTAAATATATAAAATATTATTTTTAAAATATAAATATATAATTATATATATAAATTAAAAAATAATTTTTAATATAATATCGGATTTACTTAAAATCCGAACTTGATCCGACTCAAAAATTTTTTTTAATAATATCCTATCTGAAACTTAATTTAAAAAAAAAATCGACTCTATAAAATTAAATTGTATCGAAATTCATGGGATTCGAATTGGAATGTCTAGACAGAATGCAAGTTGTAATCATACGGGAAAGATCGGTGCATTAATTCTACATTGGGACAAATTCTTTGTGAGGTGTAAATGTATAGATGTCAGGGTCGCAGTCTCACAGCCAGACATGAAGCTTGAGCCTTATTACTATGGCTATATATAATCACAAAGTAGTTTTAGCAATTCTGATTCACAGGTTTGTTTGCTGTTTTGATCATTTATTTTCTCTGTCAACATTTATTCATATTACAAATCACCATCTTGGCCCTTGGCTCGGGTCTCTTTCTTATGAATATGGAATTTATGTCCTTTTCCTTTTTTTTTTTTTTGTAGAGTTTAGTAAAATTTTTCATACGTGGTTAGTAAAATTAATTTGTGTAATGCACAGATCATAAATTAATAAATATTTTTAATTTTTTATATTTAAATAATTTAAAAAGAACGATAACATGTAGCTTAGGGGTTTCCTTTTGCTTAGCAAAAACCTATTGTTTAGCTTAGAGAAGCAGCGATTTGGTTTTGCTTGGCTTTTCCTCCAATAAAAATTTACATTACAAAGCAAAAAAAAATCTTTCAATTGCAAGCAGGCCATTTCTTTTTTAGCTTTTAATCTTTAATTAAATTAGATATTTACGCTTCTTCTAATCAAAGGCAAGATATGGATTTACATAAGGCTAAAATACTTTTAAAATCCTTGAATTTTATCACCTAGATAAAAATCTTTATAATTAGACAAATTTTCAATTGTGTATCATTGACTTTTAGTACTATAAATTATTGAAATTTTTGCATATAATCGTAAATCTTTATTTTAATTAAAAATTTTTGAATTTTTATTTCAAGTTAAATTCGAATATAATGAATGTTTAAATAAGTCTTTATATTTAATTTGTGTCAAAATAAACATTTATTTCAAACTAATTATTGTAATTTTTTTCTGGTTCTCTTTATATATAGTCAAGTTTTTACTTCAAATATTAATGTTTGTAAGAAACTAATATCTTACATGTATTGTGTATTATATTAAGAGTTTATTTAAATATAAATTAACGGTCAAAAGTTTATTTGGATGAAAATTAAAAATTTATTTGAGTGTAAATTAAATACTGAAGGTTTACTTAAGTACAATAAAAACATAAAGATTTATTTAAATAAAATAAAAAAATTCAATAATTTTTTATAATTATTTTAGTCTTTCCATAAAAATTAAGTCTTGCTTTTAATAAAATATGTAAAATTCATTTAAATAACTTCGTTATATTTAAAATTATACGATTTTTTTTTAGTATAAACAAAATACATTATTATTAAAATTTTATAATTAAGATTATTTTTTAAATTAAATCAGTTTTCAACTTAATAAATATTGAATGTAATTCGAACTACTAACCTTGAAAATTTCCTTCAAGATTCATTTTGAAAATTTTTTAATGGTTAAATTTAGAAGCATAACTCGTGTTTGTTAATGTTACCCTAAATGGCTCAATGAACACGTACGGCTGACCAGCTAAACTTACCATCAAAAGTAGCATCATTAGTTGGAAACTCTTTTAATCACTTCCATATTTTCAGATTTATTCCCATATATATACGATTTAATTTACACAATTAATTTTTTTCCTATTTTTTTGGAAAGATAATCTTTTCTTATTCCACAAATGTCATTTCAAATTTTGAATTAAGGTCACGCCTTGGAATTTCTTTGAGACTATTCTGTACAGCGCTTAAGGAGAAGACAGTGGTCACCAAATTGATTGATTTAGTTTAATTTTTGTCTTTTAATTTTTCTTTAGAAACGTATCCAAATTCGAATTAAATTTCTGTGGTTTGACTGACTGGTTGGTCCATCTAGCCGCTCAGGTTAAATCAGAGACAAAAAACAGTAAGTCATGCGGCCATGCAACCATGGTCATGAATCAAATAGAAACGAGGGGCTTTTATGTTTTTATTCAGAAAAAAATAAAATTTTGGGCCCACAACGGTGCGTTAATCATTAGCTGCGCTGGCACCAATGGGATTTTCTTTATTTTCTGACTTTTCAATCCTATCAGTGAACTGAATTTCTAGCAAGACAAAGATACCTATGAACAATAGTCGTAAGAAATTTGAATACCTTTTCTTTTATTTGGAAATTTTGTACTAGTTTCCTTTTTGGGATATTTCCTTCTCTTCAATATAAGCAGCAATGAAGGTGTTCACCACCCTGATCGAGCCACGTGGAGATGCATGTGTGATTTGGTATAAAAGGGCATTGGTTTCCTGGCAAGTTCTTTCTCATCTGCCTGCCCTAAGGGCCCCAGCACATGCATGTGAATGTGAGGCTACCTCTCTCTAATTCTATAAAATGACGTCTTAATTCTCTTTTTTCATTCCATCAGTTTTTCTGTGGCGGTTTTTTTTTTTTCTTTTTGTCTTTTGAGTTTTTAAGGTCCGATGTTGTTCTTTCTTTGTTTGAAACACAAGACAGAGTAACGTATACCAGGTTGTTCTGGTTCTAGAACTAGAAAGAAGAGTTGTTTGTTTCTTCACTTCTTAGTTTGTGGTAGTGGTCAGGGTTGCCGCTTTTTGTTGTTGTTGTTTCTGAAAAGCAACATAAATCTCGAATTGAGCCATGGCTATCAAAGGATTACTTTTATATCTGCTGTCAGGTTTTTCAGTAGCCATTCTCTCTGCACTATTGATTAACAAGAACAACGCCATGAACCATAACTCAACACTCTTCCACTCCCCATATTTATCCACCGCTGATAAAGTTTGGCCTGTAAGTATTTTTTCTTTGTCTCACAATCTTTATTTTATATTCTGGCTTTCAATGGTGTTTATTTACTTGATGGGTTTTTTCTTTTGTTTGGTTGCCAGGCATTGGGGTTGAACTGGAGGATTGTATCGGCAACAGTGATAGGATTTCTAGGATCAGCATTTGGAACGGTGGGTGGGGTTGGAGGAGGAGGCATTTTTGTTCCAATGCTTACTTTGATTGTTGGATTTGATGCCAAATCTGCTGCTGCTCTTTCCAAATGTAACTTTTCATTTCTTAATGTATTCTATCTGTTCTATCTTCCTGCTTTCAATGGAATAATGACTTTTAAAGAGATCACACTTTCTTTTATATTAAAAAAAATGAGTGAGGAATTTGTCTTTGTTTAATAATTCATCTGGATTCATTGTAGCCAAGGAGGAGCAGAAGTCAACAAAGAGTTGACTGAAGTGGTTCAATCAACTTCAGATTGATTACTGAAGAAGAAAATATTGAACAAACCTTTTTACTTAACAGAGTTATTTTTCTAACATCAGATTTTTATATGAATGGCTGCAGGCATGATAATGGCGGCATCAGCATCATCAGTTTGGTACAATCTTCGAGTGCCACATCCAACAAAGGAAGTGCCCATCATTGACTATGATCTTGCTCTTTTCTTCCAGCCTATGTTGATGCTTGGCATCACTGTTGGGGTTGCCTTGAGCGTCGTTTTTCCTTATTGGCTCATTACTGTGCTCATCATCATACTCTTCTTAGGTCTGTTCAACAATCCAACTTGCCCTCATTATTTTCCTGTTGATCGTTGTGCTGATTTGATTATCTTTATTGACATTGAAATGACTGTTTCTTCTTGTTTATTTAGGTACATCCTCAAGGTCTTTCTATAAGGGAGTTGAAATGTGGAAGGCAGAGACTATCTTAAAGGTACCTTTCAATTATTTGTGTGAATGTCAAGTCATTTACAAAAAGAAATTATCACCATTTTACCCCTTTTTTTGTTTTAATTTGTAAAAATTGCAGAAAGAACTTACCAGGCAACAAGAAAATCTAGTTAATTCCAGGGGTGAATGTAAGATACATTATAGATGCCTTGTGTATTTATCTTTAGACAGATTTGAAAGATATTTATTTTTTTCTTTAATTTTTGAATTTCAGTGCAGATAGATGCAGAGTATGTACCATTGGTTCCAAAAGAAGAGAAATCAAAACTGGTTAGTGAATCAGGAATTTAAAATTTTATGATGTTTGATACTATTCCATCCCTCAAGATGGGAGAAAATGAATTGGACTTCTTTATATTCCAGCAAATACTAAGTTTCAATCTAAGGTGGAAAAGGCTTTCGGTTCTGGCTACTGTTTGGGTCCTTTTCACACTTATCCAAATCATCAAGGCGAGCTAACAGTCTATCTTTGCTTCCACTCTTTCAATCTCAATGCTGTTTTAAAATGCTCATGATTCATGTTACCTTTTTTTGCAGAATGATTTGGTTGCTTGTAGCACTTTGTACTGGTTTCTGTTCTGCTTACAGGTAACCCCTTGTTTGATGAAACATTGCAAAATCTATGCTATCTTTATTCAATGCTTGAAAAAAAATTTATGTTTTTATTTCAGTTCCCCGTAGCATTTTTGGTTTTTGGATATGAAGCAACCAAATTATACAAAGAACACAAGAAGAGGATGAGCACAGGGAACACAGAAGCAATTTGTGAAGCTTCAATTCAATGGAGTCCATTTAACATTGCATTTTGTGCACTCTGTGGCATCTTGGGAGGCATCGTTGGGGGCTTGCTTGGTTCTGGTGGAGGATTCATTTTGGGTCCTCTCCTCGTGGAGATTGGTGTGATTCCACAGGTAAGTTTGACTTGTGGTTACATCACCATCATCATTCTATAAATATAAAACCTGTCCTGTTTTTTATCAACAGGTGGCTAGCGCAACAGCAACATTTGTAATGATGTTCTCTTCATCCTTATCCGTAGTGGAATTCTATTTGCTTAAGAGGTTCCCTATCCCCTTTGGTAAGCGTTGGTTGTTCTCCCCCATTTTCTTTTGCAGAAACTCCTTGACAGCCCCTTTGGCAACACATCTCTTATTTGATCATAATGTCATCAAATTTTTTTACGTTTTTCAGCGTTGTACTTGATGGGAGTATCTGTTTTGGCTGGCTTCTGGGGACAGTATTTTGTAAGAAAACTCGTAACAATCCTTAAAAGAGCTTCACTTATTGTATTCATCCTATCTAGTGTCATCTTTGCAAGTGCTCTCATAATGGGTATGAGCTTATCTATCATCAGAACTCAATTATTCCACTTTAATTTCCTGTCAAAATTCGAAATTGATAACTGATATTGTGTTCTTGATGTCTTTAACAGGAGTCATTGGCATTGGGACAAGCATTCGAATGATACAAAACCATGAGTTCATGGGATTTTTTGATTTTTGCAGCAGTCAATGATCATTGACAAAGATGCTTCAGAAGATTGAATAAAGGATGGTGTGGAAATTGACAATTTAGGAAGGAAAGCAAGAAAGTTCTACAGGATGGGCAAGAAACTCTCGATTCTTCCCAAACACAGCTAGAGTTTAAGTTTATAATAATGAAAATCGGATTTTGGCCATCACCTTGTTGACCAACCCAACGTTCAGTGTCTGCAGACAAAAGTGTGGGTTGCGACTGTTAGCTCCTGGCTAACACCAACAACTCCATGATATTCATCCAACTGTCTGTTAAAGTGTCTGTCTGTCTTTCTGCAGACTTGTATGGACTGAGAGTGTTAGCTCCTGGCTAACACCCCCTTCTTCATTTATCACACATTACTTTCAGCAGCAGCATTTCTGAATTCCGTATTGTGCAATTGCATATTTGTTCAAGGTTTGGTAAATTAAAACTATAGTATTCACCATTTTGTGTTATTTGAGCAAATGAGGCATAAATACTAATTATATGTAATAATAATGATAATTTTAATTAATTTTTTTATATAATTTAGCATAATCATAATAAAAATAATAATAAAAATAAAATATAAAAAGAAATCTCATACTAAGTATCCGATCATAAAATCCAACATCAAATTTCCAAAAAAAAGAAGAAAAAAAGACTTGACATAATTAGGTCTGCAGAATGTGAATAACATGGGTTTAAAATTAGAATTTCAAATCACCTAACCACTAACCCCAAAGGCCTAAAGCCGAATATCATACTCAACCTGCCTCATTTGTTTGATAGTGTTATGTGCATACCAAATCCAAGATCTTTCAGCTAATTAAACACTCCATTTTTATTTTTTCCTTTTTTTCCCCAAAACAAAATATTTTGAAAATGTTAGACTAAAATACTAAAAAGGTTTATATATTTTTTTCCAATATCTCAAACAAACATTTACCCTTCTATTATATCTAATTAAATATTTATTTTACATGAAAATAGCTAAAATTCATTGAAAAAAATTAATTAAACAAAAATAGTATTTTAAATTATACAAATTATGAAAATATAATGGTTTGAAACAAATATGTCATGGAGTTTTTAAGAGCACTTTTTAAAGTTATTAAATTAAATAATTTATTTTCTAAATGCATTGAAATTCATAGCATAATTGTCAACTGTCGCAATTAATATAAAAACATTACTATATTAATTTAAAAAAGAATCCTTAGCAAAATTCATAATTAAAATAATACCTAATTTTTATGCCATTGTCATTATTCTGTGTCTCTTTAAGTTTCGAGCCATTTTTGGAAAACACTAATTAAACAAGAAATTTGCTTTTTTGTTTTTTTTTTTCAGTTATTTTTTCAGACTAAAAAAAAGTGTGGAACTACAATAAAATAAAACACTAATTACCATATTTCTACACAAAACTATTTTGACACCTTATAAAACTATTTTTAACCCCGGAATTTCTCAATTGAAGTGGTAATCCAATGCAACAAACACCAGAACCAAAGAGAAATACAAATAAATTGCAAGGACCAGACCAAATCAAGTTCATAAATATAAAATTACCCAATACATGAGTGCAAATTCATCTTGATATTCCAACAAATATATTTGAATGTAATTTCAGTTATATTTTGTAAAAAAAATATATATGTTTTAAAAGAATTGCATGTCCTATGCATACATTTTGGGCACAAAACTAGTCTATGCAGAAAAACAGAAAGGGGCAGGCTTCTAGAAACGTAGGTGAGAGTCCTACCTAGAATAATTTGTTGCTGCCTTGGAGCATTTGGAAGAAGAAGGGAGATCTTTGGCAGGTTTAGAATCTGCACTGATGGCAATATTCCCCATTCCGACCTCCATTGCCTCTCTATCATCCATCTCTCTCTTCTTTTTCTCAGAAATGTCAGTATCCGCAACTTGGATTTGTGATGGAGATGCTGATGGCTCTAAAAGTCGGGGGCCTGCATTGATCCATGGATGAAGAACGCACTGTGCAGCACTGGGACGCTTTTCAGGTACAAAATCAAGGATTGGAACCAGGAACTCCGCCATGTCATTTGCATCTTGCTCACTGAATTCATACTTCTCAACAAGGACCTTATTCAAGGACCAGAAACGCAACCGACGAATGTGCCTCAAATCACCATATCGGTTAAAGAAGTCCCGTGAATATCGTCCACCCAAGGCAATCTGACATAGTTCCATACGTGGTTTATGAATACAAGAGATTAATAAAGCAAACTTTGTAATACATAAAAAAGATTATACTAGGAAAGATTACTCTCACCTTGCGTGGCATCATTCCTAGAAGCTCCATCATCAAAGCTAAGTGGTCCTGAACAGATGGGATAAAATGTTAGATTCATCAGAGCATATATCTTGTTCATAGCTTGTTCAAATGAAAGCAGAATCAAAACATAACTACAATAAACAACTTTTCAGTCTATTTATTTTGGAAGTTTTCAAGTTCAAACCAGCTCTATAGCACTTTTAGAAGATTTTTAATGCAAATAAAAAATAACATATTTTCCTAAAAGTCCATGCTTTTCATTATGCAATTTCCGTTAACAATTCAAAAGACCCAAAACCAGCTCATGTTTAACGGTGAAAAAATAGCTCATTGTCTTCCTATAATAGAACTCAGACCTGAATTCGAAATATACAAATCCTAAATCCTAAATCAAAAAAAAAAAATGTGCTTCAAGATAAATTAAACCAGTCTTTAGACAAGTAAAACAAAAACAGACAGCTTAACTAAGAACTCATAATATGCCAAGATCCCTTATAAATGTATACATATGCACACATGCATGTATACACCAAAGCATATACAAAAGATTAATATTCCTAAATACAAAAAATTGTTATTAACATATTGCAAACTGTGATGGCACACTCCAGAGATTTAAGAACAATTAAAGGTAATCCACATATGCTATTCAACCATTCAGCATTTTCAGCTGCAGGAGAGCACTTTCAAAACTCAGACCTGAAACAATTGCATTCAGCAGTCACTATTCTGACAGTTGCATGAGACTGTGACCCCTTTCCAGTAGATAAATACCAAAATAAAACTTAGATATAGAAGCACGTAAGTCACCCAAACTAACGAACCCAATAGTTATAGAAGCACTTCTCTCCACTCATATTGCTCTATAACAATATCCTTGCATAATCATGAGCTTATCAATGTATGACAAATCAATGTTATTCTTCTGAAATTGAGTTGAGCTTCCAAAAAAGGGAAGCAAAATTGCATGGCACTACAGACCAACAAGACTCCCATAGTGGGAATGACAGAAAAGTGACTTAAGATTAACTGCTGTCAGAAAAATGACCGTCCATTGATCATTAAACTTTTATTGTCAAACATGGATAAACTTACATTCTGTTCAGTTATCATTTCCAAATCATATAACACTAAATACATATAATTTAAGGTTACAACATAGGGGAAATGAAGAACAAAATTCAAAGCATTTTTGAATCAAGAGACGTGGAGAAAAGTGAAGTGAAACAGCTAAATGAAACTATAAGTGAATAGACAAGAGGAGAGTTTTCTCACACTGCACTTTTTAAATCTCTCCAGAAGTGAAGAAACAAATTTCAGTTCACCACACCTCTGTTATTTTCACTCTTTTCATTTCTCATCCTTCTTTAACAAAACAAATAGCCTAACAAAGTCTTACTGTCTCCACTTAATAACCAACTTTCAACATTTCAGCCAGGGAACCAAATCAAAGGAATGTGATTATCATAGTACAGATAAGTAAAATGTAAATGAATCCAAGGAAAATTCCCCCTGTTTAACTACAAGTTCAACAACATGCAAAAGAAAAGCACACTTTTGTCCCTGTTTATAGCATCTCTTTTCTTTTTCAGATGCACTGAGTACTTTTTTTCCTTTCCAAAAAAAAGGAAATAAATTATTTTAACTTTACAAGTGTACCACAACCTTCAAACATCTTGAATGAACATTCATAACGAGAGATTGAGAAACTTATAACAAACACATACAGTATATTTTATAACAGCATTCAAAGAAAATACCTCATCTCTGTCAAAGTTATCACCGCTATGAGGATCAAAGAGTACATCTCCAGTTGCAAGCTCAAAACAAATGCAAGCAAATGACCAAAGGTCAGCTGAAGTAGAATACTTAGATCCCAGGATCACCTCAGGACACCTATACTGTCTTGTCTGAATATCATTCGTAAACTGTTTATATGTCCAACATGCATTCCCAAAATCAACTAATTTGCACTTTAAGTCAACTGATGCCAACAGTTTCCGCCTTGAGGAGCGGCTTCCTCTCTTATTACCTTGACTTGCTTGACCAGTATCCTTCGTACCAGCACCATCAGATAATCTATTCGCAAAATTGCCAGAATTAGTGGGACGTTCTTCAACATGACCCACATTTGCTTTTTCACTGGGAGATGACTCAGCTGCACCAGATGTTTCAGGATCCGCATCAGCTTCTGCAGAAGCTTCCTTCTCCACACACCCCTGAGCCGCTCGTTTAGCCTTTCTCCGAATCTTTTTCTTCTGATTTCTACTCAAATCTCCATTCATAGACTTTAAAGAGTCCAGCACCATCTTGTCCTTACTATTAGGAAGGATGAGAGGAGTGCCCGACTTTCTCGGGTCCTTAGAAGGATCTATCATTAACAACAGTAAAATATTTTCTGGTTTTAGATCAGTGTGTATAATGGAAAGCTCTCTATGCAAGTAATCCAAACCCACTAGAACATGGAAACATATCTCCTTAACCATATGAATAGGGATGCCACTATAATCAGAGTACTTGATGAGCGTCAAAAGATTATCCCCCAAGTACTCAAACACCATACAAACATGCTGTCCATTCGGACCTGAATGCTTAAAATGATCCAAAAGCTTCACTACACATTTTTTATCCTCTTTATCCCCATCTGCAATCTGTTGCAAGATTGTTATCTCATCCATTGCCGCCTCAGTGTAGTGCTGTGCACTTTTTTGTACTTTCAGAGCTACATAACGCTGTAGTTTAAAAACAAATGATCAAAATCTAAGAGGAAAACAATGCAAAGCATTTAACTTAAATTCAAAGAGAATAAATTACATTTCCTAGTGATATTTCTGCTGTTTCATCATCAAAACTTGAAAGTGATCAATCAAACAAATTTATTACTTGCGATGAATGCTTTTATTTTATTCTTTATAATCCTGCATTTTTCTCCTTTATTTTCTAGGCAATAAATCTAACACAATATTAACAAAAATAAAATTTAAAAAAGGCCTTTTTTAAGACAATTCATCTTCAATTACAGGATCGAGAAAACAGATTAATGAAATATTACTGAAAGAAACAAAATAATTACAGCTAAAAAGCAAAAGCTAATTTCTTGAGTAAACTACGCAGATTTACTTAATACGACGGTGTAATTAACCTGATCAACTAGAGAAACGGAGTAACATAAAGCTATAGAGTTTGAGAGAGAGAGATAGAGGCGTGTACAGAGAGCTGAGTGTCCCAAGCCAGCCAGACGGTGGAGAAATGGCCCCAACCGAGCTTGCTTTGGATAACGTAACGTCCGTTCTTGAAAGTGTCTCCGATTCTAACGGCGTGATAACCGCCTCGCCTGTAATCATCCATCCCTTCATCTTCCGACGTGTAATCCCCGCTCTCACTTCCGCTCCACTCTTCTTGATCCTCCTTGTCCCCCATTCCCTCTTCTTCCAAATCTAAAAATAAATAAATAAATAATTTTTTATTAAAAAAATAACAACGTCTCGATCAGATTCAGCAGGATCACTAGATCTTGCAGCTACTGTTAAGATATAGAAAGGAAAAAAAATTCTGTTTGGATTAAGGAAAAATAATTTCTGTTTGGATTAAGGAAAAATAATTTATCTTTTACAATGAAAAAGAAAAACGCTTCTGTTGTTTGTGCGGGAGTGTTAACCCCGGTAAAAGGACTTCGAAATGTTGGGGATTTCTCTTTTCTTTTTAATTTTGGGGGGTTTTTTTTAATACGTGGCGTATAAGGACGGGCTGAGATTCTGTGCGCTGATGAGATTGGTTCAGTGAGAGTTCAGTGAGATGTCATCGTCGTCATCATCGTAATATCCTTAATGATTGGAGTGCGGCTCTTCATTTTTTATTTTTATTTTATTTTATTTTTTTTTCTTTTTGGGTGGGTTTTCTTTTCAGGTCAGTCTTACATAAGTGACAAAATTGTTAATGTTGATTAATAAATCATCCGCTTGAAACAAGAAAAAAAAAAGTACTATTTTTTATTTATGAAAATAGTTAATAAATATATTTATGATGTGAAAAATAAAAAGTTATCCAAAATATTGAAAAATAATATAAGTATTTATTATTTTAAAGATTTCTATTGCTGTGTGCATTTTTTTTTTGTCAAGGAGTGGTTGTGTGGGTAAGTATACACTATATATAGCTTAAGAAATTTATATCAAACTAAAGATTGATAGACTAATAAAGTGATAAATTTATGTATTTAAAATTTTATTCATAAGTTGTCACTTTTAAAACGTAACATTTAATAATTTTAAATTTTAAATTTTAATTAAGAATAATAATGGATCTATTTGGATTTAATTTAATTTTTTTGGATTATATAAAATTATAAATTTTTAAAAATTGATTTTATTTTTATTTTAAATTTTTGTATGATTCGATATGAATTGAATTTTACTAATATAATTTAGTTTTATTCAATTCATCCATTTTTAAATTTTAAATTTTTATATATTATATTAATATAATTTTTAATATATTTAAATAGATTTAAGTATAAAATAATTATTTTATTTTATAAAAAATTAAAAAATATATAAATTAATAAAAAGATATAATTCAATTTGGTTAAGTTTTTTTGTACTATTTTTCACTTTTCTATCCAAAATCAAATTTAAATATAATATATATATTTAATATTTGAATTTAATCTGAACCGAATAAAAAAATCGATCCAAACATAATAGAATATTATGATTTTGAATTATTTTTGGTTTTTTCATTTTTTTCTTGCCCATAATTTCAACACTAATATTTTTTTATTCTTAGATTGTGACTTTTTTATACAATAAAAAATAAATTCTTTTTTTTAATATAAGGTATAATTATAATTTTTTATACAAAAATTTTATAGTGCTTGGAGGAAGAAAAAGGAAATTGAGAGTATAGAATATTATAAACATAACGTATGAATCAATGAAAAAGAAAAATAAATGGATTGTCACTTCATCTTTATAGATTTGTATTTCATTTGTTTAAATGGATTAGAAAATGGAGTACACTCGGTGAAAGAGAAGATAAAAATAATAAATAATAAATAAACTTTTGAATTTAATTTTCTTGTCAATCCCAATAATTACAAGTAAATTCACATTTGGTCCAACTTGAAATACATGCATAATGTTAAAATTCAGATTTTTGTTTTTCATATTATTTTATCAATAATACTAATAATATATAATTTTGTAGACTATCAAAGATAAACACATAAGACCATGTCCACAACCCTTTATTTTTTTATTATTTTATTTTTAATTTGTCAAAGATTTTGGATAAGACCATGTTGGATTTTGCATGTTTGAATCAAATTGACAAAAATAAATTGTTTTTTTTATATAATGAAAAAGGAAAACCAGAAATTGCCTTAAAAAAACCATTGTTTTTAGCTTTTGGGCTTCGTCGATGTCCATGGCCATATTAATATGGGTCAATTTAGGGGCCTGTATTGGGCCCAAATATTCCCTTCCTGGCCCGTCCATTAGTGGTAATACCGTGATTTTAAAACAATTGAAGGGCCGCTCAATCGCAACCTTTGCGATATACATAACAACATCTCTAGGGTTTACACAGCAAAGAACCAGAGCAACAGCAGCGCGCAGCAGCCATGGTTCTCAAGTACGGTCCTTTTCTTTTCCTCTATTTCCCTTAAAATTATTCATAAATAACGATATCATGAACTGATCTTGAAAAAATTCCTTTAATTTTAGAAAAAATAATTAAATAATCCCTTTACCTGCTGAATCTGCCTTTCATTTTATTTTATTCAGCCTGCCTGAAAATTGATTGTTGATTTTCTTTTCTTTGATTGAAAAATGAATCTGATTGAAAACCTCGCACTTTAGGACGGAGCTCTGCCGGTTTAGTGGTGCCAAGATATACCCAGGGAAAGGCATCAGATTTGTTCGCTCTGATTCTCAGGTAAAATTTCATTCAGTTCTGATTTGAAGCTGTTGATGTTATATTGTTGCACTGGCAATAAACAATCGTCTTCATTATTTTTTGTAGGTTTTCCTCTTTTCCAATTCAAAATGCAAGAGGTACTTCCACAACCGTTTGAAGCCATCGAAACTTACATGGACAGCCATGTATAGGAAGCAACATAAAAAGGTGGGTATCAGCGATTCAGCATTACAAAGCTCAATTTCATTCAAAAGATCGCAATTTTTCTTTTTTTTCACTTTGTTTACCTGTACCATTTGAAGTAATTATATATAGATGGTTACTTGGGATCAAAGATCATGTTCGTTTGGTATAAAAGGAATAAAAATTGAACAAGATTGGGCATCTCATTTTACCTCTATCTGATAAAAGTTAAGCAAGATCGCATGATTTGTATGATTGGATTAAAAATGACCACCTTCAGTATTTTATTGTTTCCATATTGTTTACGTGCATTTAGGACATTGCCCAAGAGGCTGTGAAGAAAAGGAGACGTGCCACCAAGAAGCCTTACTCCAGATCCATTGTTGGTGCTACCTTAGAGGTTATCCAGAAGAAGAGGAGTGAGAAACCAGAAGTTCGTGATGCCGCCAGGGAAGCTGCTCTCCGGTGTGTGTTTTTTCATTTTGCATATAAGTTTCATCCACTCCTGATTGCTGGTTTTGACATGTATTATGCTGTGTATTTATAGGAATATTTTGTTCATCTATTGTGCAGAGAAATCAAGGAAAGGATCAAGAAAACTAAGGATGAAAAGAAGGCAAAGAAAGCAGAAGTAACGGCAAAGCAGCAGAAGACACAGGGCAAGGGTAACATTCCAAAGGGTTCTGCACCAAAAGGTCCCAAGCTTGGTGGTGGTGGTGGAAAGCGCTAAGTTGCTAGGTTATTATCTGCTTGTCCCTAACAAGAGAAATAGGTAGTATATTCATTTTGAAAGCATTGTATGGACTGAATGGCCCTGTTGGTCATGTTGTTTTTGCTTTTATGCTTATGCTATACCATGAGCACAATGTTGAAGTTGAGTGATCAAGTAATTTTATGTATTTTGACATTTGTTTTTCAACCTCATACTATGAAATAGACCGAGTGAAGAATGTCATTTGTTTTTCAATTTTGAAGTTGAGTGATCAACTAATTTTATGGATTTTGACATATGTTTTTCAACCTACATACACTGAATTAGACCAAGTGAAGAATGCCATTGAACAGCCCTCTTTTAGTACTCAAGCCCGACACTTGGTTTGATGTTTACATGGATATTTTGTGCTGTTTAAAATGCATTCCTTCTACCTTCCATGTTCATGATGGTTATCATTCTAGGCCGTTTTGGTAGAGTTGCCATGGTGCCTGCTATATGTAATGCACAGTAATATTTAGGATGGACTCGCTGCTTAGAAGACCTATCCTGGGTGGTTTGGGCGGGTAGCACAACTTTACTCGGGCTGAGTCTTAGTAAGGCTTTTGAGGTGCGGATCTAACTTGGCTGGGACATTATTTAATGAACAAAATTTTTTATTTAATTTTTCAATTATAATATTTAATACAATATCAATTGTTGTTAAGTCTACTTGATTTGTTTCTACTTCTGTTATCTGTGCTTCTAGGCTTTGTACGTGTTGTTAAAGTAGGTGATTAACATTTAACAACTTGATCTTTCCATATTTATTCCGTATCAGCAATCATTTTATGAAGAAGACTTTTTTTTTTTTTTTTGTCTCTGTAGTATCCAGAGTTCCAGACACAGCTCCAGAAACGAGAAAACAAAAAGAAAAATCAGCCTTATTCATGCAAAAAGTACTTTAAGCTCTTGATCCAACACTCTACAGCCTTTTGGCTTTCTTAAACATGTTAGTGCATATATTATATATTGCGCATTGATGTTATGTCAATTCTTCAACAGTCCTAAGCCAGGAGATGATCATTAGTCCCTGCATCATCCTGATCTTACTAAAACTTGCCAAGCCAAACTGAAAATTCTAATTTATAAGACGACTAACCCAAATTAAACAGAGTTTAATTAAGATAAAGTGACCAATTATTGACGAGTTAATTAAGTGTTCCATTAGGGATAAGAGGGCAGCTGCACACCCCAGTAGGGAGATGATACTGGATTATACTCCTCCACATTGAAAAGATGGTTGCATTCAGCGATCTGATGCTGATGATGGTGATGTGCTACTACTCTTTGCTTGTTAGAGCTGCGAATTGAGGTGCTTTCGACGGTCTCTTCGCCTGAGATTTCTGTGTAACCTTTAGAGACTTGGTTTGTTGTCGCCTGTTCCCTTAGCATGCCTTTCAATTTCATGACCTGCATCAGAGGGTGAGAGTAAATGGGAATCAATAGAGTAACGATTCAATATTTATTTCTTTCTCATCTTATTGATTAAGCATTCTGTATTTGCCAAGAAAGAGATAAACTTACTGTTGGAGATGATCTCATTAAATGAGTCATGAAACGATCATAAATATGCTAAGAAAGGTTAATGCCCAAGACAGAGTTTAATTGTTTGTATGGCAAATGTTCGCAATCTGTTATATGAGACATTTTCTTATTAAAGTTTGCATTAATGAAAAAAAGGAGGAGGGCTCAAAAATGAAGACAAATTAGAGGGACAGGAAACAATTAAGGAAAATATTTTCGTTGGTAAAAACTGTGCATGAAATATGCATGGAAAGAGAAAGAGAGGGCTTTGAACATCTCTGCCAAGCCAACCTCATCTTGAAGCTTCTGCTTCTCCCTGGAGATAACATCGTATTCCTGTTTAAGCACATCATATAACCGTTCAAGCTGCTTAGCTTTCCATCTAGCACGCCTGTTTTGGAACCAGACAGCAATTTGCCTTGGTTGGAGTCCAAGCTCCCTGGAAAGCTTCATTTTCCTATCAGGGTCTAACTTGATCTCTTCCTGGAAACTCCTTTCCAAGGAATCTAACTGATCACTTCTCAACCGCTTCTTCTTCTCTTGATTGTTCATGTTGTAAATATTCTTGTCCAAGGCTGGAACCAACCCTTGAGCTGCCTCTGCTAAACCTGGATGCTTGATCTCCATGCCTTGGATGAAGAAGGAGAAGATCGCAAAGTTAGGATTGTGCAACTTAATTAGCAAATAAAGATAAATAGAAAGAAAGAAACACTTCAAGATATAGCATTGGAAGCTTGAAGATTGAATTGAATGCTTGTTTGTTGCTATGAAATGCTAGTAAGAAACTAGCCTTCTACTTCGTCGAAAGTTGCTTCCAAAACACATGAAGAAAGTGAAAGTGAGAGAAAAAGAAAAGACAGAAAGGTGAGACCGAGGGGAGTGACTGTACCTGGATATTGATCATAGTTATAGTTATAGAGGAAGTTAAGAGAAGGTTCTGGTGGAGAAACAAGGGTTCGTAAGGTGCCATTCCAATCCATTTTTGACTTGTGTCTCCCTTGTCTATCTTCCCTCCTACTTTCCCTTCAAATCAACCAAAATTTATCAGTATTCCAAAGAGTTCCTCTCTTGGGAATATATGGACCACCAAGAGAAAGCGAGAGGAAAGTGTGGGGGCAGACCAGAGATTGAGCTTAATGAAGCGTGGCAAGAGAGTTATAGAGGGTTTCCTTTCTTCTCCATACTTGTCTTTTGGGATGCAACAAAGTGAATGCGTGAGAAGGAAAAAAAACCTGCAAAGGGCTCTCTCTACTTCACCTTTGGGGTGCAACAAAGTTTAATGTGTAAATTTAAAGGAAGAGAAAGAGAAAGAGAAAGAGAGAGAGATAGCTGGACTCTTGTCGGTTAATTGGAAGGAGAAATAAAATTGAGAGAGAAAAAAATTGCAAATGTGCAATCATAGGTCTCAATCTGGTCCCAGAAACCTGCCTCTACGAAACTGACATTATGCCTTCGCGAAAAACTGGTGAAAACTGCAAAGGAAAAAATGAGGCATAGGTATGTGAGGCTAAATTGCAACATATATAGGAAGCGACCTTAAGAGGAGGTGGCATAAAATCATTACACAAAAACCTGCCACCTCTTACTGCATACAATAATAAAGCACAAAGCAAACCAGAAAAGAAAAAATATAGAGTTGGGGCTCATCCTATTGTTTCACTCTCCCAATACCATCTCAATTAACTTGCAGTACTCACAGCAGAGAAAGAAGACATCTGTCTCTCTCTTTCATCTTTTCTCTGTTTGTCTTTTTGTCCTCATGGGTTGGCTTGGATTTGTTGAATGGCAATTCTGCAATTGATTTGAATGAATTGTGTGGGTGTCAGGCCTAGCTTCGATCAGTTCAGGCAGAGAGAGAGGAAAGAGTTAACGGTAAGAAGAGATGTATATCAGTATATGATACATTGAGTCCAAGATACTGAAAGAGATGAAACAGAAGCCAGAAGGCACTGCCTGTGCTCGTTTCATCTCTATTAGATGATGTAATACTGTATGTATACGTCTTTTATATAAATTAAAGGTGACAAGTGACAACAACACTTCAAATTCAATAACTACAACAGTAGAACCCCAAAGAGATTTGAGAAAGAAAAAAAGGTTTATCATAGTTAAAACATGTGGATTTGTGCTTTAAAATCTTCTGATCTGTCGTTTTTTGCTTGTTTAAGTAGTAAGAAACTTGCACTTCTTACACATTCAAACAAAAAAAAAAACCCTTTGCTTCCTAGATGTCAGCTTCTCCAATCCCGAGTCACAAACCTCTAAATTAATACTATATAGTTTTTTTTTTTTTCTGTTATTATCTTTTTTTATTAAATTAAAAAAATAAAATCTTAATACAAGTAAAAAAAAAATTTAACGTCTTCTCAAACGTCTTTAATTACTAGATTAAAGGCTTAGTAACTTTGCCCTCTTACTTATACTTTTTTTACGTCTAATTTTGCTTCCAACCAAATGAAGCATTGAACTTCAGTAAACAGGAGAAATTCTTGTTTTTTTTTTTTTTTACTCATAAAGCTAATTAGAGACACATTTTTTCAGACCTTGAATTACACAATCTAGATTACATTTTTTTGTTGTGGGATATAAAACAAAAGGAGTAGATAAATTACTAAATACTCACATCAACCAACAACATATATGAAGAGAAACCCATTTTTGGAGGAAGTAATTTCCCCTTTTTGACAAAGACAGAAGTCATGAACATGTTGAATTTATGACATTGCAAATTTGCAAGTAAGCAAGCATGTCTTAACGTTTACAGCACAAAATTAAGTTTGAAGCTGCCTGGGAATATTAATTAGGACATTTACATTAAGACATTGCATATATATAGCGATGATGCTTACCAAGCCACAGGCAAAATTGAAAATTTATCATCTTAAAGATTTAGCCGTCCCTCTTCCCAATAAAAATCCAATTCTGATAAAAAAAACCTGACCCCTGTTGATGGGATCTATCTTCTCTTGTACATGAAGAATTGCTTGATTTTAATTTCAATTTGGTACATATCTTTCTATTCTTTTTAAAGAACATTATATTTGGACCTTTTTTACGATTAATTGCATTATTATTTCAAATTAAAATTTATCTTTTACCTCAAATAAAGTTGTTTTTAGAGAAATCTTACATAGCTATATAGGCTATAGCCTAATAGGCTGTAAGGATTACTTTTAGAGGTACAGTCAATTAAAGCATTGCAGCCAAGCCAGCTTCCTAACCTTTTTCCTTTTCCTTCCAGGAGATGATGAACATGTCATCCGAGTGCAGTGCTGCTTCCTCATTTCATTTATCAAGTTCAACCCCCTAAAATTCTACTGAAAAAGAAAAATTTTGAAGCATGGGGAAAAGGAAACCCAGAAGGGAAATTCTACCACTAAAATGAAAAAAAACCCTGAAATTTTCCCTAATCTTCCAAAGCCCAAAACAATTCCTCAACAATTTCCTAAATGGGTCAATGACCACCCTCATCAAAGCCCAAAGGAAAATCAGAACCAAACACCTAAAACAGTTAAGAATGTAGGGTCGAAGAACAACATGAAACAGCTAGCACATGCTGTTTTCATTGCTGTATTTTTTTTCAAGTACCCTAAAGTCTTAAAGACATAAGCTTGTAAGAATAATGTAAGTTGAAATCAAATGCTACTATTAATAATAGTAAAACACTTGATGAAAGGAACTTGACGTTTGTAAGGGAAATCTAGAATCCGACATAGCATTAGCAACGAAAGCACATCGATTCCTAAGAGATCTGGGTGTTCATGTCGTAGCTTGGACCGCCTAGTTCTTGGTGTCAAGCTACATAGCTAATTAGATTTGGAGTGATTAGTTGAAATTAGCTTTTAACCAACATAAATTTCAAAGCCCATAAGTCTTTTTGGTTGGGATAAATTAATAGTCAACGACTTCTCTGAAAAACCTTTGTATTTATAGCCGTTAAATTGATGAATTCGGAGACTAACAAATCATCTACCTCAATTCTGATGGCAGTAGAAGTTTTGTAATTCAAGCAAAGTTTAATGCATCCCATAATCAAAATTCTTATGTTAAGTTATCTACATTTTTTTTTTTTTTGATAAGATACGAAATGAAAATAATAAAATTCAATAGTTCATTTTACATATTTTTTAAAAATTTTTATCTATTAAACTAAGAAATTAAAAATAAATTATCGACGCATTTTAATAATATGCAAACTATTCATCTAATCAAATTTCAATAGAAATTAAAAAAATATTTTAATTTAAATTTAAAATTTAATTCAAATAATTCATATAATCATATATTTAAAATGTGACATTTAACAAATCTAACTAAGATTCAAATCTCTATACTTGGTTATGTCTTCAAGCAACGGTATCCTTATACAAGTGCTAGTGGTCCTTAATCCTGAATAGGTTGGCTAACTTCCAAGGACGTTGTCTTAAACACATAAGCATAATTAGGTAGTAAGCCGCTGTCTAGTTTACATAAAGTTGTGAGACTGCCAGTATTCCAGATTTAGGCAACTTTTTACAGATATGTAGAGTGTCATATGCACCTTCTTTGAACCTATGGGAACTAACTCATGGACGATGGCTCGAGACAAGGACAAGAAAATTAGGGCCGCGGCGCCGATCGTGGACCAATGTCTAAATGTTGAGCTACATGAAATCTCGTGAACGTTATTCACTTCTGCAACTGAAACGTGATCACCTTGAAGAAAGAGATACTTGGAAGGCCTAACCTTGTCAATGGCATAGCATTTTGAATGTCAGAAATGTTACAGCTATGCTAAAATTTACAACAATAATAACAATAATCGGACAGCTCTCTCACATATTAAATTATCTGGATGTAAACTTACAAACGACTAGTTCAAACACAAGTAAACGTTAAACCTGCTGCTTCTTCCTCGTGATGCAGCCTAGCACGAACCTCTTTCATTTACTCACGGCTGTAAGATGACGCCGTGGACCAACCTTTGGTAAAGAAAACTATCGACCTAAGGTCAGAGTTTAAACTAGGAATGCAGCTTACTTGCAGTTTTATCTTATAAAAACTTTAGAACGAACCAATGAATGACAATGTATTTAAACTAGACAACCTACCTACAAGAAACAAGCCAACTCAAACCATGAGAGAGCCAGGTAGTGAAATTTTGTTTTCTTCTGTCAAAATTTTCTAATACCATATCGTAAATCAAACAGAAGCAATGAATTCGAGGATGCAAACGGCTGAACTAAATGTCAACTTGTCAACTAAGGAAAAGTAATGATAAGCAAATGAAGTCAACATATTGCCTACAGTTTTGGAAAATGAAATATCAATGAATGAATTATTGGATAAATAAAAACCAGGGTAGAAGTGCAAGGAACTGGAACAGCAAGACGAATAAGCTGAAAGGATAATGAGCATACAGTGATTTTGATCATGTCATTCAAGTTAGTGAATTTATGGCTAAACCAACCTAACCTCAGTGAGTTAGTCTATTACAATATAACAAGAAGTATCGGCTATGGTCGCCATGGTTTAACCAACCATATCAACCTGATAGAGTTGATTTTCCAAAGAAAATGGGCAAGGCAGACCCACAGGGCCTATAGTTCATGTAACACTTTCACAATCATTCTTGCAACAACACTTAATGAAAGCAGTGAATCTGGATTCAATCCACCACCTAAACAACCACAGTTTGTGGTACAGATGCCATGAATTTCATAATTAATACAATCATTTTAGTGATAACTACGGAAAATAATTTAACAATTTGTTGCAAAAACTTAAAATTCATAGAGATCAGAAGGGAGCAAACAAGGCTTCTCCTAGAACCATGAAGATTTTCTATAAACATTAAGAAACAACAAAGGGAATAAAACTGTGTTAATAAGATTTTAAGAAAGAACTTAGAATTGTACCTCATTTGCATCACAACTAAGTTACAAAAATTTTAACCAAAAGCGCATGGTGAAAACAAGATGATAAACAAGCATAATCTCTTAATTTTACCTGCAGAGGTGTAAAAGGAAACAAAACTGGAACAAATACATGGTAGTGGAACTTACATAACCATAGAGGACACATACCTACTCCAAAAACCAATTAAGATGATATCCTCTAAAAAAACAAATGCCTTTAGAAGTATAAACTGTACGTGTGAAACACCACAAGGAATATCCAGGGATCATTGATGATAACAAACAACTCAGATGTGTTTCTGGCTATTTCAAAATCCCTATTCTTTGACGCTCTTTTAGGTCAGTGGGGATAATAAATACAGAATCTACACAAAGCCCTCCTTTAGAATGTGTGCAATCTATCTGTTTCAGGGAAAATCTGACTTCAGTTGCTGGTTCTGAGTCGCTGACAATAAATTCCCCTACCTTGTACTCCCTCCAGCATCCACGCTTATGGTTCCCATTTTCATGATCTTGTTCAGTATCATCTAAATAGCACTCACATGATGCTAGCTGATCATCAGTAGACAACTCAAATCTTACAGGCTTCATGTCCCAACCATGGGTGTGCTCAAAACTAGACACCCGTCTTCCCAACCTTTTGGAAAATCTTCCAAGGTGAAGCCTGAATGAGAGAGTATATATATCAGCTGGAAAGTGAAACTTTACTACTCCATCTACTTCAAACCACCATATTTGCTGCAAATAGGCCACAACATTGAATCTGCAAGAAAGCACCATAGAAGGTACTTGTTAAATTTTGCTAAAATAGAAAATTGGAGAGGAGAAAAAAAGTGGAAACAAGAAGTAATTACTGGCTGATACAACTGGAAAATAATTTATTCAATGGCATAAAAATCTTAACACTGAGCAACTGAAAATTTTCCTGATTTACGTAGAATCTATAGTGAAAAAGAAAAGAGTTCAATAAAAAATTAGGCAATTGTTTTCATAGGTAGAATAGGATTGTTAATATAAAATATTTTTTTCCACTAATTAAGCACCATGAAGAAAGAGTAAGTATATATAATGTAGAGTAATAGAAAGAAGTCACTGGGAGCCCATTCTCTTGTCACACTGTAATGTGATCAATAGGAATAAAGATGAGGGCAACGTTTAAGCATCCTACTTTAGTATTTGGAAGAATACATCTCCTTAAACACATTGGACAACCAAAAAAGTAAGTTGCAATATGCCATTTGATACGTCAGCTACCTATGCAAAGATCATCTCTACAATTGCCAATAAGACCATAACAGAAAAACATATAGCAATCACTCAAAACCGAATGCCATGCATATAATTGTGAGATAAAGATGGCCATTAAAAATCAGATCACTGTCCACCAGAAACAGAAAAATGCATTCATAGACAGGACCAGATTTACTGCCACCCAATCAATACAAGAATCATTTCCAGTTAAAGAAAAGTAACAGGTTGAACCATGCTAAGTAACAAATGAGAAATGATTAGGGACGACGAACTAACCCGTCCCTGATGGGTTCCGGCCCGACCCAACCCTATGGGGTAGGTTTTTTTTTTTTTTTGGAAATTCGGGTTTCTGGTCGGGTCGTATAAAATTAGGAAACAATCGGGGTCGGGTTGGGTTCGGGTTTGCCTAAAACCTGACCTAACCCGACCTGATATTATATAAAAATTATTTTTTAATTAATTATTTAATTTTTTTTTATATATATATTTATATAATGATATTTTTAATATTTATATTTAAAAAATAATATTTTATATTTAAAAAAATAATATTTTATTAATTTCGGGTCGGGTCGGGTATGATTTACATAGTATCGAGGTCGGGTCGGGTATTTAAAAAACAAAAAAAAAAAAAATCGGGTAGGATCGGGTTCAGGGCGAGCAAAACCTGCCCCGAACCCGACCCGATGCCAACCCTAGAAATGATGAAATGAGAGTACCAAAACCTGCAAGCGTTCCTGATCAATAAATTTGTGTTTCTATTGAGCTCTCACTCATAAAGACTCCTAGGAAGATACACTCAAAGTAGTTCAACAATTGTATCAAGAATTCAAGATTATATCATGCCTAAATAAAGGACTGGAGGGTTTATGGGAAACTGAAGGGCTACCCTTTCATCATATGGCCTAGGCATTGTAAATAAATAAACATAAAAGAGGCTCCATGTAAGGCATCAATGAATTAATCATCACTTGGATGAAAGAACCCCGCAACAAGCTGACCTTACCATGATGCCAGGAGATGTAGTTAGTATAGTTGAAAGTCAATTTAAAAATCATATAGATTTTGATTGGAGAATTTTTTGAATATATCAGAAGATAATAAGATTAATAATACGAAAATCAAATCTATAATCTAAGTCAAAACATTCTTAACCATGCCTTGCAACTGAAGCAAAAGGTATACTGGGAAGTTTCTAGGAGAAACTATAACAAACATTGGTCTAGCCTTACATATGACAGCCTTCAATTAGTCAGTCAAAGAGTTATCCATGGCAGAAAAGGTTCAGTCAAGGGTGACTAATTCCCGAAATTTTCATAGTTGAATGTTTTTAGCATCTGTGTTACCACACTGCCGGTCCCAAGCCTGGATAAAGCAAAGAGGGTTGCGATAGGATGACGGCTAGCATAAAACATAATCAAACCATGATGATATGATTCCTACATGGTGGTTAAAAACCTTACTAGAAACATTTCAAGATACAAGTATCTCAATTCCATATCAATGTCAAAATCAATCAATTCTACCAGTAACTTTAGTATCAAAGATTCGAAATATAATGATATTAAAATCTAACCTAGATTCTTCAGTAGAAACCCAATTCCAATATCTCCGATCATCGATTCCAGTTATTGTCATCGCTTTTGCAGATATTGCCATGCATACCCTCCCTGTAACTCTGTCCAGCCAAACTTCCTGCATCATCGCATTTTCAACCATAGCTAGTCTTCTCTTATTCATCTCTGATTATTATTAACTGAAAATAAAGCAACTAAAGCAAAACAAAAGGAAAAATATTAAAAAAAAAACCATACCCTTCCTTCCAAAAGCTGCCTAAGAAAACCTAGCACCAATAATTTTTTTTTTCAAAAAATCACATTAACCGTCACCTAAATTACCCAAAATTCTCATTTCCAATCCTTCCCAAGTAAATAAAGAAATAAACAAATATATTCAACTTACTCAAAAAGCCAAAAACAAATTTTCAGAGCAAAAAAGTTATTAAAAAAAACAAAAAAAATCACAAACCATCATTTTCAATCCCCCAAACAAATATAAAAATAAAACCAACCCAGAGAACCCAAAACTCAAAAACCCAGAAACAAGCATTTAAAATAAAATTTAAATTAATAAAAAAATAAGAGCAAAAACCAAACTTTAATGACGACCCACCTTATTTCCATCATCAAAAGGAATTGGGCGAGAGAGAAGGGCAAAAATGTCTTTTTTGGACAAATTCTGATACCTTTCAGGTGGCATCAAAACCAGCAGATTTTGATAATTGCCGGGCAACTTCTTTTCCCAAACCGAATCCGACGATGCTGCCCCTCTGAACGCGCGATTCAACCTCGCCAGATTGCAAATCTCCGGCGGCGTCAAGTACGTGAAAACGCACGCCACGCAGCTCTCCGGTATGTCCCCTAATCCCGGCCCCATCGCCGCCCCATTGGTTCCATCTGTTAGGTTCGATAGAGACGCACCCATCGAATCCTTTTCTCTTCCCTTTCTTTTATTTTTTTATTTTGTTTCTATATATAAAATTCACTGTGAATTTTTTAAGTTAGGGTGTTGGGAAGAGCGAAGAGGGGTAGGGGAGTGGTTTCGTTTCGTTTCGTTTTTTCCGGGAAAATGTGTTTTGGAGAGGTAGGAAAGAAACTGAAAGAAAAAGTTTGGAACTATATTTTTATCGGAAAACAACTTTTGAGGATTTTTTTTTTTTTTTTTTAAGAATGTGGGAATGTGCCTTGGATTGGACCATAATTGGAATTTTTTAAGTTTTGGTTTTTTAGTATTTTTTAATTAAATAAATATTTATTTATTTTCTTATTCACCAATAAATTTTTTCAAACAAATATAAATGTGACTAAATTTTTTTTATTTAATTAAATTATTACATTGAATAAAAAATTTGTCCAGCCTAATAATTTTCATAAATTTTTCGATGAAAAATTTAATACTCTTATGGTTGTACACTAAGAAACAAGGTGGAAAATAAATTTTTTGTTTTTAATTTATTAAAATGAGGTTCAAGGGCAAGATAACAAGAGTTGATTTGCTTTTATGGAAAAGTCTGATACATTTTTTTTTTTTTTTTTAGTTTGAACAAATCCTTGTATTTTAATTTAAACTATTTTAAATACTTAATTTAATCGAATATGTTCGATGAATTTATGTAAATATTTTTCAAAAATAATATTTAATTAATTTAAAATTTAAATACTTATAATTTTGATTTTTTATTTTTAAATTATGATTTTTATTAAAAAAATATACAATAAAATATCTTCATTGTGCAATGATTTTGATTTTTTTTTTCTTTTCTTATAAAGCTTTAATGTTTTACTCAGCAATTAGTATAACCCAAGAATAAGAAAAGTGTAATTAGACAATAACTACGTCTCTTGCAAATTAAAAAGGTTGGATTTCTTGTCTTGTCATGGTTTTAATACTGAATAAGACAGCCACGTTGAACGATCCCCCGAAATAAAACTAGACCTTGAAGTCTATATCAAATTAATTAATAAATTAAAAATTAGAAGCCAACAAAGCAAAATTTTGTTAAATTGGTATTTGGGGATTTGGAGAAATTCGGGTCGTTGGATGTAAATCACGTCATGAAAATGAGAGAACTTTTGTTTTTTGTTTATATTTATGATTTTCTCCTTTTTAGTCAATTTGATTTTGTGACTTTATATAAATTTATATTTTGTCACTACCGATATATATATTTTTTTATGTAATATTATGAAGGAAGATTAGATTTAATTATTTAAAATATATATATCTTATATTAATCTTTTTGAATAATATCATGAATGACTTTTTATTATTATAAAATATTTAACATGATATTTAAATTTTAAAAATTTTTAATTTAATACATAAATTATAAATTTATTAATTAATATCATATTTAAATAATTATTTATTAATTAAAATGTCATTCTTTGGAGCCATTGATATTAAAAGATGAGTATAATATTAATTAATAAATTTATAATTTAAATATTATGTTTAAAATTAAACATTTTATAATAATTTAATAATTATTCATGACATAAATCTTAATTTTTTACTATATATCAATCATCCATCATCTATAATTTTGAGATAATACTAATAAAATATTTATCATAATTTATAATATATGAAACTTTTTCATGAATTATATAATTTGCACGTGCATTGATTATGATAGATATAGAGACATTTTTTTTTTTTTTTTGGGCCCGATGCAAGTGTAAAGTGAACTCCATACTGAAAGGTCAGGAAAAGAAATTCCAAAGTGCTGCGATTGGCAATTTTATATGTAATGGCTACACATCCATTTTTGCCTATAACATCAACTTTATGACTTCACCATCCAAGAGTGGTTGGATCACCGTTCAATTACAAGCATCGACCGGATTGTCTGTCAAGGGCCCTTGATTAGGACATTTTATGGCCCCATATTTGTTTTATGATTGCCAACCAGCTGTAACCAGTTTTCTAATATCGTGAGGCTGACCTCGAAAAGGACTTAAATGTTAGGAATAACTTTTGAATTATATTTAAATATTTAACATAATTTTTGAATTTTAAAAAATAATATCTAATAAATTTAAAATTTAATTTCAATATTTATAACATTTTTTTATTCCTAAGCTGGGACTCCTTATAAATATATATATATATATGAAAATTTTAATAAAATGCAATGACAATATTTTTGGCTCTTAACTTTCTAGATTAACACTTGCAGTTGCTTGGCCTTACATAAAAAATTAAAAAAAAAAAAAAATCCCCAATATAACGACAGGAAGTTGGGAGCACATGGCAATGCTTAACCAGGGGGAGAAAAGTTCGAACAAAGCAGGCTTGCACATCTTAAGTTGTATTGTCTTTGTCTCCTTTAATGTCTCTAATGCCGCCATGTGAAACACATGACTTTCTAGAAATACTTGCAACCTAAAAAATTTTGCAATGTGTTTGCATTAGCACGTCTTCTTTAAGAATTCAAAACTATGACCCAATTATTGAAAAATAATATATATCTCGACATCTAACTAAACATACTAAGATACAGAAACTTGATTTAAGTGGGAAAAAAATAAAATTTTTAAATATATATTTTTATTATCTAAATTTAAATTCATTAAAAATTTATAAAAAATATATTTTTTTTTAAATTATTAAATTCGAATTAAATAAACAAATTTTTACTAACTTAAAATTTTTTTTTCTCATCCGGTGGTAAAACAAAAAAAAATGCTAAGATAAAATAATGCATATTAATCATTAGTTTAAGTTCAAAGAGGAGAGGGAGAAAGTAAGAAACTATTATTCAAATTTTATATTTTTTTCACACAAATACACTCACTTTCAAAGAATTTTTGTGCTTTGGGCTCCCTTTCCTGGAAACCTTGAAGGAGGAAAAATGGATCATCCTTCTATTGAGGCCCATGAATTTTTTTTTCCCATTGGAATATACCAGGCCCCCTAGGGTACCTATTGGGTCAAAATGGCAACCCCATGGCCTAGAAAGAGAGACTTGGTTCAAAGGTCTGATTGTGTTATCCCGGTTGTAAAATATATGACAGGCAACATAATCGATATCAGTTACTTTTGAGATATTTGTATTTAAATTCATTTAATATTTATCATATCTGAATCAATTTAAATATTTATTTAAATTTAATATTATTATTTAAATTTGAATCAATTTAAATATTTGAATCTATTAAAATATTTTTTATTTAAATTTTTATTAAAATATAAAATAAATAAAAATTTAATTTAAATTTTAAATTTACTATTAATTAATAATAAATAAAAATAAATTTTTAAAGTTTGAAACTTTCTAATAATATAAAATTTTATATATTTTATGTATGTAAATAGTAATAAATTCGGATATCAATTATTATTTATTAAAACTTAAATAAATTTGAATATTAAATATTCAAAAAGATAATATTTATATATGCTTTGAATCCATCATGAATAATAAATTTTTTATCCGAATTTATTAATTATCTGATTTCTTGGCCAATTAAGATCAATTATTGAATAATAGTTTGATTGTTTATATTGAAAAAATGTATTCAAAAGTTAATGAAATAATTATACAATATTTTTAAAATATGAAATTTGTCAAAGATAATTGTAAAATTTTAATAATTACAACTAGATATGGAAATTTAGTTTTTTAGTACTATTATAGTGCATTATTTTTATTTTTGTAATTTAATATATTTGAACTAATCCTCCATTATTAGTAACAAAAATAAAATTTAAACCAGTAAAATTTTTTATTCCACTATTAATATAAAGTGTAATAATATTGAAAATTTATTACATCCCTTAACATTATAATTTAAAAATTTTATTGTCAAATTAATAGAATGATACATTTTTTTAAAGTATAATAAAAATTTTAAAAATCTTGACATATTTCTTAAGCTGCCATGTCACATCTTTTTAATTCTAATTAAAAAATTTTAGTGACAAATTTAGTAATGAATCGCATAATTCACACCTATAATCAATTGTTTTGGCAGAAGTTCGTTGAAAAACAAGAAAGACTGACTTGGGTCACTCCTTGAAATATATTTTATCATGTATTAATATTTATTTTTTTATAGCTATAGGAAAAGAAGGTTGATCTCCCCAAACAAATCCATGGGCCTTTATTGGATTAATACCAAATTTAATGGACCATATTTTTTATGCAAATGATGATTATTTTTAAGTTCAATGGAAACCAAGCAGCAATAAAAAAATAATAATAATAAGGTGCGGTGAACTTTGTTTCTACGTTAACATAAAGTAAGCATCGGATACGTCGGTCCAAAAAGTAATGCAGCAAATTAGAGACTAATATGAGCTTTAGTGCCATTGTTTCGTTCATTTATTTTAAAAAATGATATTTAATAAATTAAATTTTAAAATTTTTTTATATTATTGATTTATGATATTCTTTGTAAATAAAAAAAATTTTGATGTCATGAATAAATTTTTATCAAATATAATTATTGAGAATTGCTTTGTACACAAAATCTAACAAATCTAAAATGAAACCTTAATTTTTAGCATTTGTTAATTATTATGTCAGCTTTTTATAAAATAATTTCATGTTTTGGTTAAAGAAGAGAAAAAACATGAAAAAAAATATATAAGATGGGATTTTTTTTTTTTTAAGTTGGCCTAATATGAAAATTGAAGATAAATCATATAATGGAGCAAAAATGCAATACTTTATTGGTATATTGTGAGTATTTAAAGTCATTTTCTTTTCCACCCTACTTTTGAAAATCCTGTGGGTTCAAAATTTTTTCTTTTCTTTTTTTTTTTTTAAATCTAAAGTGCTGGCTGGAAGCGGATGCAAAACCAAAACCAAAACCATGGGCCAGTTTTTCTATCACAGCACAAGGAAATAAAATTTTTGGCCAAACTAAAACCGGCTGCTCCGCTCTCTGTATACCACTCTGTCTTTTTTTTAATCTTTTTCTATATCTCGCATATTGCCCTCTAACTCTCTTCATCTTTCTTTTCTCTTTTACATTATTGAAAAGCTAAAGGAAGGGCAGGAACAGCCTTTTTCCTGGGTGTATAAGAGAAGTTTTCAGGTGGCAGGTGATTGTTACAACCCAATGGTAGTCAGTTCTTTACTGGGTATGTTCCTTTTTTTTTAGTTCTAACACTTGAATCTATTGCCTGTTAGGAATATATGTTTTGTGTGTCTGTTAAGAATTCAGGAAAAGTGAAAAAAGTAGTAGCCAATGACATTTACCTCGACAGGGTTTTCGAGATCTCCAATAATTCTTGTAGGAGCTGTTTTTATTATTATTCTGAATGGAAACTAATGGTTTGCCTGGTGGGGTGGTTTTCTGGGATTGGCTCAGGAGTGTTAGGCCTTGAAATGCCATTACACCCCCAACAACAACCACCTCAAAACCCCCAAAGTGCCCAAAACCCACATCACTTACATCATCACCCACAAATGGTTGCTTTTTCTCATCATGAAACTGATCACTCGCAACACCAGCAACCTGTTAAACAAGGCTACACTTTTTCTTCCAAAACCAAACAACCATCCCCTCTTAGTGATGAAGATGAACCTGGTTTTACTCCTGATGATGGCACTGCTGATGCTAAGAGAAAAATTTCTCCATGGCAAAGAATGAAATGGACTGGTAGCATGGTTAGGCTACTTATAATGGCAGTTTATTATATTGGTGATGAAGCTGGATCAGAAGGGAATGATCCTACTGGCAAGAAAAAGGCCGGTGGATTGTTACAAAAGAAAGGAAAGTGGAAGTCGGTTTCTAGGGCTATGATGGAGAAAGGGTTTTATGTTTCACCACAACAATGTGAGGACAAGTTCAATGATTTGAATAAAAGGTATAAGAGGGTTAATGATATACTTGGTAAAGGAACAGCTTGTAGGGTGGTGGAGAATCAAAGCTTGCTTGATACAATGGATTTGTCTCCGAAAATGAAAGAAGAAGTTAGAAAATTGTTGAATTCTAAGCACTTGTTTTTCAGGGAAATGTGTGCTTATCATAATAGTTGTGGCCACGGTGCAACTGCTGGGCCTGGTGGTGCTAATCATTCACCAGAGGTGGCCACTGAGACATCCCAGATTCAGCAGCAGCACTCTCAACAACAACGATGCCTCCATTCATCGGATAATGCTCAAATTGCAGGCAATTGGGGTAGAATCGAGACGGAGGCATCGAAATTGACTAAAGTAGGCAGTGAAGAAGAGGATGATGAAGAAGATGATGACTCTGAGGACGATGAAGAAGCAATGGATGGTCACTCAAGTGGCCAAAATGGACATGGTCAGGAAGATGATGAAGATAATGATGAAAAGTCTTCACTTAAAAGGCCAAGAAAGGGAGCATTTGCAATGTCATTAACACCATTGATGCAACAATTGAGCTGTGAAGTTGTGAATTTAATACAAGATGGAACAAAGAATGCTTGGGAGAAGAAGCATTGGATGAAGATGAGACTAATACAATTGGAGGAGCAAGAAGTCAGCTACCAATACCAAGCGTTCGAGCTTGAGAAGCAAAGGCTCAAGTGGGTGAAATTCAGTAGCAAGAAAGAAAGGGAAATGGAGAAAGCAAAGCTTGAAAATGAAAGAAGGCGGCTCGAAAACGAGAGAATGATGCTACTTGTTAGGCAGAAGGAGTTGGAGTTGATTGATCTTCTTCAGCACCATCATCAGCCTCAGCAGCATTCTTCTGACAAGAGGGGAGACCCATCTAGCATGACTGGATGAAAATGTAACATATGATAGTGGTCATATTAGATAGAGATTTTAGATCAGATTGATACTTTTTATGAAAAATTGTTTTGTTTTGTTTTTTTTTTAATTTTGTTTATGAAATCTAGTTATTTAATATTTGAATTATTTCATTACAATCTTGCATCCCTCATGAAAGATGTTGTATTTGTACCCAAGCCTATGAAAAAAATTGACCATATAAATTGCCATCATCAGCAATAATGTCGAGGAGGTGCGCGGGGAAAAAAGTCTTTTGGGTCTCATCCGAGAAAAAACTTGTGGTGAAGTGGTCTTTAGGAATCTAACTACAAGCCTTTTAGCCTTGTCATTTTCCAGCAACAAACGAGAAAAAAAAATACAAAATGCCAATTTAGTGCGTTAAATCCCGGAAAATCCAGAAGGACTGACAACGAAAATTTGGCGTCTAAAATTCTGGAGAATCGAGAAATAAATGAATTTAAAAAATAGAATAGTATATGTTAAATCTTGCAAAATCAATGAAGAGAATTTAGAAAAAAATATAAAGAATACCTCGTGCGAATAAAAAATTGCGTCCAATAAAAGGCCGTGGAGAATCTAGAAAGGAAGAAATAGAAATCTGGAAAAGAAAAGATCAAAGGCCGTGGAGAATTTAGAAAGATCTGAAAAAAATCACGCCTTTGATCTTTTCTTTTCCATTAAGCCACAGGCACTTATTTGAAAATTGTTTGCCTTTTTTACTTTTGATGCGTGGACAGAGGCGCCTTTATTTTTTCATTTCCACGCGCAGATAGTTTGTCTCGTGTTTTTTCCTAAGAAGACGGGAACAGAGAAGGTAACCAGCTGACTTTTAAAACAAACAAAACGACAGCGTTGACGTTACAGTTTCGCTATAGCTCCTCTGCATGCATCCCTACAAGGCTCCGAGACTAACCAAGAGGGATCAATCCCCCCGCCCTCTTAGAATAAATGCGCACAACGGAAGGTTGAAAATAGTAAGCAATAGTGGCATGAGAGAGCAAAATTAAAAACAATATGCATGGCATTCCGCTGTGTCTCAACCGATCCACCATCTTTATTCAGCTCTGAATCAAGACAACAGAAAAATAAAAAAATCAAATCCATTGAATCAAATGGAACTAAAATGTGCTTCACCTTCGCATCAGTTGAAAATAGGGATCATGGGGCATATTTTCCAGGGCATTCATTTCGCTTATAGGCTAGAAAAAATTACCAGATCGAATAAGTGCATATAATCTTAAAACATTTCAAATCCATGTTTTCACGAAAACCTGGAGACAATAACTCGCAGTTGCTAGCAATAAATGTTCACTCACAGCTTTCAAAAATCAAAATCCTACTCGTAGATTAACAAAAAATGTTTTAGTTTTAATCTTCGAGCTCAATAATCTTCACGACAGAAGCATCCCCGACCTTCTGGCAAACGACAACTCGATCATGTGACTTTATAATTCCTGAAGCCTTCCCATGGTCAAGTGCAACCTTCAAAACTGACTCATTTGTTGCGCTTGTAGACTCCGCCTGCAAAATGAAGCAGGATGACACAAGTTCCCGAGTAAGATCTAAATGTACGGAGATAGAAGCTTCCTTCCGATTTAAAAAACACAGTTAAAATTAAACATAAAGCACTACATACAGGATGTCGTGGATCAGCAAGCATAGGGAAAAGACCTCTGACAATGAGGGATTGCCTTGCCTGAAGGATAAGATAGTTCCGTTAGGATCAACGCATGTTTATAAGCCGGGCTAAACATTCCAAAAACAGACTAAAACTTCTACAAATTAACTAGCAATATAAATTAAAGTTTAGAATAAAAATATTCCGACTTCTAAGACTTCTGCACCAGAATTATACCACAAATTCTTCTTTTAGACGACTACTGCAAGGCATTATTAACTGCATCTGAAAAACTGACAGTTGTTACCAATGGTTTAATGGTAAAACCAAGATTAATAAATAAAACAGAACAAATCTTCTGGCACTAATGACAAAATTAAATTGCATTAGAAAGGAGGCTTTTTCTGTATTAATGTAGAGTAAATCACCAACACATAAAACTTCAAGTGAAGACAAATTAAGATGGCATTCCATCAACAACCAGGTCATCCACCAAGTTCTACTAAATCAAACAAGTCAAAGGGCTCAAAAGACCAGCCAACACAAAATCATTTCTTAATTCAAGAATTTTTTTCTTTTTAAAGCATGTTATAAAATTCCTATATAACAAATTGAACTAGAACAATGGAACCAATTAACACTTTCCTAACACTAGTACAATTAAGGAGTGTGTTTTTACACTTCTGGGACATGGTAGCATGCAATATGACAGAGACTATAAAACCAACAAAATAAACCTTTATGCAGTTACGTGAAACATCCAGGATTCAGGGTAGATGACATACCTCAAAGGCCCCACTGAAGCTCCACCTCAATTGATTTGTCTTAAGCCGAGGGATGACAACAGAGAGAACTGGCATTGTTGGCCTGTACTTTGCAATCAATCTGGTATATACGTGGAATACATTCAGAAAACCCATAAATGAATCAAGGACTACAGAATGTAGAATATTAGTAATGAAATTAGTACATCTTCAACAAGTTTATATCAATAAACACCCCTTCCTCCCGAAAAAGGGAAAACCCAAAAAAAGAAAGTAAATCTTAGGGGTAAGAAAAGAAAAGCTCACACATAATTAAAATTGACCATATAGCAATGTGTACCTTGCAGCCCTCCCTGAGGATGTGAAGCATATAATAACTGATGCCTTCACCTTGATTGCTGCCCGTACCTAAACAGGAAATTCAGCCTATCAGATACACACTTGCTATAACTAAAGCTGGTAAAGGCTTCTATGATATAATGATAAAATCATGCATCAGAAGAGCAGCATTGGGAAGAACAAATACCGCAGAGGAAGCAATGGATTCCAAGTGGGTCATTGGCTCTCCAACATATTTGACAGTCTTCTTGAAATACAGGTCCTGGTTGAATACCTTCTCTGCCTATGAAATTTATAAGAAAAAAATGAAAAAACTTGGATTCAAAATGCTTTAAAGATGGAACAGAAATATTCACAATTTTTTACTTCAACATTGCTAGAACATTAAGGAATTGGATAAAAAACGATATGATGGTTAAGAAATTGGATGAAAAGGTGGTTGTTGATAGAAATGAGTGGCGCAAGAAGATTCAAACTACAATCTAACTTGATTCTCTTATTTGGTTTTTCATACAACCAACCCCAGAGTATGGGACATAAGGCTTAATGTGTTGTTGTTGCTGCTGTTATTGCCAAAACATTAAGGGATCCATCTCATTGACATGCATGGCAAGTTAATGGGTGGTTGATGCACCATGCAACAGCAAACATAAAGTGTCTGAATTCCAAACCAAAAGTTGATGCATGAATTATGCATTCTTGCATAAAAAGAGCACCAATGCACAGGTTTTGGGTTACTGAGATACAAAATCAAATTTCTGCAGAAGGGTTCGTCACCAATAAAAGAATACAAGAAAAACAGGTTTTGAAAGTGTTATGCCATTTTGGGTATGAATATGTAACCTGGTAATTTGAAACACAACACGGTAACATGATACAAAAACGATACGAATAAAGAACACGAAGATAACACTGCTTAAAACTTTAGAAAAATCATAAATAGGTTTAATAAAACCAAAAAATTATATTTTATGTTTTCGTGTCAGCATAAACTGTGACATGTGATTTTTTGCATAAAACATAACACAAATATAATATTTTACACAACAAGATGACACGAATTGCCAGGTCTATATATGACTTGAGAAAAAACAAGTAAAACCATAGCCTAAGACAATAAGTTGACTGTAGAAACAGGTAAGAATATGACTCTCATCATTGTGAAGGATACTTCATTCATCCACAAGGATACAGCTTTCCAGGAAAAACAGAAAAAATGCAGTATATTTTACCCCCTATGAACCCAGAAAGATGGATAACGAGGCCCCAACCAAGCAGTAGTAACTTTTAAACAGTCTACATTAGTGAGTCTTGTAAGTCAAAAGCATACTAAGCCTAGAATATTTCAGGATTATAAACAGTCTGTTAAAGGACAAAAAGGCTACAAGTCTCCAAAATTGGAGCTGCATATGTCAAAAGATTCAACTATGCAAATTTACGAGCCATAGAGAGAATTTACCTCTGCACAAATTTTGCCAACAATAGAAATGGTTTCAACAGGGTACAATCCACGCAGGGTCTCAGCACCAAGAAGAATAGCATCACTTCCTGCAGCCATCAGAAAATGGGTAAATTAAAAAAAGAGGTTTAAGCCCCGTATCGTGGGAAGGAGGGAGGGAAGGGGGAACAACCATTAAACAACAGAAAGAGGTTTGTTTCTCTGTTAGAAACAGTTCGTCAGTTACCAACTCCAACGAACAAATTAAGAGAATTTTCATCAGTGCAATCTCATCACATATAGCATGCAATCATAAATAATTTGAAAGATATATCAATGAACGAAAACCAAAGGAGCAAATGTCCACAATAAAGCATATACCATCAAGAACAGCATTGGCAACATCAGTTGCCTCAGCACGAGTTGGCCTCAAGTTGTCAGTCATACTGTCCACAACACGAGTTACCACCGCAGGCTTTCCAGCCATGTTACACTTGTAAAGGGCAGCCTTTTGAAATAAGAACACCTTTAAGGAAAAGGGAAGTTAATTAGGAGCAAGCTCTAACAAATAGCCATAAATGCACTAAATCCACATATTGAACTAAATTACACACATTTAAAACTAGGACCAAGAATCCAAGGCTGTTAATAAGCATTTACAAAGTAAAGTCATAAATGATGAAACAGACCGCTTAACCCATTCAACAATAAACATTTTGCAGAAAAAATAATGCATCGTATTAATAGTCCTCAGCAGATTAGTTCTCTAGTAATTATATAAACAACTTGCATATTTTATAATAAGAAATTTACCACCAGCAACGGACTGCTGGTTCAAGTTTCAAAACTGACCTTCTCAGGTGGGAGATCAATGCCCAAATTTCCACGAGAAAGAATGATACCATCTGCTTCCTGTAGGATCTCATCAAAATGGTTTAATCCCTGAAAAATGAAAAACATTGATGTCACATTCTTATTCACAGCATGTGAAATCAAAACCCAGATATTCATTGTTATCCGCAAATACAACATGTAATGCACCTCTATGTTCTCAATCTTAGCAAAAATTTGTGTTTGATAGAGGTCACCCAACTTTGAAAGGAACTCCCGAGCCTACAAAAAGCATGTAAGAGCAATCAGAGAACTGCAGAAACTTCTAAAAGACCCACATAAGGATACACAAAAGCAATACTTACTTGGCGAACATCTTCCGCATGTCGTGTGTATGATAGTGAGAGGAAGTCGATTTTGTTTTGAACTCCCCAAGAACTTATAACCTGAAGTAAGCATCAGCAGGTCACAAAAGGTACTCTGGGGAAAATATCAGGGCAACAAGCTGGAGCTTACTATGAGAGAGATTACTTTCTCCATTACTCATTAAAAGGAAAAAAAAAAAAAATCAAGGGCAACCTTACCTCCTTGTCTTTGTCAGAGAGGGTAGGCAACTCAATACGAATTTGAGAGGCATGCAAAGTGAACAAAGACCCAGTCAATGTTGCAGAGTTCTTTATCACACAAACCACATTATTTCCTTGTACCTCACCAACCTACACAATTTCAGTCACAGTTTAGGCAATGGTAGGTGCATAGGAATTCCAATTGTAAAGTTCAAATTCCCTAATTAATCAACCAACAAATAGGTAGTAAAATAACAGCAAAAGATCCTAACATAAACGCAATCAGAAAGAGAAACTCATATTTCTAGTTCCACTTTTCTTACCTCCAGCCATACAGATGTGGTTTCACTCCCAGTAAACAGGTACTGACCAATAAAAATAGTGTCTCCCTTCTTCACTGCCTGCAAAATACAGATTAAATGGTTTGTCATAAAGATTGCGTGAAGAAACAGGGCGACCACCAGCAAATACAAATTCCTTTGAACTAACTTTAAAAAAAAAAACGACATACTAAATTTCTCCTTTCAAGAATCTATAAGCATTGCACTAGCCAATTCAAGCCTCCCAACCACTAATTAATGAAGAGCAGTATATAAAGCCATGAACGTACAATAGGACCAGATAGTCGAAAACATTTTATATTTAAAACTTCAGAACCAAAAGGCAAAAAAACAAGGCTCATGGAGATACTTTCTTAGAGCAAACATGGGAAACACAAAATGCAATGAGAGGTAGTGGACTACCTTTGACAGTCCATCAAAATTGATTGGCAATAATTCTGAAGAGGGCTCTTGTCCTTCATCTGGGGTCAAAATAACGGTAGCATCTTCCTGAAGTGAGATAGCTTTCTCGCTTTTATTAACAACCTGCAACTCAGGACCCACTGTATCCAACATAACCTGAAAGGCAAAAACCAAATAGAAATCACATTATTTTCTTAAATTTCATTATCCCATCAAAGCAGACAAAGAACCATCTGTACTACGGTAACAACAAAACTACCCATTGTTTGCCACACTCAAAATTCAGTGACAGGCACCTTCCTTCGTCTCGGGTAAGGCATAAAATTACTCATAAAATTCAGACAAAAAATACCCTAAAATAATATAAAAAAACCATTAAAAAAATGACAATTTTTTTTTTTCCTGCTAAACAAAAATTTAACATTAAGACAGATGAGAAACAAACAAACAAACAGGAAGCAAACAAAAGTTATATCTGTTATATAACTAACAAAAATCAGCCAAAACACAGAGAATATACCGCACAAAGCTTCTTAGTGATCTTAACGGCAGCCTTCAGATTTTCTAAAGTTTCCTGATGATATTCCGGGTCGTGCCACGAGAAATCGAACCTAGCCACTGCCAAAACAAAAAATTAAATCTTAGTTCCAATAACACAGTAATAATTAATAAGAAAAATAAGAGTGAGGCAGCAGATACCGTACCAGACATTCCAGCTTTAAGGCAACCAGAAATAACCTCCACGGATCGAGACTTCGGACCTAAAGTTCCCACTATCTTCGTCATTGCCGGAAAAAAACTCTGAAAAAAAATACAACAAACGAATCAGATTCCATATCTACTACGATCCGATCAGCTTCCCACAAAAACAAAAGCCTAAACAGATTTATTTATATTGAAAATGAAACTTACAGCCCTCGACGGCTCCAGGATTGAAGCCATCCTGATTGGCTCTTCCAGAAGCACATGACCCGAATGCATTTTTTTCGCCGATTACAAAAAAAAAAAAAAAATCCTTTGTTCAAGAGCTCTAGCGTTAAGAGGAATAAGGCTTGTTTTTTTCGTTTGCCTTCGTAAAAACTTGAACCAACGAATATGATATTGTTCTGAGCAAACGTCTCCTTTTTATTGAACGAAGTAAAGGAAACCTGCGTCCACCACAAGCAGATGACTTTTTTCCTTTTTTATTATTTTCACTGTTTGGCGATTTTTATTTCCATTTTATTACACGTGGCGAATATCAAGCCGTTGGTTCTTAACGGCAAGACGTCTGATAGGTTTGCCGAAGCGTGGACCTACCGTTTCTTGGAGAAGGGTATAGCTTAAAGTCGCATTGCCACTCAAACACGTTGCGCGTGTTGGGAACGAATGGTTTTGATTGGGAGATGGAGTTGATAGTAGTGCTTGGAGACTAGGCGAGCAGTTTTGTAAAGAATAGGGACACGAGTTTTTGGCGGAGTTGTCGATTAGTAAGTTGTCGAAGGAGCGGGAAGCGTTGTAGAGATTTTGGAACCGAATATGGTAGGAAGCTGTTTCCGCACAAGGAAACGTTGGGAGCTAACAGAAAACTGAAACACCCAACTACAGGGGTCAGATCCTATGGGCTGTCGTTTTTGCATTTTAGTACAGGTATTGAGAGGTGTTTCGTTGGGCACGTTTTTTTGAGTTGATTCGGAAGGTGTGAATCTATGGGCTCCTTAAGTGGTTTAGGCCCAATCTCGAATTTTAACATAGGTTACCGTCGCCGGTAAGATTAATAACGAATCAGATCGAGATGAGTTTTTGTTATTTTAAGTTTGATTTAAAATTTTTTTTTATATTTGAATTTAATTCGATTTAATTTTATATAAATTGTATTCGATTTGAAATTAATAAAATATTTTTTAAATATAAATATATATTAAAATTTAAAAAATAATTTTTTTATATAATATTATATCAGATTTGATCGAATTTATCTAAAATTAAAACTCGATTTTTTCTTAATAATATCCTATCCAACTCGATCCAAAACTTAATTTAAAAAAAATATCGATTTTAAAAGATCAGATGACTAATTAGGTTGTCAATCTTAATCACATGTAGTTTTTAAATTATAATAAAATATAATATAATATTTAAATTATAAATTTATTAAGTAATATAATATTTAAAAATTATTTATTAACTAATAATCATCATTTGAAATAAACAATTTTAAATGTAAATATTATATTAAATAATAAATTCATAGTTTAAAAAGCTCGTTAAAATTTTCAAATTTAAATATTAAATTAAATATTTATTATAATTTAATGTTCGGTCACATGTTATTCCTTTGTTTAATAAAATCAAATCCCATGAGTTTTCAAGGCAAAAAACTTTTTTTTTTTTATTTATTCTAAAGACCGCTCGATGCCAAGTCAATGGCACAAAGCCCCATGACAAAGGTTTGAATAAGGAATGTTCCATTTGTCATTGTCAATAACCAAAAAGAAAAAGAATGAAGAATGCTTCATTTGCAAAGTCATGTGTTGAATGCGACGATCGATTCATCTTCATTCGTAAAGTCATGTGTTGAATGCGACCATCTATTCATCCAAAGAAAATTTTGTTTTCTTTGCCGTGACTCATGAATTAGAACCTTCATCATCATTAATAAATATAAACAGTTTGTTTTTCAGCTTAAAACGGTAAGTAATCTTGTTAGAGAGAATTACCAACAATAAGCGTAGACTTTATATGATAGAAAAGTGGAAAAAAAACTCTCTCTCTCTCTCTCTCTCTCTCTCTCTCTCTCTCTCTCTCTCTCTCTCTCTCTCTCTCTCTCTCTCTCTCTCTCTCTCTCTCTCTATATATATATATATATATATGTTAAAATAATGAATTTTAAGTGTATTTTATATGAGAAAGAAGTAAGAAAATTTTAAAATAAAATTGCTTCTTTTCATTCTTATTCATAAAATCAAATCATTTTAAATTGAAAAGACAAAAAAAATGGAGAGATGTGCAAATCAAATGTGCATATTTATAAAATTATCCAATTTTTTTAATTTTTTATTTAACTTATAAAATGTATGATGATATAATGATATAATTTTTAATTTATTTTTTCTTATTTTTCAACTTTATCATATAAGTGATGAAGTTAAATTTAATTACCTTTTTCCACTTTTTCATTTTTTTTATTAAACATTATATAAAAAAATTACATCTTTTTAATTATTCTTTTTCCTCTATTTCTGTTTTTATTTTTTTATCACTCTACCAAATAAAATCTAAAAGCTTTTATTAATAGGTTAGACCAAGTGGCAAAAAGCCTAGATCGTTTCACCATCTCATTGATGTCGTAGGTAAATGTAAAGTGATCAAATTTAAGTCCTAACTAGTTATAGTTAAAGGTATAATCGAGTTGAATAGATAAAGTAATAAGTTTAAGTTCGATTCAAAATTTATTATTTGAAATTTGACTCAAATTCATTTGATTAAATTTGTTTATCAAATAAAAAAGATAAATTTATTTATCATGTTTGATTTCAAATTTATTTATTTATATTTAAATTCGAACTTAAACTTGAATATATATATGTATGAGTAATATAATAATTTTTAATTTAAAATAATTAAAATATATATTAAAATATAAAATTTTGATTAAATTCATAATTTAATCAAATTAAATATTAAAATACTTAAACTTGACTCGTTTAATAAATCAAACTATCTAAATTTGAGTTTAACTTAATAATAATCAAATCAAATTAAAATTTTATTCAAATCGAATCTAAATAATTTATAAATAATAATGTACTATTTTTACCCTAATTATGGTCTTTCCATTGTCAAGTCACCTCATAAGGCAAACTTTTAATTGACCAAATTACAAGTATTGTATGGGTTTAGAAACCACAACTAAAAGTTCAAATACAACTGATTCACTTCCCTCTAATTTTGTCAGCAACTTGAAAAAAATAAAACAGTTTTTTAAAATAGAAATAGCAATTACTTTGCAACTATTTAGGTTTTGTATGCACTATACTTTTTATTTAGAAAAAAAAATATTTATATAAAATTTATATACTATAAATAAATCATATAATGATACATCATAATAATGTTAATTTTAAATATATTCTTAAAATTAAACATATTTACATTTTAAATTTTTATAAAATATGATTATATGATTTATATTGCATAAAATAAAAACTCAAAGAATGAATAATATTCGTGTATTTAAGCATAAAATTTTGCCCATTCATTTTTGGTTGAGTGGGCTTATCAAGAATCAATATTGGTTCCATTTCGATGAAAGACCCACGAAAAAGCCCATCTTTGAGCTCAATTTTATCAAATCAAATCTAACCAAACCAACAACCTTACAGCACCGACAAAATAAAAACGAAAGATGCCGAGTGCCGACCGTCACCCACAAGGGTCCCGCCCACGTGCCGATTTTTTTCCAACTTTTCTTTACTACTTAACGGAATCGTCTCTATCCGTCACGGTCCATCACGTTCTGTCAAACCACCTTCCCAGTTTTCCCTCAACGTCGCTCCCTCCCGCCCTAACGTCTTCCGTTCGAACCGTTCCCCTTTCCCCCAACCCTAACGCCCCCCTATGGCCTCTTCGGTTGACGACGATTTCTCTCTCCTCGATCACCACCAAACTAACCCTAACCACCATCACGTCCTCCACCACCACCCTTCTTACACGCAGATCCACGCGCCTCCACCCGGCAACCACGAAGGCGATGATGACTCCGATTCCGCCTTCCCTGGCGCCAACTTCGGCAACAACAACAACAACAACGCTACGTCTTCCGATGTACGGATCGAGAAGAGAAAAGATCAAGAGGAGATAAATGACGGCGTTTTGAAGAGACCAAAGCAATCGACGACGGAGAATCGAAAAGACAGAGAAGAATGGAGCGATGCCGCAATTGGATGTTTATTGCAGGCGTATATGGAGAGGTTGACGCAGCTGAACAGAGGGAATCTGAGAGGGAGAGATTGGGAGGAGGTGGCGGCGGCAGTTTCAGAGCGATGTGAGAAGCAGAGCAAGAGCGTTGAACAGTGCAAGAACAAGGTTGATAATTTGAAGAAAAGGTATAAGCTTGAGAAGCATAGGATGAGTGACGGCGGCATCACGGTGAGTCATTGGCCTTGGTTTAAGAAAATGGAGGAGATTGTTGGAAATTCGCTGCCAGTAAAGGCGGTGGCTGATGATGATAAGGACGGCTCTTCCCCAGGAACTGCTGTTAGACAATCCAAAAGGTATATTAATTTTGTTATCATTTCCATTTATTGTTATTATTTTTGCTAATTTTGCACTTGAATTCTTTAAGGTTTGTTCATTAGGTTGTTGTGGCGGTGAGCTTCCATGAAGTGTAGTAAAAGTAATCATTACCAACATAAAATTTAACTGGAAAAATGTGAGCAAAACATTATTATTTTCACTCTTTCTTAGTTGTTTCAATGTTGTCTAATTTGAAAAATGACGCTAGAAGTACTTAAGAATAATAATATTTGCTAGTTGTTTTAATGACATGTTAGTCTTTGTTAATTATATTGTTTTGTCGTACTAATTTTGTCTCTTTTAATATGCTTGATTATGGCTTGTAATGGAAAGATTTATATTTAATGTATGGACTAATTTGCATTTTTTTTTTTTTTTTTAATAATGATAGAAATACCGTTGTGATTGTCTGATATTTGATATCCTTATTTATATTTTTATCAGCAGATATGCTTCAGCTACACCGAGTCCTGTAGGTCAGATAATTAGCATGAAGTCCAAAAGTCCAAAATGGCGCAGAGTGGTATTCAAAATTAGTGGTGCTGCTCTTGCTTGCACCGGTCCGCACAATATTGACCCAAAGGTTCACCATGAGTTTCTTATATATGGTCAGAACTAGGCTGCTATCATTATCAATATTGAATTAATTAGCTCTTTCTTTCTGATTATCAGGTGGCAGTGCTGATTGCTAGGGAAGTTTCAATTGCATGCCACCATGGTGTAGAGGTAATCATTACCGTGTTTTATTTCTTATGACATGCAATGGTTTTTTGTTTACATCCTTTTGACATGCAATTTTTTTTTTTGGTGATGTTCCAGGTAGCAATAGTTGTTGGAGGTCGCAATTTCTTTTGCGGAGACACATGGGTTACGGCAACTGGCTTAGATAGAACTACTGCATATCAAATTGGGTAATGTGTTCACTGCTTAACTCACAATGGAGTATACCCTTTTTGATCTGCGAACCAACTTTGGGTTAATTTTGAAAAAACACAAAAGAGATTAACGCTTAAACCTAGGATGATGTTTGTAAGATGAAGCTTGCTGATGTATAGCTGTCATTGTATTGTGAATTGACGTAACTACCTGTGATAGTTTGATAGGTGTAGGAGTATGCTTAGACACTTACATTTTGGTTGTTTCTGGAAATGACTTCAATTGGGTGGTATATGTATGCCAAGATGCATGTAAGCTGTTACTTGTTTTATCCAATTAAACAGAATAAAATGATAGAATGGTCACAATAAAGGATCAAACTGTTTGTTGTTTGTGAACTGACTTTCAATCATTCATGGGCTGACCGTGGGAAAGATATATGATTCTTATTATTTATGTTAAATATGTGGTATATAGTTAGGATTGGGTTTCCAGCAGAAAGTTATTGCTAATTCTATTTAGGCTAGTATGTCGACGTGTACAAAGTTGTGCGAGATGTTAAAGGGACATGAAGGTGGTGTTACAATCAACAGTTGCAAGATTCATATAAAAAACCTTGTTTTTATATGTGAAGAAAATTATCACATGAATATCTTGTAGATGAATCTGTAGTGCAATTACTTCCTTCAAGTGCATGTTCATGCACATACGTGTTCATGTCTCACTACGAAACTAATCAAAACATGACCCTGCAATTTAATGCAGCATGATGGCATCTGTGATGAATTCTATACTACTGCAATCATCATTGGAGAAGATGGGTATTCAGACGCGTGTTCAAACTGCATTTTCAGTGCAAGAGGTTGCGGAACCATACAATCGGCAACGGGCCATCCGTCATCTTGAAAAGGGTAGAGTTGTAATATTTGGTGGCATTGGCACTGGAAATCCACTCTTTTCTACAGACACAGCTGCAGCGATTCGAGCTTCAGAAAGTATGGCTCTATCTCTCAATTCAATCTCTTGAACTATATGTCACTGTCTTTCTGTTCCTCCTTCATCTTTGACACAGAACACGTGCACATGCAGACACTTTTTTTTTGGTTCTCTACATTTGACATCTCTGCTATCTATTCAGTTCACGCTGAGGCAGTCCTTAAAGGTACGAATGTTGATGGTGTTTATGACTGCCACTCCCAGGACAACAATGCTACATTTGAACACATCTCCTTTAGAGAGTTAGTCTCTAGGGGTGCCACAGCCATGGACATGATGGCATTAACCTTCTGTGAAGAGAATGGCATTCCTGGTTGGTATTCTTGTTGCCTTGGATTATATTTGATAAAAGTTACTGACAACTAGTTCTGATACTTCCATAAAATTGCTGGTCCAACTGATTTAATTTTGTGCTTCGTGTTTGTATTCCTTCTTCCAAATTCTTAATGATAGCTGTCAATAGAAGTTATTAGATCTGAGGTTACCATTTGATGTTACAGTTTAAATCAATTTACTTTGGTACAGTTGTGGTGTTTAATCTTCTTCAGCCTGGAAACATCTCAAAAGCATTATGTGGGGACCAAGTTGGTACGTTGATTGATCAAACTGGAAGGATAAGCTGATCTAGAAACCCTTACCAGATGCATTTGTAGTTGTTGTGACCATGGATATTAAGTCAGATGCTGTTAATATACTCTAGTAACAAGTGTTTCCTTAGATTCAGCTGCTGTGTTTATATGACTGAGGTCTGCGTGGATTGTTGACTTGAAGATGATGCTGCTGTAACATTTGGAGGCCAGGTTTTGACCCACAATGCCAATAACTGATTATTCTGTTAGCTAGTTTTTTCATTCACAATCTATATTCTCTTATGGTGCCAATATCTATTATATTATTTGTATGTATTACAAATGGTATCAACTTATTGAAACATCAGCCGTGGGAGATGGTTGCTGCAATGTACCATTACAGGTTTACTAGAATACATGTCTGTGAGAGTTGTAGTTCACTGATAGTCGTTAGTAATCTTAGATTACAATTAGAAGTAGGAAGTCACCACAAGCTGAACTTGTTAATGGCAACATGTACCAGAAATTTTATTATTTGCAAATTAAAAAATGCATCTCTGAGATCACTTACAATTTTGTATCATTGTTTATCCTGAGATGTCAATAAATGGATGGGTGAGAACTCATGCCAAGAAAACATCTCTCTGCACTGTATTGTTGAAGCATTTATGTATATACCAGGAATTGGTGATTTCATATTCTGCAATACATCCATTTTCTGTATATTCTAAACTGTGTGCATGACGATACTATCAAAGCTCGTTAGATATTATTTGCTATATTTCTTATGTACTGACAGGCTGGGATCAATAACCCAACAGAATGGAATAAAACCATGGATGGAGCTTGTGTTTTTATTAAGAATAAGAAAGTTCTGTATGGTGGAATTGAGTATGAATCATGATAGATGGTGGAGATTAATGTTGCCTTTCGGATTATATAGGAGGATCAGCTTGAAGCAGGAATGCAAACATTGGTGAGAATCCAATGCCAGTGGTTGCTGAATTGGGAGGAATCTTACTCTCTTTCACAGGTGTGGAACATATTTCCAGTATCACTTCACAGCTTTCCGGCCACTGAATTAAGCCATCGGATGCATACTAATTCAAGATTTTGGTTTGGAAATAATTAATAAACTAATTCAAAATGTCAAAATTACATTACAGAGCTGGAGTCTAAATAAAACTACCATGGTTGCCTAGAGTGAAGATCAGCAGTGATCTTACCAGCGACAACGAGAGAAACAAGGCCTTTAAATATTACAAAGAAAGACGAGGCAAACAAAAGGATCTAAGAAAGAACCAGAAATGGTGATAATTCGCAGCGAGAGATCATGCAGATCAAAGAAAAGAAGATGACAAAGCGTCCATGAAGTAATTAATTTACCACTGGCAAATTATTGGATCAGTAGCCAGCCAATCCATCTTCCGTGGCAGCAAGGGAAGGCGAAAGCGAATTGCGTGATTCATCATAATCCTCCCCTAAAGGAGATTGTTCCACCCTGATATCCTCAATCATTTTAGCCACTTCTGTCATTGTAGGCCTCTTTTCTGGCTGCGGAACCACACAGGCCAACCCCACGTGAAGCATTGACACAAGTTCCTCCTCAATGTTTTTGTACCTCAAAAGTTCTTGATCAAACACTTCTGCTGTCCACTCTTCCTTAACAACTGATCGAACCCATTTCGGAAGATCCACTGCTTGTTCTTCTTCCTCCACTCGAGGACGTGTTGGCGAAGGATACTGTGATGGAGCTCTCCCTGTCAGCAGTTCCAACAACAAGACTCCAAAACTATAAACATCAGCCTTTTGAGACAGTCTCTTGACTTCGGCTTGCTCAGGGGCCCTGTATCCACCCAATCTTGCTATAGCATGAACAGGGTTTAAAAGCAGAGATAACCCAAAATCAGAAATCAAAGCAACCCCATTTTTGTCAAGAAGCACATTCGAAGATTTCACATTTCCATGTGGTATTTTTGGTGCACTATACTCTTCATGAATCTTTGCTAATCCTCGAGCTGCCCCTAACACCAAGCTGATCCTCGTAGTCCAATCCAATGGAATCCTCCCCGGTCCCCTGTTTCCTGTTTTCAAACATAAAAAGCAAAAGAATTTATATTTTCATATTAAAGTTAGTTTATCGGATAATTCTCAATGCATTTAATGAAACTATTTCCTTAAAACGATAACCTACCATGAAGAAGTGAATGCAAGCTTCCATTAGGGAGATAATCATAAACAAGAAGCTTCTCCTCTTTAGCATAATAGTAAGCCCTCAGTTTCGCAACATTCGGATGCTTAACCTTCCCAATAACATCCATGTACTGTTCAAACTCCTTCCTTGGACAAGGGTTCGCATCTTTAAGCCTCTTAACAGCGACAGTGCACCCATCATCGAGCACTGCCTTGTAAACTGTTCCCAAACTCCCTTTTCCCAGCATTTCCGCCGAAGCTCTCAACAAATCGTCCAACTCAAACTGCTTTCTTCTTTCGAAAAACACAAGCTTGCTCCTATCTGTTGCATTTGTTCCATCACTGTCCGCTCCCCCGTTTGCATAAACTTTCTTTTCACTTCCGTAACTACTTCCACTCCTCCTCCTTTTCCCACTACCGCTACTGGCTTTGGAAATACTCTCTCCCCTGTTTCTTCCACAGTAATAAGCTACAACAAAAGAAACCACCACCAAAAACACCACACAATTTGCTATTACAATTGCAACTATAGCACCAGGGCTTAATCCTTTACGTCCCTTAGCTTTGTCATGTTCGATGATTGGTGTCTGCGGCATTGAACTCGGGTTGGATGGAACTGTCTGGGCCGATGAATCCACCGGTGGAGACCCTGTAAAGGAACAAACAGGCAATGGATTTGACCCACAAAGCCCTTCATTTCCTGTAAAGCTTTGTTCACTGAATTTTTTCAATAAACTCTCTGGTAACCGCCCGTAAAACTCATTGTTGGTTAAATTAAGCTCCTTTAAGTTTTTAAGGGAAGAAGAAAAATCTGGGATTTGGCCTGTTAATGCATTGTTTTGGAGCCAGAGAGTAATGAGCCGGTTCAAACCAAAGATTTCTTTAGGAATATTGCCACGTATGTTGTTATTGGATAAGTCTAGGCGAAGAAGCCGTTTGAGCTGCGAGATTTGCTGGGGGATTTCACCAGAAAAATCGTTGTCGGACAGATAAACTAGTTTAAGGTTGGTACAGTTGGTTAAGGTTGAAACGCTGCCGTTCAAGCGGTTGTTTTGAAGGTCGAGGATTCGTAGCTGGTCGAGGAGGGAAAGGGAGGTGATGGGACCACGGAGGGAGAGGGAAGGGAGTGACAGCGCGGTGACGCGGCCAGTTGAGGAGCAAATGACGCCACGCCACGTGGAGGAACAGGCATCGTGTCCGGTCCAGTTGGAGAGGAGGTTGCCGTGAGTGTCGGCTTGGAGGCGGAAGAGAGTCAGGGCATTGGTGTCGTTTGGGGAAGAAGAAGAAGAGGAGAAGGAAAGTGGAAGAAGGGAAAGGAAAAGAGTAGACAGAAAGAAGAAGAGAAATTGACAAGCGAAGTTCATTGTTTTTTGAGCGGGAAGAGGCAAATGGAAGAGGTTTTTTTTTTTTTTTTTAAATACTAGTTCTAGTGCATTTTGTCTCTCTATGAAGGAGAAAGATTTGGATTTGAGGGGGGGGGGGGGGGAAGGGGAATGATTAAAGAGGGAACTGAAGGTGGGATGGGTTTATTATTGTTTTACTATTTGTTTTTTTTTTTTTTAAGAGGGAAATATGATTGAAGGTAACAATAGAAAATAGGAATTGGAGCAGGAGGGTGGTTGTGTCAATGATAGCTGTTCTCTACTCCTTAGAAATGGAATGAGAAAAAGGTTCCAAATTCAGAAGCTACACCCTTTTTTTTTTTTTTTAATCTAACCTTTTTTCATGACCAATTGGTAAATTGGGTATCTGTAATTCTTGCATGGTTGGGATTCTATGATAGTGAGGATCATGAAGCATGAGCTTGACGTCTTGCTTTTTTATTATTAGATTTATTTTCCAGAATTTTCTTTCTTTTACCAAAGCTGCAAAGTTTTCAAGGGTGTGGGGGGTTTTTCAAGTCTCAAGTTTCTTGAATGCCTATAACACTATTAGACTTGGAAGATTTTGGCATGTTACATTGTCCGTAATAAAGCTTATTTCAATTTTCAATATCTGTATTTTTTTTTTACTTCAAATCTTAAATTACGATTTCTTTTATTTTAAAAAAATAAATAAATAAATAAAAAGGAGGTATAGTTGTTCACATTTCATGGTAGTTGCAACTTGCAACAATTAGTAATCGAGTTTTAGTGTTGACTCTCACTTTGCTAGCTAGAAAGTCTTAACTGATTAATTACCTTTTTGATATGCAAATGATTGGTATTTGCCGCGTTGTCTTTGTCTATCATAAAATGTATTGATAGTTACTACCTGTCCATTTCTAGGAAAGGATAATCCAGTTATTAAGCTATTTTAGCCTTGAAAAAGAAGATTATAGCACATCTGATCCACAAGTACTCCCAACCAAACTGAAGGCTTCTGTTTCTCCAATTCCTACTTCTGAATTGTAATTACGAAAAACCAATCGTATGTGTACTTTTACAGGGGAAATAAGCTGCTGAGTAGTGCGTGTCCTATTACCAGAACACAAAAGAAAAAGGCTGCAGAGAGCTGACCATAAGCTGTATGTATCCGTGAATAACCAATTAATTCCCTTATTTATTCCCAAGTTTTTCATCAAATCTGGACCATAATTTTCCATGACAAAAGGAGTAGGACAATGAAGAATTTCTAGCCTTCAATCACATTTCTAAAACAACTTCTGTTAGTAAAAGGGAGTAATGCTTTACAGATGTATGGTATTTGTTTCAGCAAGAGATCTGAGATCTCCATAGTCAAAACTCACCAGGATTTGATTATGTCGCCTTTATTTATGAAGTAGGTTGCAATGTGAGAATAGAAAAAGGGTTGCATGTTCTGAAATTTGAATCTCAGATTAACCGAACATCAGATTTATATGATCCAATGGAGTTAAGCTCCGAATTTGCTTATATGGACTGTAGCTCCATTTCTGTTATTCCATTACATTCCTCTGTAATTGCAAGATCTTTTATACTGTAAAAGATTAAAGATGGTGTCGGTGCATTCTCAGTCGATGAACTTTTCTCATCTTATTATGGTGGCATGACTGAAAAGGTAAAAGTAATGATATTAATAATTAGTCATCTAAAGTATGCATACAGCATACAAATGTTTTCATCATTTTGGTTAATCTCTTGTTTGACCTATGAAAAATGCTGCATGATTGGCCGCCTGAGACAAACTACTGATATTCAAACAAATTCAAACTCAGCCTCTCGTTTAAACATAAAATACTACTCCCATGTATGGACATATGGAAAGCAGGAATTTTCTTGTCTTTTTATTTTCTGGGGTTAAAAATCAAAACAAAAGCATCCAAAAATCACCCAAATCTTCATAGCCCCACTTGCATAGTTGCATTATGGACCACTAGCTAGTAACAGAGGTAAAATATATCCATGTTTTTTAGTTACTTTGGATCCTCATTGTGGAAGAGCTCTATTTGTAGTGACATTCAAATTTAACAGGCATGGAATCATGATCTTGCTCTATTCTTTCTTCGGACAACTTATGGATATCTGTTATTCCTAAGAGAGAGAGAAAGAGAGGGAGGGATTTAATTAGATTTGTCTGCTGGTCCCTAGCTTTACTTTCATTATTATCTTGAGAAGGAAAAAGCTTGAAACTTAAGTCATTAGAAAGCAAAGTTGGTGAGACCTTCCATTAATGGCTGATGATGAGCAGCACGATCAATAAAACAAAAGCAAAAACATGACTGGACTTCTCTCCTAATAACCTTTGATGCTTCTCTCCTTTATTCACAACTTCCAAATTCATTTGTCTCCAAAGCATCTAAGAAAGAGAATCAATCCCATTAACTCCTGTTCAGGACCTGCTACTGTAATTCCTTCCAACCAGGTGTTCTTTGGCTGCCTTTAAATCCGTTTGATTCTAGTAAAGCACAAAAGAATTGTCATCCATTTTAACCCTCTTCAGCAAGGGCTGTTTTTCCATTGATTTCTCTAATAAAACTTCAAGTTAGACTTTTACTCACTAATAAAATGAATGATATTTGCTTGAAAAATTTTGCATAAAATGGTGGAAATTTTGGAAAGCCACATGGTGGGACCTTTGGGGGTACACAAATACAATGATAGATGTCGTTAAAGGGAGGGAAACACCATCAGCTTTTTTTTTAAAACAAATTACGAGAACTTATTTTTGCTTTTTATAACGAAACATGCATAACAAGAAGAGGAGAGATTGAAGGCGGGATTGTCGTCTGAATGTTATTTCCTTTTATTTCACTCCAATCACACCCAAAGGTCAGTTGATAGGGCAAAAGTGTAGCAGTCAGTGTACCACACCAATGAAAATGTTTTTCTTTTGTCTCCTTTTCTACCCTTTTTTTTTTTAACCCTTTTATTCTTTGATCGCATAAGTCATTGGAAAATGAAACAAAATCCAAAAATATTTGGTGTTTTGGGTGTCTCTGGTTGGGCTTATAAATCCAAAGCATAAGGTTGGGTTATAATTTTCCACTCGGCTTTTCCTTCGGCTTACATGAGGGCGGTCAGTTCGATATTTTTTTTTCTCATGGGTTTTCAAATTTTCAACAAAAAATATGACTATTACTGAGTACATATCCAAGAATTCAATATTTTAAAAAAAATTTATTTAAAAATATCAAAATTTGAATTTGATTATTGAAATTTAAAATCCCAACTCTTTATCTCTTTTTTACACAATAAATTTTATGTTTTTTTTTTCAATCTTGAACTTTACATCATCCATAAATCATAGTAACTATTTAATCTCATTAAAATTATTTGCTAGACAACTTGACTCTTTTTGCAATGATCAATGAACAAAGAGAAATTTTCATTCATAATTTTCTACAAGAAAGGTTAAGATGATTACACCAAAACCAGAACATGATGTGAAACAATCTTTACCGCTTGATTAATGGAGTGATTCCTTTATAGGGAGACACCAAATTTGGGCATTTTCTTTCATTTTGATCTCCATAGCTTTTTATTCTATTGAGCAACAAATAACAAACCTTTCATCATTGACAGATACCTAATTGAAAATTTTATGTTCCACCAATGTTAGGGAAGAATAACCAATGATCTTAAAAGAATATCACTTAATTCCATCTCTTATCATTTCGTATTAATACCCAATTAGGTAATAACAAGTTTAGGTAACGGATTTGATTTTATATACGAATTTATATTTAATGTATTGTTAGTGTATACTGTCATACACAATCAATAAATCACAAATAACATGTCATAAAAAAGTTTATTTTAAATGTATTTTAAAATTAAGTGTATTTACCTTTTATAATTTTAAAATTTTAAAATAAATTTTTTATGAAATATCATTATATCGTTTACCAACAATATATAACATTTATATACTGACAGTACATTAATTATAATTTTTTAATACATTTAGGCCTTATTTGATAAACCATTGAACATTTTCATTACATTAAAAATAAAAATTTTCAGCACTTTAAATCTTTAATGCATTCAATAACACATTTTAAAATTCACTTAAAATATGTATGTGTTTGCAAGGCCTTTTGATGGATTGGAGGCTTGGGAGCTGTGAAATTGGGTCGGGAGGCCGGGGAAGTTTCCTAGTGGGCCCATGTGGTTGCATTTGGGCTCCTTTTAATCGGTGATCTACTAGAGCGGATGTTCAGCGTTGATAAAATCTGTTCGGAGAATATCAATTTTCGTTTCTCCATAACTAGATTTTTTATAATGAAAATTGATTCTATACGTCAATGGTAAAATTTTTAAAGTCTATAAATAAATATAAAAGGTTAATGCATGTTTATAAGATTATGATTAAGAAATTTAATAAGATTATTGAATGACTACTTTATAAATGATACATCTTCTTGTGAATTCCACTTACATATATATATATAGTACAATAATCAAATTTTTATTTTTATTTTTTTGTTTTCTATGGATCACATGTACTATATAGATTCCAAATGCTGTTTTCCTTTAAAAATTAAAGGTTATCATTGGACATCATATAAAAATCGTGAAAAATTTGTTGATAAATGAATATTTTATTTAAAAAAAAACATATAGTAGTTATTACATTTAAAAAAAAGAAAGAAATAAAGTTACAATTAATATAATTTTATTGGCATATACCCTAAAACCACTCCTATATATATTTCTTCCTTTTTAAAATATTTAAATTGTATTGACTTTTATAGAATTTTTTTAAAAAATTAATTTTAATATATTTAATATTAATAAATTTTTTTATAAAATTAAAATTCTATGAATTTTAATACCAAAAAGTTAAAAAAATCATTCAAAATTTTAAATGTTAAAAAAATAATTTTAAGACATCAAAAAAATAAAAAGAATGAGACAGATTTTTTTTTTATTCTTTTTTTAACGGGGGACCGAAAAGGGGAACCATATATGAGCAAAGTGATGTAAGCTTACTGAGGGTGAAATAAATAAATTTATTTAGTATACAATTTGAATCCAAATAGATGCGTCAGAAGTTGACCCTTTCATTAATTCGGACATTTATATGGCAGCCGAGGGGACCGCACTGAATCCATCCAAATCAAATCAACGTGTCAGTAGTCAAAGCTCAAAATCATTTCCCAATTATTATTACATATATAATTCTAACACTAATTGAACTTTTTTATACATAATATGTCCCATTGCGATAATAAAAAAAATTACAGTACTAAAATTCAACCTTTAAATTTATTAAATATTATATTTTAAAAATAATTAAATAAATTAATTTAATTAGTTTAATGAAAATAACTCTCTTTTTTTTTTTTTGTTGTTGTTGTCTACAACATGTTTATTTTCATCGCTTTAAATTTTAGGATACACTTAATAAATCATTATATCATACATATATTATATGGGTGATAGGTTTAATTTCATAATTGTCTAAAATTTAAAAAATAATGCACAAGCAGTCAACACCTAACATTTTTTTATTATCAAATTAAAATTAAAAAAATTATACGAGCAAGGACTTTAATAAAAATATTTACTTAAATTATATATATTTTAAATTATACTCACAATCAAATATTATATATATAATTAAATTAAATAATTAATTATTATGTCATAATCAAATTGTAACCACTGAATAATCAATTAATATATTGTAACATAATTAAACATCTAAACCCACATACTTAAACCTAAAACATTCTAAAACCTACTTCTTATTATTAAATCAAAGACTTATTGGCTACACTACACATGCTCTTTAATAAAAGTATAGACAGATATCAATCAATGATTTTTAAGAAATATCAGATTTAATTTTTTAATTAAAGAAACGTAACAAGAAAGGTGGCAAAAGAGGGACCATCTTCTATAATATGGAATATATATGGACCACTTGGCACTCTCAATCAGCTTCGTGGTCCAAACGTATTAAATTTTTTTTATGTAATAAATATTTTATATTTATTAAATGTTTTCTAAACAATCAAACTTCAATGACCAATTGTTAACAAATAAATATAGCTTCACTTAGAGCCATTTGGCATCGATATGACAATGAAAACTTAACATTATCTTGTTGGAACAAATTAATATTCTATATATTATTTTTAAAATGTAGTATTGGCACACGCTTCATTTACACATCTAACTATATATCATAACATATTTATTCACTTCATTTAATTTTATTTTATGATAATTAAGAAGAGTGGGATTTAATTATGAAATGAGAAGAGATTATCTATGTAATCCTCCTCATGTGTACCTTGTTCAAATAATAATTGTATTAAAATAAATGAGCTTTTAAGTAATTAACTGCCTAGTAATTTAATTCAAGATTATAATTTTTCAATATTTTCATTATCTTCTATATGTATATCCTAATAAAAGTAATTACGAGGATTTTGATGGTAGATTTGTTTAATTTTATTACTAAATCTAATATCTTTTGATCCATTTTTTTTATACGTATATATGAAAAAATTTTAAGAAATATGAGATTTTAATTTCAGACTCATACATCTTTTAAAGAGACGTAATAATCTTTGATCAATCTTAAACTGTTTTTAATTAATTGATGAATGAAAGAGATAACATGCAATATTGGTATGTCATTGTCATGTATCAAACAAGTACATGAATGTCATAGATATATGTTATTAAGTAAATGGAATCATTTTAATTAATTGGATGATGAATTCGAATGAGAATATCTTACTGAACTTGGTGCATGTTATGAAACCTTTTGTCTTCTATGATCATTTATTAATTTCCTTCAAGATTTTAGCAAATATTTTTTTTTAACTTGTATTTATGAACAAAGCATGCATAAATCAAGGAATTAAGATCTCTTTCTAATCAATTGGGCAACCTATTTTGATCCTAATAAATATTCCTCTCTTTCCACGTTTCATCATCTATGACAACAAATATTTGTCTACATTTGATGATGTTAATAATTCATAAATTAAACAATTATATATTAAAATTATTGTTATTATTTGGAATTCTAGCAAATGTCAGCATATATAAGCAACTTTCAATAATGGTTGATAACAAAATTCAAGGACCACTCTTAAAAGGAAAGAAAAAAAAAAGCATGTCACTATTAATCAAAACAAAAAACAAAAATAGTCAGTACTAGTAAAATTAAGGACCACAAAGAAAATAATTTGTTCTTGAAAAAAAAAAACTTTGATTTATTGTAAAAGCTTAAGTCATTACGAATTTTAAATTGGAGATCCATATAAAATTTAACAAATTACCAACTTACCGATTTTATCCTGAAAAGCAAACAAGTTATTTTTTAAAAATTTTTTTGCAGAAAAATATGAAGGCTAATTGATGTTAAATCCTAGTAGTTTAGAGTTTAGACATTAGAATCAACATTGAAAGAGATTGATAAGTGTTTAGATCATGAATCTTCTCAAATGTTCATCTTAGTTTTTGTTAGCTGGGGCGTTTCCGTCATAGATATGTTCTAGGTGTCGTCCTCAGATCTTCTTGGTAAGTTTCCTGGAAAAAAAAATTGGATTCTAATAAAATCTGAGAGCATCGTTTAGTGAAGAATTTTGGCAGTTACATTTCACGGGGGAAATTAAATTATAAATAAAGTTATACAAAGGAGAATAAAAATGAAAATGCTGATCCAATCCGTATCATGTTCAAGATTTTGCTTGTTTATTTCAACTTGCAATAAAACTCCAAATGTTTAATTCTATATAAAAGTGGTGTAGATTCCTATCAACTTGTTTCCATGCTATCTCTCTGCATGACTTTGTCACGTAACTATATCCACAAGCTTCTATAAAGGGCGGCTGCGCCAACCTAGGAAACCATCAAAAATATATAAATGGAGTGCGAAATTTTAGGATTAAGTATTGCCCTTTTGCTATGGGTTGCATGGGCCATGGTGACGGAGCAGCGGCACCGGCGTTTGAAAGAGCTAGGCCAGCTTCCACCAGGGCCAAGATGGTGGCCGGTGGTTGGCAATATTTTCCAGTTAGGTTGGGCACTACCACATGCATCGTTTGCTAAGTTGGCTCGTCAACATGGACCCATCATGACTCTATGGCTAGGTTCAATGAGCACCGTGGTCATCTCATCCAACGAGGTGGCTCGTGAAATGTTCAAGAACCATGATGTGGTGCTTGCGGGGCGAAAAATCTACGAGGCCATGAAAGGAGATTTTGGCCATGAAGGGTCTCTTATTACATCTCAGTATGGTTCGCATTGGCGCATGCTAAGGCGCTTATGCACCACAGAATTTTTCGTAACTAGCCGCCTTGATGCCATGCGGGGAGTTAGAGGAAGGTGCATAGATCGGATGGTGCAATTTATTGAAGATACTGGTGCAAATGGTACCAAATCTATTGATATTGGGAGATTTTTCTTCTTGATGGCATTTAATCTAATTGGAAACCTTATGTTTTCAAAAGATTTGTTGGATCCTAAATCGGAAAGTGGTGCACAGTTCTTTTATCATGCAGGGAAAGTCATGGAGTTGGCTGGTAAGCCAAATGTTGCGGATTTCTTACCAATTCTAAGATGGCTTGACCCGCAAGGTATAAGGAGAAAAACCCAGTTTCATGTTGAACGAGCTTTTGAAATTGCAGGACGGTTCATCAAGGAAAGGATGGAAAGTATGGAAAATGGAAACTATGAAGGGAAAAGAAAAGATTTCTTAGATGTGCTTTTGGAATTTCGTGGTGATGGGATGGAGGAGCCATCTAAGTTTTCTTCTAGAACCATTAATGTTATTGTTTTTGTAAGTTGACTGCTTCTATTGTTTTTTATTTTTTATATTTAAAATGATTAAAATCGAATTCCGGTTATTGACCGACAGCTGCTGATCTACCAATAATTTTTCCCTTTTCCATTCCACAGTTTGACATTTTTGAATGGTATATTCCAGGAGATGTTCACTGCAGGAACTGACACAACTACAAGCACTTTAGAGTGGGCTATGGCTGAGCTTCTACACAACCCAAGGACACTGAAAAATGTCCAAGCTGAATTGAGAAGCACTTTAGGCCCTGGCAGGAAGCTTGAAGAGAAGGATATCGAAAACCTGCCATATCTTAAAGCAGTAATCAAAGAAACATTAAGACTTCACCCACCTCTCCCTTTCTTAGTTCCTCACATGGCTATGGACTCTTGCAAGATGTTGGGTTACCATATTCCCAAAGAAACACAAATTTTGGTCAATGTTTGGGCAATTGGAAGAGATTCAAAAACATGGGAAGACCCTTCAGTTTTCAAACCAGAGAGATTCTTGGAGCCAAACATGGTGGATTACAAGGGACAGCATTTCGAGTTTATACCATTCGGGTCTGGTCGGAGGATGTGTCCAGCTGTGCCACTTGCATCTCGTGTGCTCCCAATGGCACTGGGTTCGCTTTTGCATTCCTTTAATTGGACTTTAGCTGATGGGCTTAAACCTGAAGACTTGGACATGACTGAGAGAGTCGGAATAACACTAAGGAAATCTGTTCCCTTAAGGGTCGTACCAATACCATTCAAGAGGCCCACATGGAAGGCCTCTGATTAAATATTTTCCCCAATTAAACAAGGTGAAGATAAAGGATGTCAAGGCAGACAAGGGTTTTGGCTTTAGCAGCCTAAGCGGCAGACATCCTTCAACTAATTTTCGCTGTGTTTTCGTGTGTGCAACTTAATGTTCACGTGTGTGAGTTCGAGACTTTTGAATACAAATAGCTAATGAAGTAGGACGAATAATGCATAGTACCATCTGTAAGTCTTGTGAATAGTAGCCAAATTATTCAAAATTTCTTGTTAAATGTTTTAGCATTGTGAAGAACCAAGATAATGTTTCAGCTTTGTGAATGAAAATAGATAATGGAAAATCAAGATTCACAATTGTTTTCCACTCTGGCTAATTAATAAATATTGTATAAAAATTTTTTTGAAAATGGGTTCCATTGAGTGCCCTCCATAACTTCTTCGAATGGGTTTCATTGAGTGCTCTCCACAACTTCTTCAAATAGGCTATGGCATTCCGTAAGAAACAGATTCTTGTGAACTTATGGGCAATTGGAAGAGATCCAGAATCATGGGAGGATCCCTTGACATTCAAGGGCAGAATTTTGATTCGATCCATTTTGGATCAGGGAGACGAATTTGTGTAGGCATCTCATTAGCTCACAAGGTGGTTCATCTTGTTCCGGCCACCTTGTTGCATTCCTTTGCCTGCGAGCAACATCAATCCAGAGGCCATAGACACGAAAGAAAGGGTGGGGATAACAGCACGAAATCTCTTACCATTGAAAGCAATACCCAAGAAGCGTGTCATGCATGCAAGATTAAATGTTCAGAGCATTTACAAGTACTTTGAAGAATCCTCTGCAACAGACGAACTAATATGGTAGGCACGAATGCAGTATATTTTGGTAAAACAAAAATGAGCTCTAAAGAAGCTTATCTTACTTTCTCGCTGCAACCAATAGAATTCAGAACCTATAGTTTACTTTTTTTGGTAAAGATAAATTTGAAGGACTTGCAAATATCCCATCTTTTTTTTTTAATCACATTAGCACATGCTACCCCACAAGAAAAAAGAACCAAAGCACAAACGATCCCCATCACTCAGGAAAAAATTGGACACTATAACATCAATATCACCCTAGCTTTTTATTTTTTTTTTTAAGAAAAGTTACTCCAGTTTTGAAGTAGCAGGGCATTCAAAATCATAGCATTTAACTAACTGCAATAAAGTTGCTAAGAATCCTATTTAGCATGTAATGTTTGAATGATGCCAATACTCCGACGAGACCAAGGCGGGCTCATGTTACTATAAGTAATATTCATTAGAATTGGCTAGCAACCCAAATTCATCGACTATATAAACAAAAGAATCTATCAGTTGAAAATGAATAAGTATATTAACAAAAGCTTGCTCCAACTAAGATACAATGAGCTTGATATAACACTCAACGTAGTACCTAACAATGGGATGAATTTCTTCTTTAATCTGGATATTAAAAAGAAACCTCATGGAGGCATTCAGCGATGCTTCAGGAAGTTGACTGTTATCTTCTGTCATCCCTTTTGAGCAAATATTGGGTACAGCTACTACCAGCAAAGTCCTTCAAAGCTTTTTCATTATGTGCTCTCTCAATCCTACAGACATAATTAAGGCCCACAAGCAGCTCTGTAATAGCTGCTTCAGTTTTTGCTTGATTTGCAAAGTGTAGCGTCTGTACCAAAAGTACATTTGACCTGGAAACTACATGCTTTTCCTCAAATTTATGCGCGGACTGCCACCTAATCATGTTGTGAGCAAGAGGAGCCAGCCATTCCAATATCCGCACTAGTGCTAGACTCCACTCTGCTGCAAGAGAAGCATCATATATGAATGAAGTCAAAGTCTTCGCATATGAGTTCAGTTTAACGCGCAGAGCATTTCTCATAGTTGTAGGTAACATATTGTACAGGTCATCCCTTTCATCAAGGCCAATCAAGTGAGGAGATGAAACTAGTTTCTCAATCAAGATAATCACGTTTGCATAGCGGAGAGATAATGCAGCATCACCAAGTGTTGCTGTAGGAGCATTCAACAAGCGCTTGGTATTGAAAATGGATAACTTAGAATAAATTTTATCGCTGCAAGACAATGAATCCACCTTTGAATGATTTATTTTTTCAATATTTTTGGTGTAACCACCACCGAACCTCTTAGATCCAATGCCAATTGGCTTGCAGCTCTCTAAAATGGGAGAATTACTTGCAGCTGACATGCATCCTTTAAAAGGTACAACTCCAGCATGACCTGACCATTTGGTTTTCAAATGTGGTTGCTTGCCATGTACAGCAGTGGACTTGCGATGAAACCGTAGATGCTTGCTATTGGTTCGATGCTTGCCAGTGATCTGCACAGACTTTGAAAATGACGTGTCAAGAGGTCCAGAGGAGAACCCATAGATATTATAATCAAAAGGATGTACTGAAGACAGTATTAGAGTGGGAAAGGAATGGCTGCGTGAAAGACGGTCAGTATTAATAGCTTTAAAATCATTGTTCCCATCAATGGATGCCATTTGGTTGGTCCCAAAGACATTTTTTATCCTCTCAAGTATTGTTAGAAGTGATCTCAACAGAAGCCGGACAATGTAATCATAAGTTCTAACCCATGGAGACATCTCACGTAGATTTTTTACTTCCTGACGCTGCCACATTACCTTCTGTTGAAACTCCAGTAATTTCACCCGATCTAACTTGGCATTTCTCTGCTTCCTCCTAAGACTTTGCTCAAGTTCTGCTAGCACTTCCAACTCTTGAGTCAACTGCATTGTAACTGCAACAAATCTGTCCATTTTCTTTACTTTCCTCTCCATCTTCTTCCAGCGATATTCCCACCCTAACCATTCATAATTGTTTGAAATTGGATCATGTATGAAATGTTCAAAACGATGATATACAGGGTCAGTGCACTTCTTTCCAAGCCTGGCCACAGACGTTGCCAGATTACCAAAATTCTCAATTACCTCATTCAGTGCAAGATCCATAAGGTAATTTTCATCATCAGATACAAGCCTTTGAATTCCAATAGAGTTTTCATTCTCTTCCCTCAACTTCAAGATCTCCCTATCATCCAAAGAATGCCATAAATTCACCACCTTAGACATCAAACTGGCAACTTCAAATGCCAAGATTCCAAGCACCACCTTGTCAGTACTCTCTGAAGCACTCTTCCTTGAATTCCACCATGAACTGCCAAGCCACGACTCAATCACCATCTCGCGTCCCACAATCCAATATACTGCAGATTAAGCACTAATCAAACGTTCTAAAAAGACCTTACAATCCCTGTATTGGAGCATAAACACGGCACAGATCAGACCACTATTTCCACTAAAATTAAAAGAACTCGAGTATATATAATCGTAGCTTTCTTCTTGTGTACATATAAAACAAAAAATAGGAAATCCGAATTATAAATTTTATTAAATTCCCACTGGTTAAGGCCTCTTAAAGCACCAAGAACTTATCATAAACAATTAATGAGCTCCATCAGGCAGTCATTCCCACTACAAAAATGGAAAAAAGCCTTAAAAGTTTCGATTTTTCTCCTATATTAAACAACCCAATTCAGCAAATTTCAGAACATACTATAATTTGCCAAGGTAGACCCTTTATAGCAAGTCGCAACTCAACTCATTAATTAATTAACATATTCACCAAACACAGATTCCCAAAAAAAAAAAAAAAGACACCAGAATTTACAAGTGCAAAAAAACCACAATGGGACAATTAAACCAGTAAAAATTGCACTTGAATTACAAAGCATTAACTTACAGGGGGGAAAAATTGTAAAAAAGTTACGTCCCCGGGAAGCAACAATGAACTGAAGAAGAAGAAGAAGAAAACTTGGTTTGGTTTCAATAGCGAAAAGCCGAGACAATAACGGACGGAAGGAAGAAGCGGTACTTATAGGGGTGAAGAAGATAAGGAAGAGACAAAAGGAGACAGAAAAAGTCGAAATTGGTCAGACTGAGGCTAAAACTGGAAACTGAAAGTTCGTATAATTATGGGTTTATGCTTGTGGATATCATCAAGGAAGCTGGAATAAAGTTGATGATGCCAAGTTCAACATGCTGTCGTTTTGAAGGGCTGCTTGGCTTTTTGCCTTGTTTCACGTTAATCTCAACTCTCAAAGTGAGAATTTTGAAGGGCATATGCTTTTCCCATACGACAGATGTTTGTGAAATGGAAAACGACTTCAAAGATTACAATTTTGTAGCTTTCTAGCATTGGAAGTGGATTCAATTTCAATGAGCGACAAAGCATATGATTTTTAGATACTAATAATAATAATAAAATATAAGTATTTTATTCATATAATAACATAATAATTTAGTGACATGTAAAGTCAATTGGCTTAATATAAACATGATCTTTGACTTTTTTTTCACTTGTTTTTTAACTAATCTAACAGTATCAATAAATATAATCCATCATATTTGATAAAAATATTAAAAAATAAGTTTGAAAGTAAAAAACTTTGAAAAATAAAATTTCAAATCACAATATTTGATAGAAAAAAAAAATAGTCTTGATCATTGATGGTTGTTAATAATCATCCTTATTGGTAACCATTGTTACTACATAGAAGTTTATATTCATGTTCCATCATCAGTGAAAGAACCCAATCTTTCTTTCTCTGTAGCTGAAAGCCTGAAAGTTAATTAACCCTAAACTTTCAGCTAACGAGTAAATGTGGGTTTCAACTGATCCGATGGTGTCGTTATGGGCGGCTCATTTTCGGCTCTGGACCATAGCAGATGTTGCTGCTGAAACGGCCCACTTTTAGCTGCAAAGACAAAAAGAGGGAATTGATTTGGCAAATCAAGCCCAAATGAAAGGGAAGGTTGCAGTTTCAGACCGATATTTAGTGTGCATTTTTATTGAACACTCAAGTGCCAAGCCTGGAGGGATGATTCTATGGCCAACCAGAAACTGAAACTCTTGTGTTGTAGATTAACATTTTTATTAAGAATTGCTCAATTTGCTTTGGTGGATTAAGGCTAAAATTATCGAGTTTAATCTGAGTAATATACAAAAATTTATGTAAATTGATATAAGCTAAAATATTAAAAGAGCACATGAGTTTTATTACTTTATTTAAATAGGCTCATATATTTTATTGTACCAAAATAAATCTTTATTCTTTAATTTATATTTAAATAAATTTTTTTTAAATAAAAAACTAATTTTTGTTAAGAGTTTGTTTAGATAAAATTTAAATTTAAAGATTTATTTAGGTATAAAATAAAGATTAAAAATTTATTTAGATATAATAAAAATATAAAAATTTATCTTAATAAAGTACAAGAAATTTTTTTATTATTTTAGCTTTTGGTATATGTAATTAAAAATTTTACAAATATTATTGCATGCTCTAAAATTAAATGTGGTTCTTGTTTGACTTGTCTTAAAGTTTGGTCAAGCCACCTAAATGTTTTTCATGCGTTAACGACATGCAATGATCGATGTTTGTTTTTAAATGTTAATTTACCTTTGATTATTTTATTTTTATCAACTTAATTTATTTGAAGAAGACATTAAAAGCTTAAATGGTTGATACATGATCCTTTGCTTCAAAGGCATAGTTCGAATCTTTTCTTCTCCAGCCTCAGTGCCTCCTCTACCCAAATGCATATCATCTCATACAATTGCTTCTTGGTTATGGGAAAAGCATATTCTTGGGCTTAGATTTAGGTAAAGATCTTTTATGGTAAGACTTTTTTTTAACTATATCTCACCATAATCATTCAATTCTGAAGGGTTACAGCCTCTTAAAATGATGTTTTCTTGAACCAACTCTTTGACCACAGTTTCAGCTTTGTGTTCTTTTACAGCATTCAAGAAAAAGCCTAATTTTATGGTCAAAGATATTCCACAATGGAAAAACAGACTCCTCCTGTCAAAACAATTGGTGTAGTCAAACAATTCAGGCTTTCTTTTTCTTCCTTTTGATTCATTTATTCATCTTTCAAAATGGGGGAATTAAAATTAATAAAAAAGTATGAATGGTTTGCTTGCCTAATGCATTTAACGACCATGGCAGCTAATCCATCTGTTGGATTGAGTGGTGAGTGAATAAACGGCGGTGCTATACTTATCAGAAAAAAATATTAAAAGAGAAAAGGACAATTATGAGAAGGGAAAAATAAGTCATAAATAGGTTGCCCAGAAAAGGCAAGAAAATGCTAGCTCACCAGATTGATCTAAAAAAATGTAAATTTATTAAACAAATAAGGTTGGGGAATGAGCAGTGGATCATCTCACATGTTCATGGAGTGATGAGCCGAAAAGGGTTTTGGTTCTTTGCATTTAACTTTAATTATAACTATCCAGCTTTGTTTCATGCTTATTCATTTATTATTTTCTTGTGAAATGAGAATTCATTGGTCCCCCCTCCCTTTTTTTTCTAAATTTTTTTCTCTTCTTGAGATCACAACAAACTCTCAAAAAATCAATTTGGGCCCCTTAAATTTAAAGAAAATAGATTAATTTTATTCTTATTTTGTTTGTTGGGATTAAAAATATAATTAATTAAATTCGAATTACAACACTATTGAATTTAAATTCAATTCGAAATTAAAAATTAAAAATTTGATTTGAATTTGATCAAAGTTTATTTTTTAATTCAAATTTGACTCAAAATAGAAATTGAATTACTCTAACTCATTCAATTAAGTTTGATTAATGTATAAAAATAAATTTAATTTTTATATTCGATAAAAATTTAATTATTTGTATTCAAACTGGAGTTCGAGTTCAATATATTTAACAAATTAAAATAATAAAAATATTTTAAAATATAAAATTTCGATTAGATTCGTAAACTATTTAAATTAAATATAAAAATATTTAAATTCGGTTCAATCGATAAATCAAATTATTTAAACTCAAATTCGATTCGATAATAATTAAATTAAATTTAAATTTTATTTGAATCAAATTTTAATAATTTATAAATATTAATATATTATTTATTCCTCTAATTAAAATTTTTAAAAGGTTTCGAAGTTAAAATTTTATTTTGGAGCTTCGATTATCTTTTATCAAGGGATTGTATTGGAAAACGAAATTTATTTGTTTTAATTATCCAGAAGAGCACAATGAACTGTCAAAGATTGTAAAAAAAAAAATTAGCATATGGGTTGCCTTGAAATTAACTCCTTAACCCCACATGCTTGTCACTCTCACTAGGGAGAATCCACCTTTTCTTAAAACACTTTTTTATTTGTATTTAAATCAACATAATAAAGTATTAGTGAGTGTAAACTGAAAGAAAAAAAATCCCAATGGTAAAGAAAAATAGATAATTGTGGGGAAGATCTTGAATTTTGGGTTCATATCTTTGAAAGCAATATCTTTTTTTTTTTCTTTTTTAATTTCAAGAAGGAGCTTTTAAATTTAGGTAAACATAGTTATAAGTTATGGGATTATCTATTAAAATATTTAGGCACGCAATTGCTTCTTACATCACTTATCTTGTCCCATCGAAGCTGTCTTTATATATATATATATATATATATATATATATATATAATTTTCCTTGGTTGTAATTGCAATTGCAATTTTGCAATTTTACGAGAAATTCGACATTAGAAATTAAGTGCAATCCTGCACGCAAGCTGGTTTTTCAATAGTTAGAACTTCATATATAGTTATTCACCAAGCTAAAACTCAATCTAATGTAGAAATTGATTAATATGCTTTAACATATAGCTCGATTGCACTCAAGTTCAACAAATTGAACTCAATCCAACTTATTTTTAACCTTTTTTTTCATAATATTTTACTTTTATAGTATTTTTTAAATTTGTTTCAAATTCTGTCATCTATCACTATGTTGCTAGAATTTTAATAGAATATAGATGAGATTTTCTACGTGCCGCTTTGATGGACATACGCATCAAATTTCATTTAAAAATTAATATATATGTTAATGAAATGATGAATTTGAAATAAATTTTAAAAAACGTGAATGAAAAATTTAATCTAATTAATGTTTTAAATTATGAATGAGAAAAAAATGTTTACAAAAAAAATCAAGAATTAATGATGAAATTTATTATATTTCTAACCATGTCGAGGGTATATGGTGCCCTTTTGCTTGAATTAACTCCAAAAATTTTTATCAACGCCTGTTTATCTAAGTGGTAAGGAGTTCAATTATTTTTAAATAAAATCTTAATTTTAAATTTTTTAAATAAAAAAATAAGTTTAAAAGAACTTATTTTAACTTCAAAAATTTTCCTTTTTAAATTTTCATATGTGTCTTTAAATGATTTAATTTTTTGGATATATAAAAATTCTATCTCGTGTCATATCTTAGGTCCATAATAAACATTTTAAGAGCGTTGGTGGGTTAGGTGAAGCCTGGCTCATAGCACCCGGAAGAGTAAACAAATTCAAACCGGTTCAACAACCACAATTAAATTATCAACAACTTTATGTTTTCTCTAATCACATATTGCCATTGGATTTTCAATGTTATTGCTTTCCTACTTTTGTTAAAAAAAAAAATTTGTGGGATTTGCCGACTGATATTTAGATTTATTGATGTGAGGTTTCTGATAATACTTGAAGGTTGTAGATTCAAATAAAATAATATTTTTCAACCAAATGTATATAAAATAGAAAAAAATCATTAGTCATAGATAAATTAATTATAAGTTCCACAATTGAAAAAAAAAAGGATAATATTTTTATTTTCCATCGAAGTTTTTTTTTTTCTCCCTTTTAATGATGTGAATGGACATAAATGTCAAAAATTCTAAATCAAAATTCAAAAACTTTTCAATATATATTTAAAAATATTATAGTAAAAGAATAAAAAATAATTCTTTTAAATATGACTGTTTGAAAAATATCGAATTAGAATGACATGTACATTAAAATAAAAATATAATAAAAATAGATGCGTGATAATTTGAAATAGGGAAGGAGTGCACAAAATTGAGCATTTTTAATGAATATTTTATGGTAAATAAAAAAAAAAAAAAAAGAGCATTGAATTCCTGCTTCGGAAAGAGACCTTAGCTAGCACTCATTGTAAATGAATATTAGGAGGAAAATTTACATAAAGTGGGCCCTAAGTTTCTAAATTGCATGTACAATTTTGTACAAAACAAATGAAATGGGCAGAGCATGAACTTCTCAATGATGACACGAAATTCAAATCTTGAAAAAAAATTCAGTCTATCCATTGCTATTTCATAGGGTAATCTTATATCCATGCTGATCCTGGTATGATTATGTTCTATCATCATTTTATTTTGTTTGGTGCACTTGAACCGAATTTCTTTTTCTTGGGTTAGGCCTATTTCTTTTTAAGACTAAAACCATAAAACGATAAAAGGAACTAAATCTAATTGATATTCATGTAAATCTAATGCATGCACTAGATTATGACTTTGATTACTATTTGATTTTTTAAGTAACTAAGTCATCATCTACCAAAATAATTTTACTTTTCTTAGTACAAAGTATCATGATATTGGAATTTTAATCATATATAATAAATTTGGTAAATTCCAATTAAGTATCTCAAAACACTTAATAATAATTAATTATTCTAATATAAAATACCCATATCACAATGACCCAAAATGTAATTTGAATTTTGGGTATATTTTAAAATTTTTTTTCAGTTTTTTTTTAGACAATTTTAAAATCATATTTCTTCACATTATTTGATTGGTCAAAAAATTTCAGGAAATCCAGGAATAAACTTCGCTGCAATAGGGATACCAAAAAAAAAAAAAAAAATCCAGGAATACACTTTGCTGCAATAGGGATACAACTGGATTTGGATCCTGGATTTGTTGGCCAGCAACTCAACACGTATCACTTTCCCTGTCAGCTCTTAAATTCCGCACATTGCTAGTTCTGTAATAACCCAGAAATAAAAAAGTTACCATTTTTAAAGGCCAACATCTGCCCCCAAACCCAAACCACACACACAAAATACAATCAAGGTCGTTCAATGGAACAAGATGATCTAATCGGATGGGCTAGATTAAGTTTGGGCAGTGAAGTTTGGAGCAAGGGATTTTAGCTCTTTTATTACTTACTAGTTTAATAACGTTGTAAAGAATTGCGTGTTTGTTCGGGCCGTCAACGGTCTTACCGACAGCTTTAATGTCACTGTTCGCTTTTTGCAGTGTTAGAATTGGATTTTTCTGCTTTCATTTTTTTTTTAATATAAATTTTCACAAATCATTTATAGGCAAACTAGCAAAATGATACGAGCGCACACTTTTTTAGGAAAATACAAAGATATATAATTTTCCTATCTTATCTAATGGGGTAACTTTCGTCCATGGTTTTAAAGTATTTTTATTTAGTTTCATTTTAATTTTTAATTTTAAATAATTTCATTTGAATTCATGATTTTTAAGTGATTTTAATTTATTATTTTTATTAAATTATTTTGTTAATAATTTAAAACTAAAATATGAATCTTAAATATGTTTATCAAATACTGCTCTTAATCAAAAGTTATGATTTTTTTATAGATTATTGAAAAATATATCCCACCTAATTTTTTTTATTTTTTGTTTCAAAAGAGACGAAATCCTACAACAAAAAAAGGGGGAGATTGAGATTAAATCTCAACTTTTATATCTTTTTTTAAATTTTTTTGATCAATAAATCAAGAAATTGAAGATAATTTCTTTTATATTATGCTTCGATAGGAATTTTACATATTACTACATATCAAAGAAGAGAAGAATGTGAAAATATATGAGAATATTTTTTTGAAAAAAAATGTGAAAAAGAAAAGAAAATAAGAAAAAGACTTGAATCGGGGCTTAATTGCAATTGAACCATTCTTGAGGTGCCCAAATCACAACACTTCTTAGAAATGATAAACAAACAATGAGAACAAATTGAAAATTGGGATTCCAATTATGCTTAGAAACGTAAGTTAGGGATTTGAACTTTTTTAGTTTTATAAAATAAGGTACTACTATTTAGAAAAAAATATTATTTTATTCACGATTTATTGCTTTAACAGCAAATCACCGGTTCGACTGACTGCATTTTAATCCAATCTTCTAAGTTTTGAGTACTTTCAAAATCCACCTTCTAAATCACCCCCTCCTTTTTACAACGGCGATCGACAGAATGGATTAGTATCTTAAATTACTCAACTACCCTTCAATTTATTGCTCCGGTCAGGGTTATATATATTTTGGTCTTCCATCTAAAAACTTTTACAAAGTTATTTTTAATAGGAAAATTTTAATAAATTTGAGGTTTAAATTTAAATATTTATAATTTTTTGTAAAAAAATAAAAATATTGAAAATGGGAATGTTAAGAGCTTATAATTACTTAGTAAATAACTTAGAGCTGGAAGAAAGGTGTTTTTTTTTTTTTTTAAAAAAAAGAGTTAGATGAAAGCTGGATATAGAGAGAAAATAAAGATATTATTATCAAATTTCATGAAAATTGAAAAGTCTTATTCAAGCTTAAATTTACAAGATGGATTTTTTATTTTAATAATTAGAGTTTAATTTTAAATAATCTCAAACATATAAAAAAAATTATGAGTTGAAAGTTTACATAAAAATATCAAAATGAAAATGATAATGTTGCCTTCTTACATTAATTAAAATAAAAGTATTACTATTATTAATTCAAGACTATTTTTTTCTCATTGTACTCTTATAAGTATTTGAATTAATATACTTTGCTTAAATTGTCAAATAAGAAAACAACAAAATTGTGCCCACTTTCTTTTTCCATATTTTAGTATAAGCAAACCCTAAATGCCAATTTTTAATTTCTATTATTATATTATTCTTAGGCGCAAAGCTAAGCAAATTGATATAGAAAACATAAAGTCATTTTCTAATAAGGGTAAATTGGGGAAAAAAATGAATGAAAGGCATTCTAGTAATTGACTTTGTTTTTATAGCCTGTGGAGTCCAGACAGACAAGAAAAAGACTTTAGTTTTCTCAGTTTCTTTTCCCTCGTCCATTAATGGAGGGAAGTTTATAAAATCCCTATTTCTCTCTGTTCCTCTCTCTCTCTCTCTCTCTCTGTCCAAAGGTAAAAAGAAAAAGAAAAGAGCTACACCGCTTTCCGTTTCTGGCTCCATTTGAAGGAAACCTGTATTTGTTTCAAATTTCACCTTCTTTTTCGTTTCTCTCCGCTTCTGAAAAAGGCTTCCCAACAAAATACGCTCACACACAACTTTGTCTTCTTAAGAAGAACCCCATTTTTGGTTTGCCATTTTCATAATGGAAGAAAAGGAGAGTACGATATCTGGGTCACTAGGCAACTCCGACACTGACTCACCACCTGCACCAGTGAGTAGCCTGGTGTTGCCCCAGGTCATGAACATGGATATGCATATGAACATCAACATGAGCTTGGAAAGAAGCCTTGGTAGTGCAGCAACAGAGACAGCAACAGCCGGGGGAGTAGGAGCAGGAGGAGCAACAATAACTACAGCAACAGCAATTCCAGGATCAGGTGGAGGAACACTAGGGAGTCCTGGAAGTGGACTTACGCTTGATTCTTTAGGAAAGAAAAAGAGAGGGAGGCCAAGAAAATATGATGCAGATGGGAACCTTAGGTTACCATATCAACTAGTGACAACTTCACCTCCTGGCTTCACTTTATCTCCTTCTTCTCCTACTGAGTTCTCCTCTTCCAAGAGAGGTAGAGGTAGGCCTCCTGGTTCTGGCAACTGGCAGCTTGTTGCTTCTCTAGGTAAAGTTCAAGAGAGTTAGACTTTTTGTTTTTTTGTTTTTAGTTCCATACATAGTTCTGCTTGGTTCCCGAGAAAGTGTAGAAACTAAAAAAGCAGAAAGAAAGCATGGTCTTGTGATTGGTTGCATGTCTTTTGTTATATTCACTCTTTTTCCTATTCTGGGGAAATAGTACTCAACTTACATACCAAAGATAATTGAAAAAATAAAAAATAAAAAACGTAATCTCCAATGGAAGCAAGAATTATAGCCTTAAAAGACTTATCCTTTTTCAGTATTTTTTGTTTCTCTAATTCTCACCGAACACATTGTGGGTAGTTGATTCATGCTTTCTTAGGGAATTAGATGATTAAGTATAAATGGTGGGTTTTGCACATTAATTATGGTATCTAAAGAAATTTAACTTCGGAAATAAATCCCCAGTTGGTGAATTTTGGGCTCATTACAATTTGGTTTTTATTTTCATGAATCAATTCGTATCTGCTTTGGGCATTAATCACAATATATATATATATATATATATATATATATATATCTTAAATCTGGACAGGTGAGTTGTTTGCCAACACGGCTGGAGGGGACTTCACGCCACATGTGGTCACAGTTAATACTGGGGAGGTAATTTCCAAGAGTGGAAAACATGAGAATTGCTAATTGAGAGTAATTTATACATATTTCAGATCCTCCTGTATTAATTCCTTCAATTTGCATGACGGGAGACATTACTTTCTTAATTACAGGATGTTGCAGGAAAAATTCTTTCATTTTCTGAAAAGGGTCCTCGTGGGATTTGTATTCTGTCAGCAAATGGAGCTGTTTCTAATGTCACTATTCGGCAACCTGGTTCTTCTGGTGGGATTTTAACATATGAGGCATGATTGTCTACCTTGTGCTCCGATTGATGTTATCCCTTACTGTTTCAACATTGATATTTATAAATTTCATTGCTCCCTTAATTAGAAAAAGGGTGATTCCAAAGGGATGCATGTCCCAGACAGCGTGGTACATTTACCATGGCACGCATTAGTTTAAAGAAGTTTCTATAACAGCTCTAGTTAAGTTTATTGTTTTTTTCATACATCCTAAAATAAGGAATACTACAACTAAATTTTTCATGTTTTTTTGGTTGCTTCAGCAAATTTCCAATTAATTTTCATGCATATTTATCCAGTAGTTTTAATTTTGAGGGAAATGCATGTCCCATTAGATGTTTAAACATCTCATAAACCAGTGATCATTGTTCTCCGACAGTTAACTACTCTCAACTCATTTGGTACGTATTTATAGTTATGCTTTACAACATTTTAATTTATAGTGGTTGTTGTTTCCTTAAAGCACACAATGTTTCATGTTGCAATAGTTTCCAATAGTTTATTAGTAGTTATTTATCTATATATATATATATATATATATATATATATTCTCACAATTAGATTTTTCAGCATCACTTAAGTTGAAAATTGAAATTGCTTTGCAGGGTCGCTTTGAGATATTGTCCTTAACTGGTTCATTTACAGTCAGTGACACTGGTGGTGTAAAAAATAGAACTGGTGGGTTGAGTGTTTCATTGGCTGGCCCAGATGGTCGAGTAATAGGTGGTGGACTTGCTGGTATATTGGTGGCTGCTAGCCCTATACAAGTAAGTCCTTTGCTCTTTGTTACTATATCATTTTGTTGGCTATGATAGTTTAGTTAGGTACCATTTGCCATATCAAACGATGTCTCAAATCTACTCTCTCTAGTTCTGTGCTTTGAAATTTATATGTTCTAATTAGACTACAGCAAATCAAAAGGCGTTTCTCCCTGAAATGAAGATTTAAGCATATATCATCATGTTTCAATAAATTTATTTCTACTAAATTAAAGCTGTATACATCGAGTGATATAGTTCTATTTTCTTTTGCTAGATTGTGGTAGGAAGCTTCATGCCAAATGGTTATAAAGTGCATAAAAGGAAGCACCATCGCGAGCACACGGTGGCTTCCACGGTTGCTGGTGCTCCTTCAGCCACGGTGACAGCAGCAAGGGTAATCGCAGAAGGAAAACCTGGTGGTGAGAACTGTATGACACCAGCATCCCCCTTTCCAGGGGAAAACCTTGGGGAAGCAGATAATAACACAATTAATAAAAATATAGCAAATGCTGCACTCTCTCTTGTTGCTGGTTGGAATAATGGCTCAGAACCCACATCAATCCATCGGCCATACCCTGATATTAACGTGTCTGTGCCTAGTGAATAAGGTGTCCAAGGTTTGTATGTTTTCCTGATCTGCTGATAAACATTTTCTATACCAATTTCAACTGTTATATTTATAAGCCCTTAAAAATCTTCATTTCAGGTTTACTTTTTAGAGTCTTGGAGGCTTGACATGATAATTAAACTCATCGAAACTAATTTTATTCACATTATCATTTGTAACAATTAGATTTAGTGAGAAGCAAAATTTTCTGCAATGTGTGTCTGATGTCTGATAGGCAGATGGAACTTTTCTTTTTTCCTTTTGGTGGAGGTCAGAGAGCTAGGTTGTTAGAGCATGTTTATCTACAGAAGGACTGATACTCAACTTCACTAGATGTAGACGGATTCATGATCAATTACTTTGTGTTGGTAATATTTTTATTGTTGTTCACTGTTGCATGCATTTTTATTTTATAAAAATATATATGCAGGTTGAGGTATATAGTGCTGCATTGTAATGAGATTCTTTTTTTTTTTTTTTGGGGCCAAAGCATTGTAATGTGCTTTTCCCATAAAAGGTTTGCCTTCAAATTATGATCAAATTTGCCATTATATTATAGACCATGTTGGATTTCGTCACTATACTTCACTTTCATTCAATTTTATCATTATATTTTTAATTTTATTGATTTTAGATAAAAACTAATGAAATTAAAAAAAATTTACTATTTTTTTTGTCAAACCTCATAGTATTTGATAATTATTTTAAATCTTAATTATTATAAAATCAAATCGGATCAAATCTCATAAAAAAGCAAGCTCTTTCATCGCTTATTTTTTTTCATTTACTATTTGCATCAAGTCTTAAGAATATTTATGAAATATTTTAATATTTTGACAAACGTTTAAAAAAATTAAATACTAAAAAAAATCAATAAAGTTATCAAACCAATCTTTGTGTTTTGCGCTAAGACTAGCCAGCGGCCCAATCTAAAGGAAAATGTTTTATTTTTTCAAAAAGAAGAAGCAGAAAAAAAAAAAAAACCATTGTCAAAATTTCCCTCCTTTCTTTCTGAAAAAATCATAAAAAAATTGTGCTGATCTTTTGGATTAATTAAAATACTTCTAAAGTAGAAATTCAAAATTTTAATAATGTAAATCAAGAATTAATGTAGAATAAATTTCAGGGTAAAGGTAAGCTATTAATTTTATTGATTAAATAATTAGAAAAATTGTTCATAAATTTCTACTGGCATTGATTAAAGTGTTATTCGTGACAAAGAATTTATAGATACCAAAAAAATTATAGCAATTCCTTTTGGTATGTGAAAAAGTCTTATATTTGTTTAATTTTTCTCAGATTTGATAAAAAAATTTGTCAAATAAAATTTTTTAATCATAAATTATTGTTTTTAAAATGACGGTAACAAAATTATATAAATAGTGAATGATCATATAGCCAGGAATTTGTTCTCAATTTTTCTTGTCTTTGAACATCATGGTCGACTTGGTCAACTGTTTTCAATGCCAAACGAAATCTAAATCAAATTAATTAATGTCCCTAGAATTAAAAATCCATCTGATCCCAATCTAACAACAATAAATTCACTTAAATCCTTGATCTTTGAAAAAAAAAACATGCTTTCTCAATTTTAGACATACAAGAACGTAAAATTACACGTGGCAAAAAACCAGTGGCATGTGAAACCTTTCCAGCTCCAGCTCGCCATAATTCTTTCCAGTTTCCAGCACTTTCTAGAATCTAAGTTCGAACATGCATGCCCTTTCACTTACTTTGTATACTTAAACTCTTATCCAAATAATTCATCAGACAGAAACATAAAGAACAACGAAGACACTTCAGACAGGAAAAAGAAGCCAAGTAAAAAAATGAAACCAATCGACGACAACAAGGAAGACAAGAAAGCCGCCATGGTGATCCAACAGTTAGCCGCGACGAAGAGGGTCGAAAGAAAGTTGAAAAGACAGAAGTGCCCTCTCGGAACATAGACACATTAAGTACGCAGAGAGGAAGTTAGTGGGCAAAGGGGTCTAACAGATTGAGCGACACCCTGCTGATGGGATTGGGATTGGTCGGCCACCGCCAAAGTCAGGTCATGGCGGGAAGTACACGTGGGAAGGACCGGATGACATTGCGGAGAACGAGCTGATGCCGGTGCCTGCAGCTATTGATGAGAAGGATCCTAACTACGTGGATGAGAAGGAAGAAGAGAGGATTTTGAGGGGCGAAAAGAGCGACGTGGCTAGGTGTTGGCTAGGTGTTATGGTCAGGCCCTGGTGTGCTCTAGTTTTGACATGATTGATCCTGAATCGAGTAGTGGACGAGACTTTGTGGTCGGGACAATGGTCTTGGAGCTATGTGCGGGTATTTAAGTACAGAAACATGTTGCTAATATTTTGTACGAGCAGTGTGAGTTCTAGGCCCCAAGATGTGCAAGCAAGTGGGAGCCAGTAGATTGTGCCCTGCAACTAGATAATAAGTCAGATGCTATAGGTTGAAGTCGTGTATAGACACCCTCGAGGGGATTGATGGAGCAGCAAGCAGAATCAGAGAATTATGATGATAAAGAGAAAGTCACAGGTTCTGAGTTGGTTGAAGAAAAGTTGAGATGGCTAAAGAGAAAAATATTCTTATTTCAAATATTCTTATGATTCCTGATGTACGAGGATGACTTGTGTCAGCTCTTTATCACTCAATTGATTAGTGGGTAAACGGGGTCTAGCTAGTCTAAAGTAAGTTACTCTTAGACATATCGATGTTTAGGTGGGCGGGCATCATCAAGTCATGAATTTAACATAGTGTTTTATTAGGTCATGGTAAATCCAAGGACGTTTAAGGTCGACGGGCCTCGTATCGTGTCTTTATGTTAAATCATGAGGTTAGGTGATAGCATTCACTGTACCTCTCGATTTTCCTTTTTTGAGCCAGAAGGATCTTGGGATTGTGTTTGCGTATGAGGGACACCATTAAGCTTGAGGGATGAGAGGGCTAGTAGACAAGCACGCTATCAGATTTTTGTGGTCAAATCAGTAGAGGTGTGTTGCGGTTGGGGTAGCACATATGAGTTTCTCGAGGTGGGATGGTATTGAAGTTGGGTATCCATTATGCATATGGGCATCTTAAAATGAGGCTAAGGATTGAGGTCCTAAGATATGAATTTCATACGATGAGATGAGCCTAGTGTGGCTTTGGGCTGGCTGTTTAGCATTGATTTTGTGCTTTCGAGTTTTAAGCATGAGAGCTTGCGCATTATACAGACGGACATAATGTTAGGTTTTCACCATGTCAAAATGTGATAATACTACGAGAACTGGGGCTATAGGCCTCTATGAGAATTCGAGGATTGGTGCTCAAAAACTTGGTGCCTACGGGCATAAAATGGTGTTCAAGGCTACCTTGAAATTTATGGACTAAGAATTATGATGGGAGTTGGGTTTCTTCCTATTATGTTTGGGAATGTTGCGTGCAATCCTATGGAGTTTGAGTAAAAAAAGGCTTATGAATATCTAGCTTGAGGGATCGAAAATGATTTGTCCATTGAAAAATTGACTCAAGAAAGACTGACATTGACTATGAATAGTCTTGATGCCGTATGAAAGTGTGATTTGGTATAAAGAACACGCGGCTTGTGACATTAGGGTTGTGGTTGGTGAATTGGAAGTGGCTAAAGCCACTGAGGTCGAGAAAGGGTTGCTAAAGTTGAGGTTGACCTTTAATTAATTGATATGGTACTTTTTATTTTTTTATGAACATGTTTATTGCTTGATTTTTTTTCTTTTGTTTTCTTTTTGGAAAAAAAAAAGTGTAAGGACTAATGAGAAGGATGCTGGCTAAGTTTGGATTTCACTGAAGTGTTTGTGCAGTCTGATTGGGGTGGTTTTTTCCTCAAAAGTGCCATAGTTTGTAGTTTGGTAAGCAAAAATTCAATGCAATTCAACCATTTTTTAAATGCATAGAAAGAAAATTTTTGTTTGGATTAGGGATGAGAGTCCAACTTGTACCTTGCAGATTTTAATCCGATCAAACTTCCTAATATTAAATTTTTTTTTAAAATCTATTTCGGGTCTGGTCGAGTAACAATAAAAAAAATCAAAGTCTGATTTTAGATAAATCCATCTCGACCCTATCTATATATATTTATATAAAATTTTAATTAATTAATTATATATATTTTATATATTTAATTTTATATTTTTATTAAAAATAATATTTTATTAATTTTGGATTGGATTGGGTACGATTTTATAAAATGTACAATCAAGCCGAATTTGGGTATTAAAAAATAAAAAAAAATTAAATCAAAACGAATTAATTTATTATTAATATAAAATCGGATCGAATTTAGGGTAAGTAAAATTTAGCCCCGATTAACCTGTTGCCATCCCTAGTTTGAATTGTGTCTATTAAAATATTTTCATCTCATTTTTTTTTTCATAAAATCTCATGCTTTTCTATATTTTATCCTTGAAAATACAGTGCAGGGACAAAAAATCCATGTCATTTAAAAAATTTTTGCATTTATTTTTTTTATTTAAAGTTTTTAAATAACTTTGTTAATTTAAAATAAATAAATAAAATTTATAATTATATAATAAATTAATTATTAACTAAATAAATTTTTTTGGTCAAAATAAATAAATAAATAACTAAAACTTTAAAAAAAGACATAAATAAATAATAAAATAATAAATTCTATTATAGAAATATTAATAAATTAAAAAAAATATTTATCTTTAGAAATAATATAAGTTAAGTAAAATAGATAACTACATAAATAACAAAAAAATTAGTTTTTTTTATATGAGTAAATGTATTATTAGTTTTTAATAAATAATTACTATTTTGATATAAAATTTATCACATAATAAATAAATACAAAAAATATATATATTTTAATTTATTTTAATCTTATTATTATAATAATTAATCTTATCTCTATCATTATTATTCAAATCAAAGCTAAGATTGTAGCAAAGAATAATATAATAAGTAATTCAATTAAACCCTTTGTGGGTTTAGCTGCTGCGGCCCGACTTGGCCCTAATGGCCTAATCCAAGAACAACCTGATAACTCAAATTCAAGTCGGGCTAGCCGAGTTTTTTCTTACAGACGATCGAGCACACTCTCGTCCTTAGGCCTATATTGAATTTGAGTTCCATAATTAATTGAGTATTTTTTAAAATGCTTTTCTAATCGCCATCTGAATTTTCTTAATAAACAAACTAAAACAAGCAGTTAGACTTTGATTTTTTTAATATTTTTATAAATTTTAAAATTTTAAAATTTTTATCGGCCAAAAAAATTATTTTTCATTAAAAATATTAATATATATTATTTATTATATTAATAATAAAATTTATTTATTTATTAATTTATTGTATAATAATATTTATTTATTATATTAAATCAACAAAGTTATTTAAATATTTTTAAATAAAACAATAAAATGAAAAAAAAAAATTTTCTCAAGTAATATAATTTTCATCTTAAAAATTAAAATTAAAATAATTTAATTATTATTATTTGTTTTTGCATTAAAATAATATTGAATAAATAAATTATTAAAATTTTTAGATTTTTTTAAAAAAAATTAAGTCGGTGAGGTCAAAGATACAAAGATTTTCTTACTTCTCCGAAGATTTGCTCTCGCTCTCTTTCTTCCAACCGAAGCCTCTTTCATTCGCTCCTTCCAACGGCTATATCTCCTGATTTTCATCCTTCCCGCACTCATTCTCTTCCTTCCAACCAAAACTTCTGTACTCTCCGATGACTGTAACTTCTCCATTCTCTTGTTTCTACCTCCGCCCATCTCCAATCTACCAAACCACCGTCCGCTCCCTCGCCAAACAATTCTTGTCCTTCCTTTCCACCTTGTCTCTACATACAAAATCCTAATCAACGACAACAAACCTCTCTTTATCCTTTCTTCGATACTTTCCGACTCTGCATAACTTGTATCGAATTCATCTCTTCGCAGTTATCTGGCGGTCCAGAGTTTAAAAGTCGTTTACTGTTTACAAGCCTGTACGATGAGGGAGAGAGCGAAGCGTTTAGGGTTTTGGAGAGGCATTGAGTGAAATCCGATTCAGAAGGTAAATTCGATGTAGGTGGTGGTGATTCCAAGTTTGGATCTATCGCGGTCGAGGCGGTGGCTTCCGTTGTGAAAACTTTGACCATGGGACAGAGTAAAGACTGTGGGAAATATGAAAGAGTTCTTGCTTTGGAGCAAGTTAGGCCTTGCAGGCATTCAATTTCTTGGTTTTGCATTAATATTTTCCATTTTTTTGAGACATTTGTAGAGTAATTCTGTTTGGTTTATATATCATTGTTCTTTTACTCAGTTATTTCTTCTAACCCAACCTTGGACTACGAAAGAATTAAGTTGCCGCGTAATTTGAGATCTTCAAAATATTTTTCCTGACTTGTTTCCAGTTGTTTTGCACATCACTTTGCATCACTCACTCGTTTTTAACCTTTTATTTGTTTATTTTACTAACGTAAGTTTTTAACTATCTCACGGCTTCATAACTAAAGTTTATCTTTGACATTTGATTAACATATTTGTTAGCTGGTTGAGATGGATAATAGTGCAATAGAGTTTGTACAACCTACTGATTATTGTGCAATAAATGTCGAGATGATGCTACAGGTTTTTGTAGTACTCTTGCAAGACATTTAAATGACATGGCAGGCGATTTTCATCAGTTATATTGCTTGACTACTGGCTGTTTTGTTGTGGCATGGACATATACCTATTTCATTTATTTGGATAAGATGCCCTGAGTTATTATCTTAAATTTGGTAGAATTTCCCAGGCTACAGTCACCGTTGATCTAATATTGAGGCTTTATGCAACTGGGCTAGATTTTACTGAGCAAGATGTTAAGTGGAAATGTGATGATTTTTCCACTCTCAAAGGTGCAGAAGATAATTCTGGTATCAAAGTTTTGTTTCTTGAAAGGGATAAGCTTCACAATTTTCTTTGACAAAACCTCATATGTTTCTTTGGCACTTTCACCCATAGCTTTACAAATGATGAAAGATATTTCCAATCAGCTGTCATAGTTATTAATGTGAGGTTTTCGAAACAAGTTATAAATATTTTTATAATTTGATATATGGTGGAATTTTTTCGATCCTTGCATCATTTTGGGGTAAATAAATCTGTATTCACGAGTCCTATATGGTGATTTACGCTGGTCTTCGGTTTGAAAATTCGTGTGAAGTTGGAGATTTTTCCAGGCTGACCAATGTGTAGTTGGTTGCAATTGGTAGGTCAGAAAACTTCTACAGGTGAGCATGTCTTCTACATTTCTTCTTTTCCCTATTTTCATTAATGTATTAAGGTTATGTTGGCTCCTTGCAGTGATTTTCAGTCAGAGTTAGCAGATGTCATTCCAGTCACTAAGACCTCTATTGCTGGCACTAGAATAATAGGACGGCTAAGTGCTGGTCAGAATTTTTAAGACTTTCTTGATCTTATCTGAGGTGTGTTGAAATAGATTGCAAGACGTGCTGCATGAAATGCAATAACTTGTGGAAGAAGCTAACTCTATTGGCTATCAAGGAAAGCCTCCAGTCATCAAGAAACCCTGTTATTGTTCAAGATACACAAAGGATAAATTACTTAACATCTGAAGTTGAAAAGTTGAAGTTATGCATACATATTTGTTGGAATGAAAATCACTTATCTGCATATGTTTTTACCTTACGAAATCAAACCTTTGAGTAATATCAATAGAATGCAGGTGTTTGATTCAGTTGAGGCTGACACTGCTATTCCATGGAATTGCTTTTGAATATCAAAATTGGATTGTGCAAGTCTTTGAGGAGGGTATGTAAAAAAGGTATTTGAGAGAGCATTATTTTCATACGATGCATCGGGATATTCTACTCATATGGAACTGGCATGGTTTCTCACTACTCAAATTGATTTAATGCCCCTTTAAATCTGTAGCTGTTAAAAAGAGAGGACTCGGTTACTTAATTCTTTATTAGACAATTTCTGGATTGGCATGATTAGTGTATGCACATATTTATGTAGACAAGAGGAAAGAAGGTATTAATTTTTGAGGGGATTTATCCAGGTCTGGATGCTTGTTTGTAAACATTGCAGCGTAAAGCTTTGATGATTTGGCCTTTGGTGTCAAGTGTTTATATCTTGCATCTGTTCATTCTAATTTGTAAAGTCTTCACCACCAGCTAAAAAACAAACAGCTGAAGAGGCAAAGCAAGCTCATACAGCCGTGCAAGGGGAACTGACTAAGAAGCTCGAAGATGCAGAGAAGAAAGCAGAACGGCTTAAAGATTCTGTGCACAGGTTTGTTACTAATACCATGATATCCAAAATGAAATCCTTGGTTGATAACCACCGTTTTTGGTTGGATCGGTTATGGTTACGTTCCTTGTTTATGGTGTCTCCGCTTCTGCTTTTCTTGTGTATGGCCAATTTTTCTTTGATTTCAGATACATTGTAAAATTCATAAAAATGTGGATTTGGAGGATAGTGCTCCCTCTTTATGTTGTATGCTGTTGTCTTCTGCGAAAGTGTCAAAGAGGGCAATTGCCATAATTTTAAAGCTGGTTCAGCCATTTTATTTGTATTTGTTTTATTTTTTCCTTCGTTAATTTTATTTAAAAGGGTCCTTCCAGTTGTTTGTAGATTTTTTTTGGTTCTATATGCTTATGACTAATGAATGTTTGTTCCAATTTTCATTTTTGAAATTTGTTCAGCAGCTTCTTGCATATCAGGAAATTAATCATGTGTACCCAGATTTTTGTCAAGGAGTGTAAATTAAAGTTATGAATTAAGTATTACAAGATGTTTATGCCACAGAAGATAGTCCTTTAGAAAAGCAAGAATTTTAATTAGAACGGGAAGAACACTAAGGGCTATTGTGATTGAAGCTCTGAAGGACTGTAATCAGTGCTTGTCTGAAGCTATATCTATTATGGTAAGGTAATGAGTTCTGCATGGGCTTACTTGTTTATTTTTCATACTTGTTGATATAACCCTTAATTGTGATTCTGTTGCTTCTTTTAGAGATGAATTCAGGGGTAAATATTATTTAAATAGAAAAATGTCTATGGTGAAATGCGTAGCCCTGGAACTGCAGCCTGCCATCAATTAGCTGCTGCTTATTGCTTACATGCACTATTTACCCAGAAAGCTGAACCAAACTCAAGAGGTATTTTTGTATAAATGCAGTCTCCAGATTTGACCAATTAGTGTTTAATGATTCTTTGGGAAATGCCTGGCCAATCTGGGAATGTAGGAGGCTTAGTCATGCACTTGGTGTTTCTCTAGTAAATGAGTCATTCATTACGAACTTATCAGAGCATTGTGTTGGAGGTTCCAAATCCATTGATTTCTGGATACATTGTCTAAGCCGGTCTCAACCAAGGCTTCTTGGGTTCCAACAGAACCTGCCATGTTACTTTAACACTTTCACTCATGGCATTAAAAACATGAAAGAGATTTCCGAGCAGCTGTCACCGTTGACAATGTAAAACAGATTGTGTCTGAACTCATTGCAAGTTTAAGTCCTATGAGCTTTGAAGTAACTGCTACAGCCTGTAATTTTTCTTTTTTTTTTTATAAATTAAATTTTGCCCTTGACTAAAATGTTCAGTGATTTGCCTGTTGCTCTCCTCACAGGATCCTGTGTGCGGTCATTCTCTCTTTCTTGCGGGTAATGTCTACTATGATTTGTGTGAAAGTGAAAGACATTTCCAGTGGACAATTATTTGAGGTTGAGTTCAAAATTTTGCATGATCTAGCATCATTTTTTTCTTCCCTTAAAATTTTTCTATGGCATAGGTGCCATACATCCATGTACATAGTTATACATGTTTTTAGGTTCACATGCATTAAAATATTGAGGACTCTAGTTAAATAGTAAATTGCAAATATCCAGGCTTTTTGGATTAAGTACTTAATTCTTTTCCTCTTTTCTTGGTTTATATTTTTAACAGGATTGTATGCTGTGATCAAAAGTAGTACACTGGTTGATGCTATCCTTTGTACTCAGCCGTGAGGTTCCTCTACTTTTCAAAAGGTTGAATTTTTGTTACTACTCTGACCTTTTCTTCATGCTTGCGCAAGTATACTGCAGTTTTATTTAGATTGAAATTGGATTAATTGTTTAAATAAGATATACTTTTGATTAATATTTTTTTATGTTACTTTTACCTTTAAATCAATCATCTCCTCATTCAATAAAAAACCTCCAAAAGACGGAAGTACTCGAATTGTTTTAATGTATGGGTGAGAGAGACAGAGAGATGGGTCCATTTTTAATGTAATGATGATGATGGTTCATGAACATGCAAAAGTCAATATTCTAATAAAGTAATTGAACTGGGATGATTAACCTAAATGAGGAAGCTACACGACTTTGGTACTACTCTTATTTCACACGATCCAGGAACTTCCATAACGTTGGCGTGATTCTATTGAGCAACGGATCTGGAAATTGTGGGACAAAGGGGATAAAAAATTTCAGATAATTAACATTAATATAGAATTTTGACTTTTTTGCATACAAAAAAAAACATTTAATTTATTCTGAAGTTTACAATTAATTTTCTTCTCTCGATTATGAAATACATAAGCAGTGCATAATTTTTTTCTCTTTAAATCTAGCTTTTGCACATGCAAAACATAAAAAAGGAAAGGCCTTGCAGACTGCAAATATGTCATGCAATCAGATTATATTTCTTCATTAAATATCAAAATAATAACAACATTAAAGTAATTAATGGCAAAATCAAACTAAACAACCATATGTGTCTAGAACCGAATTCATGAATACATATTTGTACATGTAAACAACATGGATATTTTTGTTTTTTGGGAAATTTATACTGATGAAAACGACAATGGAGTTTGGAATTAATGGAGTAGTAGTAGTGGTAGTTTCTTGCACTATCAAATTTTTTAATAGTTGCTAAGAGAAGCATATTTTGAGTGTATCTTTGGTTACCTAGTGTAGATAATAAATCAGGACAAAAGCATAATGTGACATTACGTTCAATTGTCATAGTATTGGGCAGTTCTTGAAGGAAAATATTTTAGCATTCATATATATATATACCCAACGTTCAACCTTAATCCCTAATTTAATTACCTGCAAATTTATGTGCAAGTGACGAGGAAAGGAAATTCTATTCATAATTGTTTAAAATTTTTATTATTACTTAATTTTGTTGGATCTTTCTTATTTTTTTTAAAAGATAAAAATATTTTTTAATATAACAAAAATTTTAAAATTTAATTTTTTACTTAAAACAAATTATATATATATATATATATAATAATTTAACCAAGCTTTTCTCCCCACTAATTAATCTTCCAAGTTCCAACAATTGTACCCTCCCTTCTGATTTTGTAACTTAATGTGAAGGCAATTAAAAAGACATCCAAAGAAGAAGCATTCGTTGTTGGAAATTACGCATTTTGTAACCTAATGTGATTAAATGAAATTACGCACCGGCCTCTGATTTGTAGTTGGAAAGTACACCATCGCTGCAAATTAATTGCTCTCTCTGTTTTTTTTTTTTTATCTTTTTTTTTTTTACAATGTCTTAAAATTATATCTTAATTTTTTAACACCTAAATTTTTTTATTTTAAAATTACTTTTTATGAAATTTTTTATTTTTTTAACATTCAAAAATCATTAAAAATTTTAATTTTAATTTTAAATAAATTAAAATTAATTTTGTTTTAATTTCATAAAAATCAATATAAAACAAAAGAGAGAACAAATGTTATAAAAATGGAAATAAATAAGAAAGATAAAAATTAAAATCACAACAACCAGAGGAGACACAGCTTACATTAGACATTGTTCTCTCTCATTTTGCTCTCGCTTTTTTTTTTTTTTCTCATTTTCGAACTTGTTGTTCAAGTGTTCTGCGTCTGCTTCTGTTTTTCTTCCAAATAACAGAAGCAGAAAAAGGGTATAGCTGAGGAAATAAAAAAGTTGTTTTCTTCATCGGGATTTTAATTTTTCTTTGTTTGAGTAATGTACATGTCTTAGCAGCTGGTTAAGATTAAGGGTGAAGAGAAGGTTTTAGCTTGGGAGAGGGGGGATGTCTAAATCAGTGACTGACAATTTTCCAGCTAGCTCTACCTCCATTGTTTTGCGTGAACCAGAAGCAAATTCGGAAAGAAAAAAGGAGATGGGAAATATTCCGTCTCTTTTGTCGAAGAATGTCCTTTATTTCTAAGCAGATCTAGTGGGTTGTTTACTTGTTTTCAAAACCTGTGTACAATGATCTTTCACTCTTGTTCTTAGCTTCCCATTTGATGCTCCTCTGTTTTTGCTTTGTTTTTTAATCAGTTTTTTAACAAGGAAAAAGCTTGGAAATGGATCGGCTTTCTTCGAGGACTATTCTTTCTGATACATTCCAGGGGACGAGAGATGATTTCTCCACGCAAATGGCATTGATTTGGGGTCAGATAAAAGCACCATTGATCGTACCATTGTTGAGACTTGCGGTTATCATTTGTTTAATCATGTCTTTGATGCTTTTCATTGAGAGGGTTTATATGGGCATAGTCATTCTGTTGGTCAAGCTCTTTGGTCGAAAACCGGAGAGAAGGTACAAATGGGAAGCGATAAAAGATGATGTTGAGTTGGGAAACTCAGCTTATCCCATGGTTTTAGTTCAAATTCCAATGTACAATGAAAGAGAGGTCCTTTTCTTGCCCTTTTTTGTTGACACAAGATTACAGCATTTTCTTTGTTTAAAAGCTTCAATGTTTAATGTACAATTTATTTATTTTTATTAATAATGCAGGTTTATCAACTGTCAATTGGAGCTGCATGTGGCCTCTCGTGGCCTTCTGATCGGATCATTATTCAAGTCCTTGATGATTCAACTGACCCAACAATTAAGGTAACCCCCCCAAAAAAATCAAATTTTAAAAGACAATATGAGTTTTACTAACAAGTTTAGTGAGAATTATAATGATGTTAGGTTGTCTTGTTTTCTTGCATGAAAAAAAATTACAAAAAAAAACGAAGGACTTGGTGGAATTAGAGTGCCAAAGATGGGCAAGCCAAGGCATCAACATCGAGTATGCAATAAGAGACAATAGAAATGGGTACAAAGCAGGCGCTCTTAAAGAAGGCATGAACCGCAGCAACGTCAAACATTGTGATTACGTAGTAATTTTCGACGCTGATTTTCAGCCTGAACCTGATTTCCTCTGGCGTACCATTCCATTCCTTGTTCACAACCCTGAATTAGCTTTGGTTCAAGCTCGTTGGAAATTCGGTAATTTCGCGTAATCAACTGTTTAATATTACCATTCCTAGTATTAACAAATCCATATCCCTTTATTTACCGTTTAACAAAAACAAAACCTGTTCTGTTCTTGGTTTTTTCCTTACAAACTTAATTCAGATAAACGTTGTTAAAACGATTATATTTTTGAAAACTGTCAGTGGTTGGTCTACTAGGGTATGGATAGGTGGGTCCCCACCCTCGTGGACCAATCCGCGGTCCAGTCCTTGCTGGCTTAACAGAGATTTGGACACCTGCGTGCTTTATATCGGCGGGAAAAATGAGGAAGCTATTTCTAGACGTTGTTTTTTTGTTCCATTTTATTTTGTCGGACACTCCTTGGAAGCAATGAAAATGCACTGGAATTTGTCATTTGGGTGATTATTTTAACTTCCGAGGATTGATCCTGCTGTAGAAATTACCACAATTCTGAATGTTATTAAGTAAACAATTAACAATTTCATGGGACATGGCTTCTTTTTATTGATTTTTGGCGCTTAGAGAAATTGCTAGAATTGCCAAGGACAGTCAGGATAATTGGTGCGAGTGACATACGAACATGGGGCAGAGTTTGGTGGGTTAATTGATGAGTTTTATCTCAGCAAAAAAGAGGCCTGAATCAATAAAATGGACCCAAATAAGTTAGCTAATTAACCTGGGAGTCACTTTTTAGCTGAAAAAAAAGCTGCTAGAGTCCCTAGTATTTACGTGGTTACGAGGTGGCACATAGAGTTTGGGCGGATCTGCCCTTGGGAAGGGCATGTTTGGGCCTAAAGAATAACTAGAGGGTTATTTACTTATCTTTGTCTTGAACAGAAAAAACTTCTTCTGATATTCCCTGGAGCTGCATGTGCAAAACTTGTAAGTGGTGGGACCTCCAGCCTTATTCATTATCCTTGTGTACCGACATTTGATTTTAATTGCCCCATTGATTTCATCCTCGTATGACAGCTGAGATGCTAACATGGAAATGGTTTTCCAATGGTTTTCCGGGTTCGTTTTTTTCTTTTTTTTTTTTTTTTTTTTATATACAGTGAATGCTGATGAGTGCTTGATGACGAGAATGCAAGAAATGTCACTGGACTACCATTTCACTGTCGAACAAGAAGTGGGTTCTTCCACCTATGCCTTCTTTGGCTTCAACGGTAATGAAAAAAGATTCGTTAAACGGAATTTGTTATAGCTGAAATGGGTTAAACTTTTCTTTAACAACGATTAAAATTTAATTCTAATTCTCTATTGGTTAAACTAGTATAGGAACTGCAGGAGTGTGGAGAATTGCTGCTTTGAATGAGGCGGGAGGATGGAAAGATAGAACCACAGTGGAGGATATGGATTTGGCAGTCCGAGCTAGTCTTAAAGGCTGGAAATTTCTCTACCTCGGAAGCCTGAAGGTACTGTCCTGAGTTCTATGTATCCTGTTTTCTGGATGTATCTGCTGAACTCAGATGAAGTAGTCACACCATTGATATCGGCTTTGGTTCACAGTTCTAGACATTGCATTGTGTTGGCCCAATACTACACTTTACAGCTTAACTACCTTATTTATTTTGTTGACTCATAAGAAATAATGTTAAGAAATTTTATTTTACTGCTTGACTATAGGTGAAAAATGAATTGCCTAGTACCTTGAAGGCTTATCGCTATCAACAGCACCGGTGGTCTTGTGGTCCTGCTAACCTTTTCAGGAAAATGATTATGGAGATTATTACAAACAAGGTTAGCTACTTAAACTGATTAATAAATTGAGGAGTTAAAACACTAGAAATTTATGGGCTCACTCTTTATTTTTTGCCCTTTGTAAAATTTACTGCAGAAAGTTTCCTCATGGAAGAAGGTACATGTAATCTATAGCTTCTTCGTGGTTAGAAAGTTTGTTGCCCACATTGTTACATTCATCTTTTACTGCGTTGTGTTACCTGCAACTGTTCTTGTACCTGAAGTTGAGGTTCCAAAGTGGGGAGTTGTTTATATCCCTTCTATTATTACCATTCTCAACACAGTTGGAACTCCAAGGTCTGATTCTTTTGAATTCTGTTTCCTTTTTTTTCAATCCTTTCCATTGTTTGATATTATTATTCTTTCATAAATTGAAATAGAATTTTAAAGTCATCATTGGAAAAACCAAGTTTGATTAGATATTATTATTCTTTCATAAATTGAAATAGAATTTTAATGTCATCATTGGAAAAACCAAGTTTGATTATTCTGTGCATTAAATGCTTCATTTTAAGTTTTCCCGGCTAACATAAAGCAATTTGATGTGTAAATCGACTGTCAAGAAATCAGGTTTTCCTCCCAAATATTTCCAGGAAAAGATCTAATCCTTATTCACTGATTAATATTTACTTTATATATTTCTGTTTCAGGTCACTTCACTTATTGCTTTTTTGGATCCTCTTTGAAAATGTCATGTCATTGCATCGGACAAAGGCTGCTTTCATTGGCCTGTTAGAGGCTGATAGGGTAAATGAATGGATTGTCACTGAGAAACTAGGAGATGCTCTCAAGGCTAGAGCAGCCACAAAAGCACCCAGGAAACCTCCTTTATTTACATTTGGAGAAAGGTACGCTATCAAATAGAAACTGCTATAATTACAACCTTGACTTGTAATTCAAATTCGCCTAATACTGAGAAAAAAACACATAAATACACACTTGTGTAACCATTTGTCAGTATCTAATTTAAAACTCTCATTTCGCGGTTAAATGTTGGCAGACTCTATTTATCAGAGCTTTGTGTCGGAGCTTACCTCTTCTTCTGTGGCTGCTATGATGTTGTGTTCAGGAAAAACCACTACTTCATATATCTTTATGCCCAAGCAATTGCCTTCTTTATCATGGGATTTGGATATGTTGGCACCATTGTAATCAACTCTTAGTGCAACCTCCTAACGTAATCGTTGGTCTAATTCTTTTGGCTACTAACGCCCTCAGCGGTTCTTTCTCTACTCCAGCAACCGAATATGTGGCTGGCGGTTATGTGTAGGGACATTTCCCTCCAATTTTAGTTTTGTATAAAAGGATAGGAAAAAACGCTTATACTTTCAGGTTGAGTATAAGAATTCAAGCAAGTAACTCGAAACAAGTTAGTTCTCCTGTGAATATCCAAGAAATTAAGGAAAATGCAGAACAGATGTTGTTATGGTAGAGCATCATACGGAGAAGGATCAAATGAAGGCAGCTTCTAGGTTTAGACCCCAAATAGATATAGGAAAGATTTTGGAGTGAATTGTTTGCTACTTTGATTTCTTTCTTTTTTTCTTTTTGTAGCTCTTCTTCTTTTCCTCCTCTTTCCCATTCTGTTGTGTTTGGGATATATTTGAGAAGGACCAAAATAATAGGAAAAGAGTAGTCTTCACAGTTGATTCTCCATTCATCTCTCTCTCTCTCTCTCTCTCTCTCTCTGCGTGGAAGCATAATCCAGATAAAATGCTGATATGTACACAACTACAGATAACATATTGTTGATTTTTCCTGCGAGAAAAAAAGTACTGCCACCCTGAACCTACCATGATAAAACAGGTAAAAATTCCAGTTGAATGACAGAAAGAAGAGAAATCAGGGAGAGTAGTTTTTTTTTATTAACACATCTCTCACGAGCAGTGATATCTAAAGGTTGGACTGAAATGATTTTAGATTTCACGACCAATAAATACAAAGTCAATTGGATTAGATTAAGTTCATTCAAACTATATTCTTCTTGTAATTTATACTTATTTGAACAAAGGATTTTAGGTCTTTGTCCGGTACATATTTTTTTTAATCGATTCAAGCATGTTTATCTACACCGAATCAAATAAATTTATGAAAAATTACATTCTTACTTGTCCGTATAAATATACAATGAATATAAGGCCATGTGCCTCCCTTATCTCTGTTGTTTTTCTCACTTTCTGTTATCGTATCAGAGCTTTAACCACTATAACAAGCGATGACCACTTTCAACTCAACTCAAACTAACCTTCCATTATAAGTAGGATCAGGTGTGGTTTTGGTTTGGGAGTAGTAAGTAGTTGATACACAAGCCAGATGAAACTTTGGTATATTTAAGTGCCTTTCCTCAAGGGCCGACACAATCAAAGTCGCCAACAACTCACATTTATCATGTATCATCATTAATGATTCGATCAGCTGGAGAGGACTTCAAATAAAGTGAAGTGATATAATGAATTTAAAAGCTCAAAAACATTGGTTCTCAATCTCGGTGGTACCATGCCGGCTTCTCTGTGGTTACGTCATGCAACTTATCACTTACTTTTCTTTCTATGGATGCCCTGAAAACAAATTGGGATCTTGGTTATTAGACGGAAACAGAAAAAGATCACATTTTGTGGCACTTGACAAAACCTGTGGATTCTGATCACCTTTCACCAGTGAGACCTGGCCTTGTACAATTTACCAGCAAAGTGACAAGATTGTAAGGAAATAAGGAAAAGATAAAAAAGTGAGACATTCTGCTTGTTGGGTAAAAAAAGGTTGAAAATGGGCTTTCTTTGATGATGTAAATGCCCTTATAGGTTTCTGATGGGCTTACTTGGTTACGGTTGGTCTAACTTGTTCGCCCAAGTATTTAATTAAATCATTAAACAGGGTTCGAAATCGGTTCTGGTATACTCTAACATGGCCAGGCGTGTCACAGTCACTGTCACTGTCACTGTCACTGTCACTCTTCTCTCCAAATTCTCCTTCACATCCCAGAAGAAACTCCAAACTCCCCCCCCCCCCCCCTCCACTGTCTTCACCTGACAAAACCCAAACTGGAGAAACCCCAACAGCCAACACCGACAACAAGAATGACAGCTTTATTCATAACCATGAATGCCACCAACATATTCAAAAGCTTTCAGCTTTTCTCCAACCGGGCGAAACCAAAGCTGCTCAAAACCTCAAAAAATCTCTATTGGCTTCACCATCTGATCTCTTTCACTCTCTTCTCTGTTACCTCACATTTCCTTAAAACTCATTTTATTCAGATACCATATTTTTACAAATCTCATAAAATCTCTCTATTTATTCAAATTTTGAATCAAAATGTCCATATTTTTACAAATGAAATTTCTGCATGATCTAAATTATAAATGGAATCAGAATGCAACGCAATTTAGAACCCAATTTAATGAAATAATCACTAATATCATATTAGAGGCAATTATATGCTTTGCAACAAGTGCAATCTCAACAATTTTAGATTTTTACATATGGACCACCTCAAGAGCCAGCAGTAACGTACGTTTCTTTTTGACCTGAGTGAGGAGACGC